TCATTAAAAATATTAAAATATACAAATTTTTGTCCATAAAGTTTATAAAGTAATTATTTTAAAACATTAACTGTACTGTGTTGTGTAAGGCTTTCAGGGTAGTGGCTATAAAGTGTTAGGAGTAGTCATTTTGTGGGCTTGATTTATTATTGATGTATAGACAGTTCCATGCATTTACTGAAGACGTAAAATTTTGTATTGGATATTGTTTTCTAACATTTGTAAAGCACCTGCTATTTGAGAGAGACTAAAATCAATAAAAATAGTGCCATTTAAAGTGAATTGCTTTCTCTAGTTGTGTGTGACCTTGTTCTTCAGCTTGTTCTTTGCTGTCACTTCAGCCAATATAAATCACGTGATGGGCAAAACTCAGGCATGATTAGGGAGGGAAAAATAATCTAATTTAAATCTTAATTATACCAATGCAGATATATTTGTGTGCATATTAAACGCCTGTTTTCAGGAATCTTAAAATGAGCCCCCAAAATGTACTCTGTGCTGAAAAATGACCTGAATGAGTGATCAGATTTGATTTTTTCTTAAGCCAGAAACATTTTTCTGCATGTGGTGTTAATTACAGAAACCTAAAGAGATGTTTCACTCTTTAAAAATGTTTTCAAAGCCATGTAATCAGTGTAGTGTATGTCTTCCGGCTTCCTCCTTCCACCTCAAAAACCAATAGGTCAAGGATTGTTGGTATCTCTATTTACATAAATCAGTGCTTGCCGTCCAATTCACTTGAGTGGTCCTTACAAAAAAGTTTATATATTTATGCTAGAGAATTCCTTTATGGATGCCCTTTTTATGTTTTAAGAAGCAGGAAAGTAATTTGAATGGAGTGGTTTCAAACAGCATCATGGTTCACATTGTTACTGAGCACAGGAATTCTGTCTGATGCGTTTCAAACTGCTCAATCCTACAAATGCCTGCTAGTACTTTTGGTCAGAATCTAATTGACCTCAGTGGGACTTTGCCGAGGAAGTTACTATTCTCAGGTGTGTAACTGTTTGCCAGATTGGGCCCCTGCCAAAATTCTAAATTAAATACAAACAGCGTAGATGTGAAATGTACAGTATAATACTTTGAATAAAATAACAATCTTGATGTAGTTGAGTTAATTTTGGTTGAGCATCTTTTAGAAGGCTTTGTGGAAGAAGCCTATTTTTAAGGAGGAATATGTATTAAGATGATGGTGTTTTGGTGCACAAGGTAAAGGTAGGTGTTTCGAGAGTTTGGTGGGATCCTCTGAGTGAAGGCATCAAAATGAAAGGGAGGAAAAGATGCAAGAGAACCACTAAAGTTTTGCAGGGATTGTTTTGTTTCTAAAGTGCACTAATTTAGTGTTTGTGTATTTAGGGAAGCTAATTTAAACAGCTAATTTAAAAAATGCAAATGCTGTATTCTGCAATCATTTATTTGAATGAAAAATGTTATGAAGGATTTTGAGTGCCTGGACTTAGGTGTGCCTGGCAGCCTAATAATCTGCTGATTTGCAGTAAGTGTCCGTAGGGACTCATGAATACAAGCTGTCCTAGTCTGCTATGTAAACCTGGCATTTTAGAAAATCTCTAAATCTGTACAAAAGACTTTAGCTGCTCGGAGAAAGCCAATATGGTATCAAATGAAAAATGCTGAACTTTTCTCAAACTCTTGAAAGCAAAGCTTCACTTAATGTTGCTATTGTGTAAATCACTCAGCTTGTTGCCTGTATGCCTGGGTATTGTAAATGATATGATTAGTCATCTAGCTGTATGCCTTGCAACAGTGGATGATCTTACAGCCATACACAGTATAATACACATGGGCAGTTTTGGGAGGGCTAAGGCCCGGGATCTAGCCTTATCTTTGAATTTCCTTTCAGGACCGCTTAACATTTTGATGTAGTAGTTTTGCATGAATTGAGATTTTGCTGAATTTTTATGTAATTTTTTTAGAGGCAAGTAGTATAGTCTCCACATTTCACGATATCATAATCTGGAGAGGACTGTTCTCTGGATTCTGTCTCTGTTTTAAGTAGTTTTCTCATTGAGAAACTAAGGAGAGAAAACATAATTAGTGTTAATGCCTGACCCGTAATAGTTTATTTTGCTGCTACATAAGTGGCCATCTAACCCACGTTAATTATGGCTTGCAAATATTTAGGTTTTTGCTGGGCACAGTTGGCATGGGGGGAGGAAGGAGCAGATGTGTCTCCCTGACTCTGGGGTTGGTTCTGTGCTGGCCCTGAAATACTTTAGGCTGCTCTAAAGTACACTGCTGACTATAGCCCCCAAAGGAACCATCTGCCAGTAGAACATATTTGGAATGCAGTAGCATCCTGTCTGCATTCCTTCCCATCCCAGTTAACTGCCTTGTTGGGAGATGGTGTAGCTACACTCACTCTACACCATTTGGGGACTTCCCCATGCCAGGTGAGATCAGGCTGCTCTCTAGACCCTTTGGATTGCATCAGTGAATCTGGTCCCTGTTTTTTAACATGAGCTTGTGATGGGGCCTAATACAATTCATAACTTCAAAACTATTGAACTGATTTTCTTTAAAATGGATTTGTGTTGTAGATGTCACTGAGACTTAAAAATAAGATATTTCCATTGTCTTATATATTGATAAATAATTTGTAATCAGATGTCAAGGTATAAACACAAGGAGGCAAAGTTAAGGTTGAGCTTAAAAACATTTAAATCTGCATATCCTCACATTTGAATGCTTGATTTCTCACCCTTAATTTTGCATTATTGCTGGTTGACCTGCTAATGTGTTTCAACACAACTGTCTTTGTTCAAACTAAAGGAAAAATTGTGTTTAACACTGTGGTAGTTAAAACGTGTTAGTCAATATATTTTCTAACATTGTGCATTTTCCTGGTGTAAACAAGGTAGGGTGCATGGTTAAGATGAAGTGTAACTTCAGATTGCAACCCTGCTGTAATTAGTTTCCTGATTCAGTTGTATTTGTAGCATGGACAACAGACCCTAAACCTTGCAGCTGGCTGTTCTTCATGAAGCCAGAATCTACCTCTCAGGCACTAAGTGTATGTCTATACTGCAATTTGATACTTGCAACTGGCTCATGCCAGCTGACTCAGGCTGAGGGGCTGTTTAACTGTGATGTACACATTTGAACTTGGACTGTATAGACATACCCTGACTGTTTTTCCCCTCGTCACACAGTGTTGAAAACAAGTCCTGAGGAGAATAAGACCTTTTCTCTCAGATGATTTCCAAGGAATAGGTCAAATCAAAGGCCCCATATACAGTAGGCATGCTATGGCATGCACTCTGTAACAGAGAAAATGTCTGTGCTGGGAATTTAAATGTTTTCAGAACTAGATCAGCGCATCTCAGTGCTGGCAACCATTGTTAGCAAAAAGATCATATTCCTTGTGCTGCTAGAGCTAAAGTGTCACTTGACTGGTTATGTTAAGTTGAAGAAATATCCTTAATGACTCAGTTTATCTATCCTTCCCATGTTGTTTTCCTCTCCACCCTGAGATGATCTTTTAATGGGGGTGTTTACCTTAACTTATGTTGTTAGGAATCACTAGAATCTACTCAACAATTGTGTCAGAGCATTTCACATTTATTCTTACACTACCTCTGGGAGGAAGGGGGCTAAGGAATTAAGTATTATCTGTATTTTATGTATAGGGAAACAGAGGCATGGACATATTAAATTACTTGCCCAAAGCCATATAGCTAGTCCAGTGGCAGAATGAGACTAAAATCCTGAACTTCAGACTATCAGTTGAGCGTCTCGTTCATTAGATGGTGTTGCTTTTCCATGGCCTGTGTGTTGAATGTGGGATTTCTCACATCTACAGCAGACATGGTGGTAATGCAAGTATTACAGAAATCCTGTCAAACTCATGCTTACCGTTGAAAGCGAGTCTCACCTTTCTGAGGGTCTTCTGGGATAGCCACATAGACGAGGCAATATGGGGAAGCTTGTACTGCCACCATCTTTGATATCTGAAACTTGTACCAGGTTAAATGTTTAGCTTACCAGGTTTGATAGTTCCATTTAAATGGTGGGGTAGATAGCAGTGTTAACTTATTCCTTGAAATTGAAATATTAAGAAGGTCCTTGAAACACCTAGTTGTGCTACCAGTAATGAGCCATGTTGGCAAAAGCGTATGATTATAGTGTGATTTTTGATTTACTGATAATGTGCTGAAAAATATCTCCGCTCATCAGTTAAGATGGAAATGCTGTCAATAAATAAGAGTGGAAGATTCCTCCTCTTGATTATCACTGTATTGTGGTGGGAAAAATCTGGGTGGTTTGGAACATGGAAAAAAAGGGCACTTCCTTCTTGCCACCCCTACAGAAAAATATCTCTCTCCCATTTAGATTTCATGAAGCATTTTATTTCTCTATCTCTGAAAGACAGTCTTGCATATAATGCCTTGTAAGTGGTGTGGTATGGAATGAAGTGTACTATGAAATAACTTATACTTGCAGACTCAAATGGCTTAGTATACTTTCCATTCATCTGATTAGAATAGTTTCAGCTGCTCTGACAGCCAGCATATGAAAATGAACTGTCCTCTCCCAAATGTTAACAACATTGTAGCTTCAGCCACCTGGCCCACATCAACAAATTCTACATGTAAATTTGCTCTGTCAGTATGCTGGTTTTTAGTGTCTTACATTTCACATGCTCTTAGGTAGTTAATTATTTAAAAAAAATCTGGACTGGTCTTAAAATTTAAAGCATATATGTTTTGACATTATTTGTAAACTTTGAAGGTTGCCAAGTTTTAAAAAAATCAAAATTTATCTTGATGGGGAAGCAGCTAATTAGGATTAGGTTAATTCAAGTGCAGAAATAATTTTGATCATCAGAAAAAGCCCTCAATTTGTGTGTGCAATACGTTAAATGTACCTACATTTTGAATATATTTAAGGGAATTTTCTCCTGGTAAATAAAGGGAGTGGATAATGGAATATTGCTAACTGAATCTTGAATACCTGTTGGTAATCTGGTCTCTGTTTGACAGGTTCAGACAAGGAACTGGATGGTATTTTCTGACAAATGGAGAACTATTTCCAAGCAGAGGCATATAACCTCGATAAGGTTTTAGATGAATTTGAACAAAATGAAGGTGAGTGACTTTGTAAAAAGGTTGTAGATGCATGTGCTTGACATTACACAGAGAAAACCATAGGTGGGGCAGGGTAGCATAACATCCTTTTAATTTTCATGAATTGCAAACTGATCTCATTACTTGCAAAGCCACCTGTGAATTTTACATGGTTTTCCTTAGCCGAGGACAGCATCTCATAATCATTTTCTATTTACCTGTATTATCAGTGGTGAGGTGGTTTATATTTAACTGTTGATGTAGAAAATTTTTAAAGGGATATTGTTAGAATTGTAGCTTGTGTAAAGTATAGGGTTTTACAAAACCTAATAGGAATAGAAATATTGATGTAACTTGTTTTTAACAATTCTATGAAAACAGTTATTTAAACATTCTTCTTCAATATTGGGAGAACTAAGCACCCTGACAAAAATGCCACTGCACATAAATCCTAGAGTGAAGACGATCATATTCTAAGTATAAAATCTCTGTGTGCTCTAATTTCCTCCCTCCTATTGTGGAGGCAACCGAGGATTTTTTGTGTTGTGTCCCCTCCCCCTTTCTACGTATTGTATTAATCAGTCAATTTAGAATTGCCTGTTCAGAATAGAACTGGACAACTGACTGGTCGCAGAGCCCTAAAGATGTTATTTTCCAGAAACTCTGTGCAATTATATCGTTAGATGTTGATCTTGGATACTTAAGTATTAGTAAGTGGTCTTTTGCTATTGTGTCCATATTCAGACATCTATGCATTTCTGGTTTAGGAGTAGTTTTGTTATATAAAAGGATTATAGGAACCAAGGATTGTTAACTATCCTATAAAGTAGAGCTGGGGGAGTTGTGTGTGGATTATAATATAGTCATTATTTAAACTATTAATTTTTCAGATGATGCTGTTTCACCTACATTATTGGGTGCAAAGTGGAATCAGGTTCTAGATCCCCCTTCTCATCGGCTGTCATGTAATCCAGCTCTGTCCAGCGTGCATGAAGCTTCAATTCCTAATGAGTGTCAACAGAGATTAAAGTCTTTCTCCCTGACCCATTCAACCACCACTCCAACCGGAGGAGAGGGGGATCATTGTGCTAATGGAATGGATCTTAGTATAAATCCAGAGACCCCAACTGTGTGGATTGATGATCAGGCAAAAGCAGATGATCATTTAATGAAGAGAAATAGTAATCAGGATGATCAGTGTAATGCTATGGAAACAGGAGAAAGGAAATGTGGAAATCCAGCCTGCTTGCCAGAAGAGAAGAATGTTCTAGTAGTGGCAGTCATGCATAACTGCGACAGAAGGACTCTACAAAGTGGCAATTTGCTGGATTATAAAAATTACAGCACTCAGTCCTTAATGGACACTATTAGCTTTACACTGGATAATGAAAACCGACAGAATGATCAGTTTGGTGTTACTGTAAATGGATCCACTGAAAAAGATACAGATACAGAAAAGCAAGGAGTACAGTTAGATCGGCTGTATGCTGAGGCTGACTCTGTTAGCCATTTGATTAATACTTCATCTGATAGTCTGTCCAATGCATGCCTCCCCCATCAATTAAAGGATGATTTTAATATTAATAGAGACTCTCTGTTCTCAGAGTCTACAATTGCAGGGATTAATGCAGTGACCTTATTGCAGAGACCAGTTGATGGTACTGTTAAAACACAAGAGAGTTGTGCATCAGTTGAGGATTTTATTAGCAGAGCAATTACTCAAAGAAAAGATTTGGAAGCTAAAAATTCTTCTCCTAGTTCAAGTAATGGAAGCTTCATGATAGAGGAAACTGTAGAAGAACAAACATCTCAACTGTATCAATCTGGGCTACCTGTGCTCTCTCAAACTTGTCAGCCTAATATGTCTGAAAGTGGCAATTACAGTGAACGCTTTGAAGAACGTATTACTTCTGAGGATGTTAGTGGTGTGGAAAGTGAAGTCAGTGAATGTGACAACATTCTCAGCACAACTGAATCACTCAGTGGGGCAGAGTGTTTCCCTGAATCTCAGGAGATGACTAATTGGGAATTGACTAAACTGAATAATAAGCAAAATCATGGAGAGAATGAAAGACTTTTGCAGATGAAAGTGCCTGAGGAGGCTTGTAGTAATAGTGGGAAAGATGGAGATGGGATGATGGAAGCAGGCATGGACATAAAGGGGATTTATATAGATGAGCTTGAAGGGTCCAGTCTCTCTGATGTTATGGGTACATCATCAGCAAGCTCTCTGTCTAATGGTTGTGATTCCTATGGAATGCAGAACCCAATTGTTGCTCATATTCCAAAGACTTTACCCTCCAAGGAAGACTCAGTGACAGAGGAAAAGGAGATAGAGGAGAGCAAGTCAGAATGTTACACTAATGTTTATGAACAAAGAGGAAATGAGGCTGCTGATGGGAGTGGTCTCATTTTAAACAGCACTGGTGACCAAATGAAGAAAAATTATGTACATAATCTCTGCAGTCAGGTACCATCTCTGCACGGGCAAACATTACCAAAACCAGTAACTAACCTGCAACCTATCAGTGTTCCATTTGGTGGTGCAAGACCCAAACAACCTACAAATCTTAAATTGCAAATTCCAAAGCCATTATCGGACCATTTACAAAATGACCTTGTTCCCCCAAACTGTGGAGGTAATACTAAAAATAAAAATGATGTCTTTGGTAAAGCAAAAATAGGGGAAACCTTGGCAGCAGATATGTTTCCTGATGAGAAATCGTTAAATGCCTCCATTGCTGATACCACTGGGGAACATTTAGAAGAGTATGAGTCTGGGGTCTCTAGTAGTCCGTGCCTTGCAGTAGCCCCAGATAGTCCAGATAATGATCTCAGAGCTGGTCAGTTTGGAGCTCCCACCAGAAAGCCATTTACTACTTTAGGTGAGGTGGCTCCAGTTTGGGTTCCAGATTCTCAAGCACCAAACTGCATGAAATGTGAGGCCAGATTTACATTCACCAAAAGGAGGCATCATTGCAGAGCATGTGGGAAGGTAAGTTCATATTCAGTGACAAAGCCTCGTGTTCCCTTATTTGTAATCATTCTCTCCCTCTTGCGCACTCTCAATCTCTCTCTCTTTCGCGCGCGCACACTCACTCTCTCTCTCTGTCACACACACACACACACACACACACACTATATATATATTTATATCTATATATCTATAAATATCTATCTATCTATATATATATCTATCTATCAGTAACCACACAAGACGCTGGCTACCATTGCCTCTGACATCTGTCTAAAGCACAGTAACATAGTCCATTTGATTTAGTTAGTTTCTTTTTAAAAAGTCCCTAGACTCTCACCTATTCTTCATTGTTCACATTACTTTAATAGAGAATAACTATTGGTTATTCATGATGATAACGATTATCCTTTAAAAGCAGTTTGTTAGTTGATTGTAGCCATTAACAGATATTGAATTCATGTAGGACTGCTATAAAATAACTAAGTGCAGGAAACTAATTTTCAAAAATCACTGCATCAATAATTTCCATTAACAACACTGAAACCTGTTGATGGGGATGGGAAGTGAGCTATTGAACTGCCAATTTTTCTGCTGGTTAACATAGCTGACTATCTTCAGTCTTTTATGTCCCCTTTACTCGCTTTGTACATGCTACCTCCAGTATTTACCAAAATATATCCTTGCTTTTGAAAAAGTGTATTGACTATAATAAGATTCTCCCAAATTTGATGGATAGGTGAGTGTTATTATGGTTATTAAGAGGAATTGTGTGGGAAGGTCAATTAAATGTAATTTTTCAATGTATTTTTATTGTATGAGGAATGTTTCTTTGAATATTATAACTAAGTTTATTTCTGAGTAAGAACTTATCTTTATACACCATATAAATTAGATAGGGCTGCATTAGTTTAAATGCAAATATGGCATTTTTGTGATAAAACAGTTCATAAAGTATTTGTAAATATTTTGTTGAAGTATAAGTAAATGGCACACACCACTGCAAACAGAAAATCTAAAACTAATTGATCAGTGTGACGGGTTCCCCCTGGGGTGGCACCTGGAACTGGGGTACCACTGAGCCCGTTGACCCACCAGCCTAGGCTCCCTCTCACACTGTACTGCTGTGACAAGCTACAAAGTCCTTCAGACTGCACTTTCACCAGCATACATACAGGTAGGGACACACCTGGCTGTAGTTACAAGCAGGCTCTCTGACCAGCCCCTGCATGGGAAAGCTACTCCCAGCTCTTCAGGCACGCACCCACTCTGGAGTATAAACCCAAAATTATACCACCTTGCGCTGCACAGGGAACTGTACAGCGTAAACTCATAAAATTCGCTCAATGTGGAGAGGAATGTGCAACAGCCTTTTGCCCCTGAGTTATGATTTCCACACACTGATTTCCAAGTTTATTAACTACAAAAGATAGATTTTAAGTGATTATAAGTGATAGCAAACAGATCAAAACAGATTACCTAGCAAATAAACAACAACCGCAAACTAAGTTTAATATACTAATTCGATTGGATATGAATAGCAGATTCTCACCCTAAGATGATACAAGCAGGCTACACATTAAGGGGCAAGCTGCACTTGCTATACAGCTTGGAATCCCCAGCTGTTACATTCACAGGCTAAAAATCCCTTTAGCCTGGGTCCAGCACTTCCCCCAGTTCAGTCTTTGTTCCTCAGGCTTTTCCAGGGGTTTTGTTGTGTGGGGAGTGAAGAACACCCGATGACGTCACTCCCTGCCTTATATAGCTTTTGCATATGGTGGGAACCCTTTGTTTCAAAGCTAGGTTCCCCGACTGGTCTGTGGAAAAAACGCTGCCATTCCCAGATGGAGTCTAGAGACATATTGTCACATCACGTCTTTGTAGAGTCATAGCAGCCATTACTTGGAGGCTGTCTGTAGCGTTCTCAGGAAGGCTCCCCAGGTGGGAGATAAGCTTCTCCTAAGGCCTTTTGTTTTTTACTAATGGCTCATTGACCTTAATAGGCCCTTCCCCACCCAGCTATCTAGACTGAAAGCATCTTGTCCAGTGGGCGTTAACCCAGATGTAACTAAATTTGAAGTACAGAAACATAGTTAATATTCATAATTTCAGATACAAAAATGATACATGCATACAAATAGGATAATCCTATTCAGCAAATCATAACATTTTCTATGACATCTCACATGACATATCTTGCATAAAATGCATCATAACTATTTCATAATCATATCATACTATCTGAAGAATATGGGGTGCAGTGTCTCAATCAGATTATTCAAAATTAATTTTAAAAACACTAGGCTGGCAAACATCCATGAATTACTTTAAAAATAAGATGAAAATGGAACATTCATGCATTTTTAAAATAAACATATTAAGGTAAATTTGGTTCATTTAAGGTCCAGTCCAAAGCCCTGTGAAGTCAACTGACTTCTCTGGGCTTTGGATCAGATCTTTAGCTGCCAGAATAGCGCAGGGAAGCAGAATGACATGAACAGAGGACCTAAAAGAATCAAATTCAGCAAACAGAGATTCATATCGGTCTGCTCCAGGAAGGAGACTTGCAGAAAACATTAAGTGTCCCATATAGCTGTCTAGGTATGACATTTGTCTTTCTTAACAACTAAAATACATAACACTGAATCTGTTCTCCTGGCAATTGTCCAATTAAGTGAAAGGACTATTAATCAAATTACCAGTTAAGTGGGTTCACAATCATATTTTTGCATTTGTTCCATGTTCTCTTTATTTGAGACTTGACGAAAAATTCTTCTCATGATAGTTCTGACTGGTTAAGCACTCTTTTGGAATAAACACATACTCTTACTAATACAAATAATATTGAAATCCACCAATACTAAATTATGCAATAAATAATGAAAAATAAGTAATACAGTCACTATCTACTTGTACCATATAGTTTAAATCCCTAAATTTAGTGCATCTTTCAATTATTGATGTGTTTAAATGCCCAATCCTACTCCTACCAAAATCAATGAGAATTTTTAATCCATCATGTCAGTGGAAACAGGATAAGGCCTCTCACTGGTATTTGATTTTAGCTGTCACTTATTTAAAGGGTCACTGTCAAGTAGCTAGGCCATACTTTAGTTTTTTGTGAGTTTACCAAATGACTACAAGCTTTGGGGGGGGTGTTTTAAAGAAAACCAGCTCTTTGGTTTGAACTCAATCATTCTCCTTGAAACCCAAGTTTTAGAAGTGGTATTGTTGCCCTTTGGCCCCTCCTGTTCTCTGCCTGTGGCACACAGTCATTTAGTCTTCTGAAGGCTGTAATATTTTGGTCTAATTCTGGTAGTTGGGTTTGGTATGTGGTGGCTGTGTAGTATTTAGTGGCTTGTGATGTACAGGAGGCCAGAACAGATGATCTGGTGGTCCCTTCTAGCCTTAAACTCTGAGACTAGTTTATTGTTGCTGAATGAGAAACAAAAAATGAAAATGACTGAAGGGTAAACAGAAATACATAGCTAAATAGACCGCACAAGGGGCAAAAAAATGTAGATTTTTAAAATGTTCAGTGTTAATAATCGAAGAGATTCTGAATCTGAATTGTAACACAACAGTTTCCCTTAAAACTAATCATTGTGGCCAAAAAGTCCTAAGAATAAAAACTGCATTTAAAAATAGTTGGATGGCACCTGGAGAAAGCGTTGCTGTTTTAATTTGTGTAGTAATTGACAAAATCAATGTGAGCCACTGAACATCAGGGAGATGGCCGAAATTAAATATGCATGTTTACCAAACTTTGTTTTAAACTTAAGAACTTGAAAAGTGATGAGATATTTTAGGGGAAACTATTCATTTTAATTGTTTATATTTTGTATATGTATTTTCCATTGTCATCTGTAGTGGTCACCTGTGATATCCTTGTGTAGAACAAGTGGAATATTTGTATGTGCCAGTTCTGTTCTGTAAGCCAAACTAGTGATTCTCCTTGCACTAAGTAGTAAAACAAAAACAAACATAAAACCTTGTAACTGCACCGTGTAAGCTTGCTGCGTTTAGACAAGCTGCCATTTTCTGCTATGTGAAATACTAATTGCTTGACAGTTGCTTTCAAATAAATATATATATTGCTGAAAAACAGGAAAGCACACTTCACTTTCACCTTAAATATTGTTTATATTTGATTATATACAACACCTGCACTCCACCTACTACAAAGTTAAAGATGCCAATGAGAACAGATGTTAACGTTTTGTCATTCTACTATCTATTTCTGTTTAGTATTTAGATCATAGAAATCATTGTGCTTGAAAAGCCTTGTTAAATGCAGACTGTAATCTTCTTCAAAGGGTCCTGAATTAGAAATTAATTAGTTTAGTCCTTTGGTCTGTGGTTGAGGACATTGATTTTTCCATGTTCTGTAATTGTCCTCCTAGTTTAAATCTGAACTGAATTTTCCAGTGGATAGGCTTCCCTGAGAATTGAAATGAAGCACAATATCTCAAAATAAATTACTCAGAAACCAGTGCTGGTAATATTGCTTTAAAAGCTGGTAAAGGATAGCTGACATAATTAGAAAAGGAAATGTTACAATTTACACACCATTAGATGAGATCATCCAGGTGACAAAATTGTTATTCCAGCTCTCATCATTTGTATGCTAAAATCGTGTCTCAGGCTTGGGCCTCATCTCTACGTTATAAACTACAACATTGTTACAGGACTTATTTACAAAATGGATGCCCCTCGTTACAACATGGCCAACATTTTTAGTGCACACTGAACCAAACTCTGTCATTTTAACTGGGCTAGGAGGTAGACAGACACTATTATGTTTAACTGTTGGAACAGAGTACTTTGACTCACTTGTAGTATAGACTGGTCTTTGTATGTAGTTTTAAAATGTGCAAGATTTAGAAATGTTGCAGTTGGGGTAGGAAAAAAGTATAGGATTACATGAAGGTCTATGAAGATTAAAAGAAAGATACACTGTTAATTATGCATATGAAAACCAAATAAAATTGAAACTACGTTAGGTTGAAATCTAAATTTCTGACTTGACTTTCAGAGAGAGTTTACAGCATAGTGTCTGATGCGTCTAAATTTCATATGCTTTAAGCTGTTTTTCTGCATGAAACATGCACTCATCAGTGGCTTCATATGTCACCTGAACAAAAGCCCTAGGACACATAGGGGAAAACATTGACTTTTTATTTAAATACATATTGTAAACCTTAAGATAGACTGGCCAGAATCTTGTCTGCACTGGAGAATTTGGGCATTACAGGCAGCACTGTATTGCCACATAGGTAAAGTACCTCATGTCTCCATACAAATGTTTGTAATGGTGCACAGGCATTGCCATTGTTGTTACAATTGCACTTTCTTGTAGCACGCTGCCCGGGGTCACTGAGCTGTTAGTCCTGGTGCAGGTGGAAAGTACTGGCAATGAAGCTACAGCGTTCTAGTTGGTCCTTCCAGCACAAGTCATGCAGTGTTCCCCTTTAGCAACCAGCGTGGTGTGGGATGAGTCTTGTACATTTGAACTACTGAGAGTTACAACAGTGCAGGTCTCAAGAGTAGAGACAAAATGGCTGTCCTTCCTTCTGAAATGTATCTCACTCATCCCTCCCCCTCCCCATATCCAGTTTTGGCTTTGATTTAAGTGACCAGAGAAACGGCTTGAGCACTTTCCCAGTGTTGTGTTTTAAACATCATTCATTCCAGAGAGCTGTAAAGGTGGCCACTATGGGATTACATATATGATTTTCCTGGTCCATTAGCCATTATCTCAAACCTGCATTTTTAAATTACTCCTGTGGGGAGTGTGTACATTTGTATTATTGCAGATAGCGCTTACTCCAGTAGGATTAAATGAGACTGACACTAGGTCATTTGATCTTAATCAATTTCACTGTGACGCTGTTGGAGGATTATTGATAATTTCCTTTCTAATTTTGCACCTTCTAATGTATTCAGTATCTGAATTAATCTATTTAAATTACTCTTATCATGAAACATTGAGTGATTCAATATGTTTTTTCTTTTGCTCCAGGTTTTCTGTGCAGCATGCTGCAGTCTGAAATGCAAGTTGCTGTACATGGACAGAAAAGAAGCCAGAGTGTGTGTAATCTGTCATTCAGTACTAATGAATGGTAAGTAGAAAGATAGGGACTAAATGCAAAGTTTTACTGGCTTTGTGTTGGTCAGTGGCTGCAGTATGCCTAGCCTATTGAAAACACTATATTCTTGCTGGCAAATATTTAAAAATGCAAAGGCTCTAGGGAAGTCAACTTGAAATCCTTGTGAGACTTGGGGACTCTTGTACCACACGTAATTAGGGAAACCTAAAAAGCAGGTAAGGTTGCAGAAAGATTAAGAGTTTTTTCATAAAGCACCCTGCTTGGATTTCAGAAAATTTGTTTTGTATGGAGGAAAGTATGGAAGCTTGCTCTGCTTGTTTTCTTAACAAATGGCTGACCTCTTACCCTCTCATACAGGAGACCAAAGGGAAGAAACCCACATTTGTGTCCCTTTCTAGACTACATACTATAGGGAAATCATGAAAGTAATCTTAGTTCACAAGAGGATGCTACTTCATTTCTTATTAGCTGACCTATTAAATAACATCACTATTGTTAACTCCTTCGTGTCAGAGAAGGAGGCCTGGTCTAATGGATTGTGTACAGGAAAAACTCCTGAGGTATAGGCACAACTAAATAACTCTTGTGTTCTGATCTGGGTCCAGGCAAATTACGGGCAGAACATGAGCTCTGAGGGAGATGCTGGGACCAAAAGGGCTAATACAATCCTTGGATGTATAAACAGGACTATTGAATAGAAGTGGGGCAGTTTATATTACCTCTGTATGTGACACTGGTGCTACTACAACTGGAATACTGTGTTCAGTTCTGGTATCTACAATTCAAGAAGGATGTTGAAACATTGGAGAGGTTTCAAAGAAGAGCCATGAAAACAATTAAAGGATTGGAAAATATTCCTTATAGTGATAGACTCAAGGAACTCAATCAAGTTTATCAAAAAAGAAGGTTAAGGGGTGACTTAAGCACAGTCTAAAGATGTACATAGGAACACAAATTGGATAATAGGCTCTTCACTCTAAGAGGCATAAGTGTAACAGGATCCAGTGGCTGGAAGTTGAAGATAGCAAAATATAGACTAGAAATAAGATTCAGTTTTTCAACAGTGCGGGTGATTAGCCACGGTAAGATGTTCCAAACGCTTGTGGTGAATTCTTCATCACAACACATTTTAGAATCAAGATTGGATGTTTTTCTAAAATAAATCCCGTAGTTTAAACAGGAATTAATTTAGGGAAGTATTATGGCCTGTGTTATGCAGGAAGACAGACTGTGGTCCCTTCTGGCTTTATAATCAGTCAGTCTCTGAAATTACTTAGGCCAGGGTTTTCAGAAGTGTCCACTTTGGGATGCCTTGATTTTTGTGTTCCCCATTGACACTTCACTTAGAGCTTGATTGTTCAGAGGACCTGAATACACCTGGAGGTCCCATTGACTTCAGCTGGAGTTGTGAATGCTCAAGTGTGGCATTCAAAATTTTTGGGAAGATTCCATAGCTGTTAAATGGGAATAATTTTTATCTATCTCAGAGGAGCGTTAAAGCTTAATTAATGTTTGTGAAGCAATTTGAAAAAATATAAAGTGCTAAATATCAACATCTTCCACTGGTGGCTATAAGCAGCATGATAAGAAATTGTAGTTTACAGTAACTAGGAATTAAAGGTAGGCACAAATATGACATTGGCTTTTGATGAATTATCAGACACGTAGATGAACATGATATATTGGGGATGAGTCAACGTGGCTTTTGTAAAGGGAAATCGTGCCTTACAAATGTATTAGAATTCTTTGAGGGGTCAACAATTATGTGGACAAAGGTGATCCAGTTGATATAGTGTACATGGATTTTCAGAAAGCCTTCGACAAGGTGCCACACCAAAAGCTCTTAAGCAAAGTAAGCTGTGCTGACAAAGTCTCTCGGAGACCCTGGGTTTCAGTAACCACTGGTGCCGTTTATGAAAGGTTGTGCTTCCGCCACCTTTTCACCATACACAGCTTGGATTCTAGTGTCTGCACCCAGGAGGGAAGAGCTATCACTCTGCTTCCACTCCCTCGCTCCCCCCCCCCCCTGCTTCCTTCCTCCCAGCCCCCGGCTAATTGGACAGGCAGCTGACTCCCATTCACCATTTAGGTGCAGGTTTTCTTTGGCCAGCTCCAGTTTACTTCCCTTATTAGGCGCTGGTGTGACAGAGGGCTGAGTCAGTAGTTTTTGCCCAGCACCCTGTCACACACGCCCCCCTCTTCTCCAACTGCCAGGTTCACCCATCCAAGTCCTCTTCGCCCCCTACTGGGCGGGGCCATATGGGGGAGTCCTCCCTCATCTTTCCAGTGACCTGCCGGGTCTTCCTTGTGGGGTTCAGCCATCCCCCACCCACAGAAGCCACATTGCGTGGTGGGTGGACGCTCCCATAGCTCTGCCGCCACCCACAGGTCCTCTCACCATTCATACCCCCAGGAGTGTTCCCCTTCCTTTTCTCCCTTTGCCCCTGAGAGGGGCTCGAGGCTGATCCCAGCTTTTCCCTGGACACCCAGGACTTCAGGTTCCCAAAAACCCGTCAAGCGGGGCCTGGGTCTCATCTTTCGGGGGTCCCCTTACAGGGAGTTCTGTTAGGCTCTTCAGCTCCTCTGAGGACCATGGGGCAGATACCGCCTCTATTCTTTCCTTCTCCCGGCCTTCCTGACTCGGGCTCTGTACTCTAGGGTTTTTTTGCTTCAGAGATCTCTTCCTCGAGGGGTCTCCCCCTTTTCCTACCGTGGGCCTTCCTCCCCTGACCTGCTTTCCCTCTTAGGCTGGGGTCCCAGTTGGTGCCCACCACCACTGGGTATGGCAGGCTCTCTACTACCTCAACCTGTTTCCAGCGGAACCTGTCCTGGACCTCAAGGGGCACCTGGACCATTGGGCACTGCCTCTCATCCCCATGGATGCTCTCCAAATTCACTTCGGCACCGGAAATCATCCATTGCAGCTTCACCAGCCTCCTGCTTACAAGAGAGCAGGGGGAGGCTGTATCCACCAGATCTCACTGGGGTCTCCTCCCCACCATCATGGGAATGGCGGACAGTTTCCGCCCCTTCCCCTATCCTCCAAAGTTGGTCCACCCACAAATCTCTGCAAAGCCACATTCCATGTCCGGGCAGTCCCCCTTTTTATGTCCCGGTCACCTGCTCTGCCAGCAGATGAGCGGCCTGGTCCCAGTGGGAGCTCCCTGGTTGTTCTCCCATTTTTAATCTGGACCTTTCCTGGTCGGGGGTTCCCTGGCTTTTCTCCCGGTTTCTTCTTCCTTATATGGGTGTCTTCTTTCCTGGGGAAGTTTGCCTCTGCATACTCCTCCATCAGTTTTACTGCTGCCTCTACCGTACTGGATTGGTGTCGTCTCAGCCATACCCATATGTTCTTGCGGAGGCCATGTAAAAACTATTCTCGGATGAGCACGCCCATGATCTCCCCCTCTGTCTGGGCATCAGGTCTCAGCCATCGGGTGGCCCAGTCCATTAACTACTGGGTGAATGCCCGGGGCTGCAAACCCCGTGTCCACCTCGCCGCCCGGAACCTCGACGGACAGCCCCACCCGATCTAGGATGGCTGCCCTTACTGCATCATATCTCCTGGCCTATTTCTCACTCAGGGCCATATAGGCCGCTTGGGCTTCGCTGGCCAGGTAGGGGGCCAGCCGCAGGGCCCAGGTTGTCTTCTCCCATCCTGCCTCACAGGTCACCCAATTAAATCATTAGGCAGCAGGTTTAAAACCAACATAAGGAAGTACTTCACACGATGCAGTCAACCTGTGGAACTTGGTGCCAGGAGATGTTGTGAAGCCCAAAAGTATAATTGGGTTCAAAAAAGAATTACTGTAGATAATTTCCTGGAGGATAGGTCCAGCAATGGCTTTTAGCCAAGATGGTCAGGGATGCAGCCCCCTGCTTTGAGTGTTCCTAAGCCTCTGACTGCCAGAAGCTGGGACAGGGGATGGATCAGTCGATAATTGCCCTGTTCTGTTCATTCCCTCTGAAGTGTTAGGAACTGGCCACTGTCAAAAGACAGGATACTGGGCTAGGTGGAGCATTGGTCTGACCCAGTAGGGCTGTTCTTATGACAAAGGTGCTGAGAAGTGTTACATTTTAGATAGAGAAATTAATACATTTCAGAATGAACCGAACAAGAACAATGAAGTATGCATGTGTTTGGCCAGAGACTGCTGGCTCCATTTGGTTATGAGTAGGATTTGTTTTTGTTTTGGAGAAGAGAGGAACCTGAAAATATTTTAGTTGAAACCAAATGTTCTTGTAAAGAGGTATAACAAAATTGATCACGTTACAATGATTTCCTTTTAAAAGCTTTTCTGTTCTGTTGCCAGCACTGATACACATTAGTGGTAGACAATAGTGACACCACTGCTTGTTTTATTATAGGGAAAGCATTGCCTGCATACTAGCATGTATCTGCTGCTGGGCCAACTTGTCATCTGTGTTTCTGTCCATCTGCAGTGCTTTGTAATGATGATTTCCTTTTGCTAGTCAGTTGCCTGTCAGTTCATTTGACCAGATCTAATCTTACCTGATCCAATCAGTTTCCGTGCAGTTCCAGATTTTTGTAATTCAGGGCAGTTCCAGACTTTTGTCATTCAGTGCATTTTGGGTTAGTCATTCTTTGCACTTGTATGGATTATACTTTGGATGTAGTTATTTCACTTGGTTGCTGAATTGGATTTTCATTTCACTATTTTTTGTTTAATAGTGCTCATCCATAGACATCCATTAAGTATGTGCTTATTTCCGGTTCCTGATGCCATCTTTGCCTGAGAAGGTATTTCTAGTGGATAACTATTTCTGAACTGACACAGGCTGTGATGAAGTGAAGGAGAGAAGATTGAAACAAAACTGCTCTAGGTATCCCAAGAAGGCGATCCTAAGGATATCTGTTTCCTTTGTTTTAAGTCTCCCTCCTATATGTCCGGACTCTGTATTGACACTGAATTGCTTTTTAAAAATCGTTGAATCTGCCCTTTCTCATCAAATTGAAATGTCCTAAAGGGCTCAAAATCCTTTCACTGGCTCTGCATTGTGTTTATAAGTTGATATAATAAAGAGCTATTTTTCTTTGATGTCCTATTTGCTTTTCTGTGGTTAAAGATGTTCATATATAGCTTAGTTTATCTAGCACCTTTCATCCCAAAGGAGTCGAAAAGCTTCACAAATGTTTTTTTGAATACAGTATGTGATTGGTTTAGGTACCTGTGGCTGCCCTGGAGAGACCTCGGGTACCTTGTATCAGAGGGGTAGCTGTGTTAGTCGGTATCCACAAAAACAATGAGGAGTCTGGCGGCACCTTAAAGATGAACAGTTTTATTTGTTAAATAATCTGTTCATCTTTAAGGTGCCACCGGATTCCTTGGGTACCTTGATGCATATGTGTTATTATTTGAATATATTTATTTGTAACACATTCGTTTATTTGAAGGGGCGGTGTGCTCTGCTGCGCGTGTGAATCGCATGGTTATCTTGCTGCACACCTTTTTATGTGCTTTTGCCTATATAGACAACCAAATAAATAGCTCAGTTGAGATCCAGTTCTGCAGTGTTCTCTGACTAAAAGAGAAGAGCTTGTTCTCTGACTGACATTGTTGACTTAAAAGTGGTGTGTGTTGTATTTAAACTAAAAATCATTTGGGTTTTTTGGGTTGAGTTAAAGTTCAGGCCATGTCTTCAAAAGTTCACAGCACACAAACTTCTTCAAAGTTTGAAAAATAAGGTGTTACGGTAGACTGGTTTATTCTGGATATAAAAAAATACAATGTACTGTACTCATTTGCAAAAGTAAATCTGTTGCCCTGGTGTTGTGTAACCTAGATTGCAATATCTTTGGGGTAAAGAGTGAGACTTTTGCCTGTCTGTAGAATGTCGTGTAACCCTCTGGTAATGTATAAATAAAAATTGATTTTTCAGATCCTCTAAGGAGACGACAAAATGACGGATAAGGAACTAAGTGCCACTAACACCAAAATATATAGCTAACAATTTTGGAATACACTTCCATGTAAGCTGAGGTTCTTATCACAGAACACCAATAGTCTTTCCATGTATTTTGTTCTTTAGTCACAATTTCACTGTGTAAGTCCTCTCTGTTTTTAATCAAAGTAAGAAGAGATTGCCCAGGGTAGGTGGAAAAGCCCAGAGCTATTGGAGCTGTGAATTTACCCATCATCGTGGAGTGTTGCGTACTTAGATGTACATTCACATTTCTTGTTTTCTGTTTGCTTTAGCTCAAGCCTGGGAGAACATGATGAGTGCCTCAAGCCAGAGTCCTAACCCTAACAATCCTGCTGAATACTGTTCTACTATCCCTCCCTTGCAGCAAGCTCAGGCCTCAGGAGCCCTGAGCTCTCCACCTCCCACTGTGATGGTACCTGTGGGAGTTTTAAAGCACCCTGGAGCAGACAGTAAGAAAAAACTTTCACTTTTTTCTAAACAAGCTTTGATTAAATGTGAATGTGAATCTCTGGTAACACACCCCTTTCAAACCTTGCAGCTAAGGACACTTGTCATGTGGGTTGGGTCAAAGGGAAAGAGAAATGCAGACAGGAAATGTATGTACAAATGTAATTTCCAAACACATGGAGATGATTGAGCCTAATCATGCTGGCTGATATTTCTCTAAAGTACTTAGTGTGTAGGAATTATATCAGAGAGCCCCATATATGCAATAAAGTGTTTTTTTTCTTGTATTGATTAAGTAGATATCTTATTTTCTTAGTCTAGGGAATCTTGCACAGATACCATCTTACCACTTGTTCCTCCCATCTCTACTGTGTATTATAATACTATCAACCCACTGACCCTGGTGCCCTTCTGCCACCATTTGAATTTGTATTCAATATTTGCCTAATACTGTTAATATGGATTTGTCACATCCCTGCTATCATTGCTACTTTTTACATTAGAAGTAAACCACTTCACTTTTCTTGAGCGAAGCTTCCATTTCATGTTGCTGTGAGATTTTGAACTCTATTTTTCTCACTAGTGGCTCAACCCAGAGAACAAAGACGTGTTTGGTTTGCTGATGGGATATTACCTAATGGAGAAGTTGCTGATGCAGCAAAATTGACAGTGGCTGGGACGACTCCTACAGGAACCCTAGCAGTGTCTCATGATCCAACCAAGCCTGTGACCAACAGCACTTTATCAGTAGAGGTGAGGAAACATTGTGCTGTTTATTTTTCAGAACAGCATCGTCACGTTGTCCTGGATGGTACATTCAGTTCTATGGCAATTTAAGTGAGACTGATACGTGCAGTCTGTTGATTTAAGATTCTCTTTTAGTAATATGTATGGCTTATGTCCATGCTGATTTTGAGGTTTGCAGAGAGCTGAAGCTGGCTATGTATTTTGGAATGAGCCGTTGAATTGCATATGCCATTATGAAGTAGCATTTTAGAGCTCTAATCCAGTATCAGGCCACTACTGTGCAAGGAGTTTTCCAAGCTTTGGGTATACAGCCTGTCTGTATGGATAAAGGGACGGGCTTAAATTCAGCCGGAGCGGCCCGGAACGGAGCTCTGGTAAATATTTTCAAACTCGTGGGCAGAAGCTTGGTGTAACCGTAGCTGCTTTGTTTCTGTTTTGTTTGTACGCGTGTTTATAGAGAGAGGAGGTGCTGGGTCTGTCTTAGTCTGTGTCAATGTCATGTACCCAGGGGCGGCTCCAGGCACCAGCGCACCAAGTGTGTACCTTGGGCGGCAGGCCGCGGGGGGCAGCCTGATGGTTGCCGTGAGGGCGGCAGTCAGGCTGCCTTCGGCGGCATGCCTGCGGGAGGTCCGCTGGTCCCGCGGCTTCGGCAGCTCTTCGGCGGCGGGCACGCCGAAGACGCGGGACCAGCGGACCTCCCGCGGGCATGCCGCCGAATCCGCGTTACCAGCGGACCGTCCGCAGGCGCGCCGCCGAAAGCCGCCTGCCTGTTGTGCTTGGGGCGGCAAAATACATAGAGCCGCCCCTGCATGTACCGAGGGTTAACTTGTACCTCTGATAATTCTATAGAGTGGATATACCTCGTTCACCTACATCTAGCAATCTAAGGATGAAGTCTACCCAGCTCTTGCTTTTTTTTTTAAAAAGCTGTTCTTTCTTATTGTTTCCTTTTTGTAGACTGATAACACTTCTGGATTCTCGGGCAGTATAACTCAGGTTGGCAGTCCAGTTGGCAGTGCGATGAACCTGATCCCTGAAGATGGTCTTCCTCCAATTCTGATCTCCACTGGAGTAAAAGGAGGTGAGAGCTGTAGGGGTAAATGGACAGCTATTTGTGACATTTACTGGTGGCAGCTTAACAATTCAGGCTGCCACATATAGATAGAAAGTTGGATCCTGGATATAGCCTAAAGATATTAACGATGAATACTAATGTGTAGTTAACTGGCTTGGCACTAGATAGTGCTCACAGGCTTCTGTAGAAAACATCGTTCTGACAATGAAATTACTATTAAAAGTAAAATACAAAGCAAAAAAAAATTGAGCCCAGAAGTATGTGCTAATTTCCTTATTAATCAGACTGTGGGGAACATTCAGCACAGAGATACATTTTAATTAGTCATATAAATATTCATGTTTCCACTCTGTGAAATTTTCTTGGAACTTCTGCTTGGTTGAAGGTATCCCAAAATATATAATTTAATGACATCATAAATACCATTGGTTGTGATGAGACTTCTCATACTTGTGAGTATCTTAAGTGAACCAGGAAGTTCTTAGGAGAGCGTTAGCATGTATTAGTGGCCTTAACTCACTTTTCACTTTTTTTTTGTAGTTCCCCTTTCAAATTTGTGTTTAGTTCAGCATATTTCTAATTAAACAGTAAGTAACTTTATCTAGGATATTGTTAAAAAAAATAAGTAAGCATACTTACATTTTCAAAACCAGTCTGCCCCCATGCTGTATTAGCTATTCATGAAGCTGCCTAATTATTGAACCTCTGTAACAGAGAGAAACTAGTAATCTAGCTTTACTTAATTAAATTGCAGCATGCTTTTCAGCACATGAGCCAAAACTCACAAGCCCAACAATTTTACATGGATATCATCAGTAAATCATACTTTGTGTATGCTTGAATTAATTCAAATGTCATTGTGCCTGGTTTGACTTACAACATTTTAACCACCAAGTGGACATTTAAATCAAATTTACAAAGATTTCAAATATACTTTTCACTTTAGTGAGGTGAACTTTCTCTCTAGATGTTTATAGGTGGCAGGATAACAAACACCCTTCCAAATTTCCCTTATTTCTTTATAAAGCCACATTGCTGACTTGTAGGCAGGAGCACAGATTACTTCAACAGTTCGGGTGTTTATATTTAAACACTCAGTTCATGTGGATCTAATCAAAGAAAGTGTCTATATTTTGAGTATCTTACTGAATAAATTTGAGACACAGGATTTGAACCTTCTGTCCATTTTTTTTATTCTCCCTCCTTTGCTGTTGTACTGTAGGCTGTTGCACTTGATTGTAAGCTCTGTGACTGAAGCTCCTAGGTGCTACCACAATATAAATACTAAGTGTTAACGTTGTTGGGGTTTTTTTTAGCATTTCACATTGTAGTCTACACTAACACTTGTTTCTAAAAGGAAGTCAAAGGTTTGATTTTTCAAGTTGTTACTGCTATTGATACAAATTAGTTGATAAAAATTAAGGCTGGAATTTTCAAAGGGGCCTGAGGGAGTCAGGTACTCAAATCATTGAAATTTGAAAATCCCGGCCCAACAAGTATCAGAACAAAATAAATTTTAAAATGTCAGGTAAAATGTAAGTGAATCAAACTGTATACATTAGAGTGATGTCATTGCTTAGCTGATTACTTTGCTGAGTAGATTACTGTCCAAATAAGCAAATGACTTCACGATGCGTTTCTTTCTTATAGACTATGCTGTAGAAGAAAGACCTTCTCAGATCTCTGTGATGCAGCAGCTGGAAGATGGCAGCCCTGACCCTCTTGTGTTTGTTTTAAATGCAAATTTGCTGTCCATGGTTAAAATTGTGAATTGTAAGTTATTTTTTTATTTAATAAGAGGGGGGCAAAAAGATTGTCTACGTATTCCTGGTTGAAAACACAGCATTTGATATTTACTACCCACAATCTGTGAATTGCTGCATGGAAGTAAAATGTACTATATTTTTATTCCTATTAAATTATAAAACGCAGCGATCCCTTGCTCTAGGTTGGATTAGTCCAGTTTGTATTTTTGTATAAAATTATCTGTACATGCGCCTGGAGCATCCTACATACCCATCCAACCCAACAGGGCTCACTATTATTCACCAATCCTCCCCTCATTGTTAATCCACTTGAACCCTTCTCATATCTCGGGAAAACAGATAAATCTTTCAATGATGCTCTGAAAACAAGCAGGATTGTGGCTCTGTCAGATCAGGGGGTGAAGTGAGTTCCATGGTCAGACAGCCCTCGCTGAAAACACCTGGCCTCTCAGATCATCTGGTCTATATTATGGAGGGGGTATGAGTGGGGAGGCTTTTAGTTTAAGTGCCTCAGTTGGTCTCCACTTTTATTTCAAAATAAAAAGCAGGACACTTTTGTAGCAACACATTTTTAGGGTCACTAAATGCTCATACAAAAGATAAAAAATGCACTTTTAAAATGTGTGCTGGTTTTGCTACTCTCAGCATCTGACTCAACAGCAACATGTTCATATTTCTTGGAACATGTCCTACATCCCCTTTCCCAAACCTCAAAGCAGTGTAGTGGCCCAGTGGACGATGCTATGCACCATCCGATTAGCCATCGCCCTGATTCCTCTACCCCCATCCACATTCCACCCCTATTTTGGAATGTAGACCCCTGTTGTATTGATCTGCTCTGTTGTGTTCAGGCATGTTTGTGTGCAAGATTTGGGTCATAGAGCCTTAGGTATCTTAGTAGCAAGTGCCAGCGTTATGCAATGTTAGCGTAATTGATTTTTTTTAAATGTGCTGTCTTCCGATAGTGAAGTTTGGGCATGGCAAACAGATGTTGAGTGGAAATCTACTTTTTCCAGCCTGAGTCATGTTTTCCTCTCTGCAGATGTGAACAGGAAGTGCTGGTGTTTCACTACAAAGGGAATGCATGCAGTGGGGCAGTCGGAGATAGTGATTCTCCTGCAGTGTTTACCTGATGAGAAGTGTTTGCCGAAGGATATCTTTAATCATTTTGTGCAACTTTATCGGGACGCCTTGGCAGGTGGGAACGATTTCTATTTGAAATCTATAGTAGGTGACTTCAATAAATAAAATTAATGGACTAGAGAATTGCTTTGATAAAATTGAGAATTTATTTTTATTTAAAAGTAGAAAATGTAGTGATCAAAGTTGGTAGTGATCTGAGTTCACTTCAGTTATTAGTATTCAGTATTAGTATGATATTCACTAAGGTAAATGGGAGTGCAGGAAATAAAGTATCTACGCTCTAATTGGAGAAGAGGGTAGCATTGCAGTAGCAACAATTATATTGAAGGGGAAATGCTTTCCTTCTAAGCCCCTTTTGCCAGCTGTCTGTAATTTTCAAAAAATTATACTTGGATAGGATTTTTTCTTGTTGTTTTTTCAGCTCAAAAGTGACTCTCTAAGGTAAAATTATTTTCAGCCCTTACTAAGTTCTCAAAGTGTGAAAGTGTGTAGGGGAGGGCAGGGGAACTGCGTCTGAGCCAGGCATGTACACATGAGAGGGGGTAAGGTGAATAAAGGTCCATCATATGGTACTACAGCATTAGGGCTGGAATAGTCGCCATAAAATCTCTCTGCAATCTGTAAAGAGGGATTCTTCCATGCATTTATCTGGTGCCTGGTCTGGTATGCCAGGTGCTGTCCTCAGAATTTGAGCAAGGGTTACATAAATTTGGAGTTGGTAGCTCTAGTTTTTACAGTGCCTAGCACAGTGGGCTCCAGACCAGGGCTCTTGGGCACTACAGTAATACAAATAATATAGTAATAATTTCAGTTTGCAATCAGATGTTTTTAACACATGGAAATAAAATGCAAGAAATCGTTAATGAAGCATTGTGGTTATGGTAAATGCACTAAAATTAGGTAATTCAAAATTATGATTTCCTATAGTAATTGTAAATTGGCCACATTACAGCATAAAAAATGACGTCATAAAGTAATGTTATGTATATATGTAAGGCATGGATGAATTGCAGTTGCTGTAGGATTCATACCAGAATTTCCTATCTTTGATACATATAAAATCCCAACCATAAAGTTGTATTAATATAGTTTTTTGTACCTAATTTAGATATTACTGGACAAATGGGCTGTCACTTTAACAATTGCCACTCACAAGAATCCAAAAATCATTGGTCATAAAGAAAAAAAATGATGGTATAAAATATCTAGATATGTTAATTTATTTTGTACTCCAGGTTAGTCCTCTAGAGGAGAAATCGTATTGCACACAGGGATTTATATTAAAAATTCATATACATGTACAGATCATCTATTGCATGTTCTGTACAAAGTATTGTAAATAATCATCCAAAGCTCTCTTTGAATGATCGATTGAATCCAACTGTTAAGTGAGATAATGAAAAAGAGGATCTCAAAATATCTGTCTTTTTACAACAAAGGCCAGCTTGTCCAGTGAAGGTGCTTGATACAAAATGTACCATTGTCACATGGCCTTACTGGTTTCAGATATGGTGGGAATAAATAATTTCCAAATCTGACTTAACCAACAATGCAGAAACGTTGTTGTCTTCTAACTATGATGATGTGTATATTGCAGTGCTATGGTGTACAATTACGCTACATAATTTATAACTTCTACATAATGTATTCTGAGTCCTATTTTTAGCACTCTACTGGTAGTAATTTGATGTACTACACCGCAGTGCTAAGAGAGGTAGTGCTAGTTTTACAATTTTTAATCAGAAACCAAACTCCAGCACTTAGAGTTCCCAGTTTTGGAGGTAGTTTTGAAAATACTTATTGCTATATTTCAGACTTGTAGTAGAAACAAGTTCTATCTTGAGTAGCTGTATGATATAAAAATGATTCTCACTCAGGCTTTAATAAATCATGGGATGCAGGATAAATTCCCACAGCAGCATATAATGCATTCTTTACATATCCATCCTTTCCTCTCCCGAAGTTATGTACCTATGAGAGAAATAAAATATGCACTCATAAATATAGGATACTTGCAGACTTAACTTTCCTCTGGCTGCTTTCCTCTCTACTCACCAAGAGGAAAAAAAAGTGAGGTGCCATGAGAATTTCTCCTGTGTGACTGTAATTTCTTGGGTGTTGTTAACAAGCATGCTGGTTATTACAGACATGTCTAAGCTTCCAATTTTGCCCATTTTATCAGAGGTGCTGCACCCCTCATGTTTATCAGTCTGTGAGAGCGGATTTGCAGTGAATGAGAATTTATTATAGAAATTAGAGACTGCTTGAAAGCCTGCCTAGCAATTTTATTTCTTGATTATAGTATATTTATTTGAATTGGTGTTGCAGCCAGGGAACAGAAGTAATTTTTTGTTTTTTGAAGAAAGTTTGCTGCAGAAGGTAAATAGGGAGGAACATAACCATACTGGTTATCAATATAGTATCTTGAACAGCTAGGATACAGAAATTGGTTACTTAGTTTTTGTCACTGAAAATATGTGATAATTATTTTTGCTAGATTTAGGTAAGTAACAAGAGATGTGCACAAACCTTTGGTGAATTTTCAGGAAACAAAATTAAATATACGTGCTAGCTCTTCCATCTCAGTTCTTCACTTTTCAACTCCACCTTCATGGAAGTAAAAATCTTAAATGTTTTTAATATATATATTATATATAGGGTAAAGTTGCATAAAACCACATTTAGTGCAGTGTTGATGCTAGTTTGAAGTTTCTGCTTTGAAACTGCAATGATTTTCTTCATAAAGCATTATCAATTCACTGTAAAGCTGGGGTCTGTTAGGTGTATAAAGAGTTTTTAATTGCAAAACTGCTGATATTTTGAAGAAAAGATACAGGGTTCCAGTATGGATTGTATGCATAGAAAATATATTTTAAAATGCAGGGCTCCCTCTCTCCTCCCCATCATTTTGTTTCCCCTCTGGCCCCTAAAGGCTTTGTTTGTTGTCAAGCTCCCTGCTGAAGTGTTGCTTTTCTTGTTTTGAAATGGTAGGCTAATGGTTTTCTGTTGTAGTAGTAATCCCATGATGATGTCTTTGTGTTGGATATAAGCCCAGCAGGAAGTCCAGTAAGTTGAGAAATGAGAACTTTGTCCATGTCACTGGCTTCTTTGAAGTAGCCAGGCATGCTAATTGAAAGCTGCTCGACATGCCTTAGTACACTAGCTTATCTTTTGATGGAATATAATAAGTACTTCCATTTTAATATTGACTAATGTAAATCTGGGAACAGGTGATTTAGTTCCACTGCCTAAAGACGACATAGGTTTGTGTAAGATTTTGTTTAATTTTTATTACGTTTTTCATTAAATGAGCATGAAGCATTAAGAGGAGCAACATAGAAGCCAAATACAAAGTTCATATATAAAGATGTACATATAAAACCTGGATAAATGGGATACGTTTCATATACCTTCACTTCCAGACTGTAATGCACAGAGATGAATGCAAAACATACATTACTTAGGCACAGACACAAAACCTAGGGAAGACGGCCACACCATGGCATGAAGAAGAGATGAGGCACAGAAAAAATCTAGTGTGTTCAGCTTTATATTTGTTTTCTCAAACTTGGCATCTTCTAAAGCATGTTGCACCAAAGTGTTAGATATGTGGTTCTCTCCTGTGTATGTATTTGGCCCTCACTACCATGCTGTCTGGTTTGTGTCTCACATTTTCAAGCAGAGAGTATGAAATTTTTTGTAGAAATTCAACTGGCCTGATTTCCCCCAAGTATTATTGATTCAGTTCTATTGCTGCAGGATTAAGTTGCACACATTTCCACCTTTATGGATTGGCATTTAATCTTAGGCAGTCCTTGATGGTGATTACTGTTCATGATGAAACGAGGGCTGACTGTACAACTGAGGCAGCTCCCACTCCACTTAATTGCATATTAACATATTAAGAAAAGATACTGGGACCAATTCTCTGACATGGAATTCATCAAATGATATGGAAGACATCAGTAATTTTAAAAAGCTCCACCCATATGGTTTCATTGAGCACTAAGCAGGGATGTCTCATTTTGTATGTAATAAGGATAAGGGTACATGAGAATATACTAGCACCTAAAAATCTGTTTGTAAATAACAAGGTAGAGAACTTGAGTTAGAAGCCAGTCTGTCCTCAGTTAAAATATGGAAATAGCTGAAACTGGAAAGTTGTTTAAAGCAAGTAATGAAGAAACACGGTGGTCCTTTCCTGGTATGAACTAATTTAACTGATGAGGTCAAAAAGTATTGTCTAATAAATATACAAAATTTGTTGCTCATTAAGCGAAAAAGACCCAGTGAAGAACTAGAGAGAGTCGGAATAGGCCCTCAGGAGGAAAGTCACATCAATGGACTGGCGGGTGATGATTTTTTTTTTTTAAAAGAAATCTATAGAGCTGCTTGGGATTTAAGGTCAAGGGTAATCCAGTATAACAGAGTACTTAGCTGGTATTGAACTTCTGCAAAGCTGCTTTAGATGCATCATGCACACCTATGGCAATTTATAAATAATATTAATCTGATTACGTCACATGCATGCGGCAACTACTAGCAAAGGCACCTTTCTCTGTATTTTGGAACTACTCTAGATTTGTTTCTTTTTACAAGGAAGTTCTAACATAGTCTAAGTTAAATTATATGCTTTTGAGAAGGATAGCCTAGTTGAGGTTCCTTTATTTACAATTGCATTTTGGCTAGAAGCTTCTGAAATAACTACGTGTTGTGTGCAGAGTAAATAATATAGGATCTGGCTGTGGTTTATGGTAACAGGGTATTGGATGATTGAGTTGTAGTTTCCACTCTTGCTGGGTTTATAACCTGACTTTCAATTTGGGTTGGGATGAAAATTGTCCTGAAGGCAGCCAAAGTATGCATCCCTCGAGCTGTTGCCTTCAGAAGGCTGGTGCCTTTCACTTCTGATTCAATACTTGGCTTCAGTCACAAATGGAAATGTTTGGTCTCTTCATTATCTCTGTTGGACAGTAATCCATGTCACAGAACTGTACAATAGTATATAGCTTTATTTTCCTATTGTCTTTTGTACAAACAGTACATGAGGGAGATGTATAGAATTAAATAGTTACACTTAAAATAATTCAAAGACTCATATATTTTAAGGCTAGAAGATATTATTATGATAATGTAATCTGACTGAAGAACTTCACCCATAATTTTTGCATTGGGCTCATAACATTTATTTGAATAATAGTAGAGGAGAAAAGATAGGCAAGAAAGAAGAAATGTTTTCCGTGATTTGGAAATGGGCAGAGAGCCAAGACACATACTTGAAAGCTGTTTCAGAGGAAAGAGAAAGCTCTTTCATGGGCATTTATTTTTCATAATTTTCATTCACTATTTAAACTTGGCACCTAGACACATGATTGGTGCACTAGAGCCCCCATCTGCTGCTTCCTTTGTTCCCTCTGGTGCAGTGAATCAACAGAGAGAGGAGGGGGAGGGCGCGGGGTCCATTGGGGTGTCTGCCCCTTCTATTTATAGTCCTGTCCTCTAAGAGGCATTTCCAGCAGGGAGCATGGCGCCTGGGAGACTGTGTGGATGGGAACCCCATGCTGCTGCTTTGCTAAAAATGTAGATTTTCTACCCATGCCCCTTTTCCTGCCAATGAATAGCCACTTAGCAGGTAATGGCCCATTGACTTTGTTTAGACCTGGCTGAGGCATAAGCCTACGCCTTTGTCTCTGAAGACCTTGTCTACACTAGCTGGGTAAGTCAAACTAAGTTATGCTACTCCAGCTATGTGAATAACATAATTGAAGTCAACGTAGCTTAGGTCGACATACCGTGGTGTCTTCACTGCGCTGCGTCAACGGGAGACGCTCTCCTGTCAACTTACCCTTACTCTTCTTGGGGAGTTGGAGTACTGGAGTCGAACGGAGAGCGCTCTACCGTCGATTTAGTGGGTCTTCACTAGACCCGCTAAATCGACACCTGCTGCATCAATTGCAGCAGCGTCTCCCTGGTAGTGAAGACAAGCTCTTAGTAACACCATACAATGGAATTGTATAAGTTTGCATACATTGTTGCTACACACATTTTACCAGGACAATAATGACCAGCAAATTGTGAGTTTTCAAATGATACCTCACAAGGCATACTTTATACAAAGATTATTACAATAGTGTACGAGAGGTAAATACAGAGGTACAGTTTGTCACAATATGCTTAACTGGTTAGAGTGTTTTTACTTTTTAACCTTTGAGAGTTCTTTTTTAAATGGGGTGAAAGTTTCTAGATGATAGAATTTGCAATAATTTGACAGTGTAGATTTCTAACACATCCGTGTGTGTGTGTGTGTAAAACTCAAATTTAACTTGAAGATGTGATCATAGAATCAGATCCTACTGAGTGACTCCTGTGAGATGCTGACTGCCTTCAATTCGAATTGGCTTTTTGGGGAAATGAGTCCTCAGCACCTTGCAGGATTAGGCCCAGTGTTAAAAAAGAGAGCCAGTAAAGCAACATTAATAACAATGTTCACAGTTTCTGAATATTGGTCCAAAAAAGGTTAAATCATACTGAAAAAAGCAAGAGTTGTATTGAGGTGGGTTTGCCTTTCTGCCTTCCCCCTCCAGAATTCCAAATGGATCGGTATGGGGATATACCAAGGACTGAACACTTCTTGGTTGTTCATGAGTCCTATCCCATGGAAACATTGCTATCAGCAGCAACAGATTGTCATTTCGTATGCAAAGAGTTAGGATTCCTGTACTTAGCTGCAGGAGGCAGTGAGATGAAGCTTCTGTTTACAAACATGCCCTACTAATTAGCTAGAAGTCCAAACTCCCAGGGACGTACAGAAAAAGTAACATATGATGATTGTGCTGGTCTGGGAGAGCTGCAGAGACAGTGCCCTTGGTCGATGAGGGCAAGAGAGGAACATCTTGTGTCGCCCTCAGGTGAGACTCTTGGAGCAGAACCATGTGCAGCCCTGGCTTCAGAGAGAATCAGTGTGACTTGGAGCCTTCGGAAGTGAGTTGATCCAGGGACTTCCTCCAAACTACTGTTGGTTAACCCTTCCTTTGCCAGATAAAATTGTAGTAGCTTTATCTATTTTTAACACACTGTAATTTGTAGTCATTTGAAAATGGCTTTAGGCTGTTTCATAACAAAATCAAGAAGCCTTGTAACTGGCTGCCACATCTACAGTTCAGAGTGCTGATATAGCTACTTCGATGTGACTCAGAGATTTTACTAACTTAAGACCCAGTGTTCCTCTCAACTGTGTGGCATGGAGCAAAACATTAGTAACTGCTTTAAAATGAACATGAATGTTGCCTTAAATTAACAGTAGTCAACTAGGGGACAGCAAGGAGTGCATAGAGTGAAAGTTACACAGAAGTGAGGTTTTTACCCACGAAAGCTTATGCCCAAATAAATCTGTTAGTCTTTAAGGTGCCACCAGACTCCTTGTTGTTTTTGTAGATACAGACTAACACGGCTACCCCCTGAAACTAGGGGACAGTGGGCTTCAGAGGCACGGACGGCTATACACTGTAGTAGAAGTGCGGAGACAGAGACCAATGCCTACACAGCGATCTCTCTTAGCAGACCTGCTGACAGTTGTGAAGAAAATTCAGCAGCAACTATTGCTTTTTAGATGGCAGTTACCTTCCCCTTGACACTCTCTGTTCCTCTCTAAGAGGGGAGGGAATGTACAAATGTAGAAGGACAACCAGCAATAACACACCTATCAAATCAACCATGCTACTGGAATAAAGGAAGCCCTGGAATTGTTGCAGAAGAGCTGGCCTTCTGCCTGGATGTCTCCAGACCAGTGGTTCTCAGCCTGTGGACCAATCAGCAGACAGCAGCAGCCCATGTGACATCCTGAGGGCCGTTCTGGTAATATATCGTGTGGATGTGGCCTGCATAACATACAGAGAGCTTCATATGCAGCCCACAATGGTAAATAGGTTGAGAACCACTGCTCCAGACCAAAGGGATTGGTGCCAAGATTCCTCGTGGGTCTCCAGAGATGGCATGAAGGCCAGACCACAGTCCCCTTCATGAAGTTACTGATCTCCCCTCCCCAAGAGCAGCACGTGCTGCCTTTGTAAATCCTAATAAAACACAAATTCTGACATTCGATAAGAATGAGAAATGTTATCAGATGTCTCTATACATTATTTAAACGTTGTTGTGCCCTTCAATAAAGGGAAGCACATTAATGTATTTTGTGTACACGAGTTGTGTGTGTTACTACTTGATGTTTTAATCAAAGCTTTGTTTAAATGTTGCATAGCTAGTTATATTCTTACAACAGAGAGGCCAAGGATAAAATGAGCCAGGGAGACTGAACTTCTCTCCCCTGGGGTGGTGGTCACCCTAGTCAATGGAGTTGAAGCACATGTGGAAACATTTCCTTGTGCTTTCACAATCCTTGCTGTACCTGTTTTGTGTAAAATTTAAAAAAATAGACATTACTGATTTGGCCAAGTGTATTTGTGCTGTTTTGCCGCAAAACTCTCTTCCTCTTACAAGTAGCAGCATCTGAGGACCTGATTAATCAAATAATCGTGTCCAGTTTCTGCATTGGAGAGTCCATGTAAGGTCATGAAAGCACTGAAAACAGGTTTTCTGTTAGGGGTTTTCATAGCTTGAGGCACTGTGGAAGCCAAACTTTCAGTGGATCCCTAATCTCAGTGTAATACGCCTCTTGAATTGCACCTTAATAACAAAACTGAAAGCAAGCTCCATTCATACTCGAGGTGCATATCAAAGTAACTGTCTTTTTCTCTAAGTATGACTAGATAGCATAGTAAACATGTAATCTATCCCCTGATGTGCATATACAAATTGAGAGTAAGGGTGTTGGTGCCTGTGTAGCTGCGTGCATAATCCCGGATTTACACACATGCATGGACCTAAATATCAGGCAAGTACAGAAATGAATGTGTGCGCTCTTTTGTGTATGTGTATGTGCTTCTACAAATCTGGCCTCATAAACGTTTCAAGACTCATGGTGCTCATGTCACAAGTGGATATTAAGTGGAGCAGAATTGGTTTTATTTTTCTAAGGCCTCGTCTACACTAGAGAATTAGGTTGTTTTAACTACATCGGTCAGCGGTGTGAAAAATCCACACCCCTTAGTGGCATAGTTAAACTGACCTAAATCCCTATGTAGACAGCACTAGGTCAACAGAAGAATTCTTCTGGCGGCCTACCTACTGCCTCTTGGGGAGGTGGATTACCTACGCTGAAGGGAGAATCCTTCCCATTGGCGTAGATAGTGTCTACAGTGAAGTGCTACAGCTGCGCCGCTCTAGCATTTTAAGTATAGACAAGCCCTAAGTTTTTAAGCTTTAAGATCTAGTTATATTACGTTGACCTCTAAGATGCTTGGGAAACCCAAAATGAGGGACACCACTGATGCAGCAGATCACGAAGCTTGACATGATGTGGGAATCGCTTATTGAATGTGTAAAACTTTTCTAAACTTGGTTTCAAGGACTGACATAATTTGCAATGGTTGAACAAATCTGTTGCCTCCCCAATATGTTTTGATGCATCTGTAGTCTGAGGTGGAAATTTCAGCACAAAGATACTGTAGAATAAGGGATAACTTGAACATTCTTGGGTAGCAAGTATTTTCATTCTGTAATGTGACTAATGGGAATTAACTAAGGATGTAATTCCGGGAAGAAAAGTGTGTGTTTAATCTTATTTTTCTCTTTTAAAACAAGTTAGTGAATTTTTTGGTGCAGACTTTAGTGCAGTAAAATAATGAACTTCATGGTTCCTAGGTAATGTCGTGGGCAGCTTGGGACACTCCTTTTTCAGCCAGAGTTTTCTTGGCAGTAAGGAACATGGTGGATTTTTATATGTGACGTCTACATATCAGTCACTGCAGGACCTGGTGCTCCCAACTCCGCCCTACTTGTTTGGAATTCTTGTTCAGAAATGGGAGACTCCCTGGGCTAAAGTGTTCCCCATCCGACTGATGCTGAGACTTGGAGCTGAATACAGACGTAAGTCGCATGGTGTTCTCTTAACTGTAGTAACCCGTGTCTGTGCTTGGGTGACATTTCTGAGTGCTGTTATGGAGTTGTGTACATCAGATATACAGGAATAGTGATTCTGGGGAATGTGCCCCACTAACCACAACCCCAGTGATTGTGCCTGTAGACAGATACCTTACTAAGTCAGTCATATGACCTAAAACTTTTTAGCTGCAATTAAAACTAACAATTAACTGAGGTCCTGGTAACACAACCTGTGACCTAAAATAGAAGAACAGTACAAAAGCTGCTTTTGATACCTTGAAATTCATTCCACTCTTAGTGAAATAGAGGCTCCTCTTTAGTTTTTAGGTTTCTCAACCATGCTCATCTAGAAAATGGTAATATATGTGCAGGTGAAACTAACTTACAGTACTTTATAAAAAGGCAGTACCAGCTGATGACCGCAAGCTACAGAGAGTTCTTTAGCTGGACAAAATCTAAAACTTGCATAAAATATTCCCAGAATGGCACTGTCCATATTTGGATCTAAAAGAAGTCATGTTAACTCCTAATTGGCTCCAGGAAAAGCTAAGGGTTTTCTGCATGATTCATCTGCTGCCTGGTTGGTAGGTCTGTTTAAAGCTGACTTGCTGTGAAAAATACATTTTAGATTCTTCTTTGTGCACCAGCACTGTATTTCTTTCCATAGCATTAGTAAAATATATTTCACAGGCTTGCCAAACAATGATAATAAAATTTAAATCAGTGTCACTGAAAGTCAGGAAACATCCACAGGAAATTTTCACAAGCTTTGTAGATCAAACTTTTCATATCACATAAAAATTAGGACTGTCAAGCAATTAAAAAAAATAATCATGATTAATTGCACTGTTAAACAATAATAGAATACCATTTATTTAAATATTTTTGGATGTTTTCTACATTTTCAAATATATTGATTTCAATTACAACACAGAATACAAAGTGCACAGTGCTCACTTTATATTTATTTTTATTAGATATATTTACACTGTAAAAAGCAAAAGAAATTGTGTTTTTCAATTCACCTAATACAAGTACTGTAGTGCAATTTCTTTATCATGAAAGTTGAACTTACAAATTTAGAATTATGTTAAAAAAAAAAAAAATTAAAAAAAAAAAAAAAAAGTAAATCTTTAGAGCCGACAAGTCCACTCAGTCCTACTTCTTGTTCAGCCAACTGCTAAGACAAACAAGTTTGTTTACAGATAATGCTGCCCATTTCTTGTTTACAGTGTTACCTGAAAGTGAGAACAGGCGTTTGCATGGCACTGTTGTAGCCGGCATCGCAAGGTATTTATGTGCCTGATGTGCTGAAGATTCAGATGTTCCTTCATGCTTCAACCACCGTTACAGAGGACATGTGTCCATGCTGAGATGAGTTCTGCTCAATAACGATCCAAAGCAGTGCGGCCCGACGCATGTTCATTTTCATCATCTGAGTCAGATGCCACCAGAAAAAGGATGATTTTCTTTTTTGGTGGTTCGTGTTCTGTAGTTTCCGCATCGGGTGTTGCTCTTTTAAGACTTCTGAAAGCTTGTTCCACACCTGGTCCCTCTCGTATTTTGGAAGGCACTTCAGATTCTTAAACCTTGGGTCGAATACTGTAGCTATCTTTAGAAATCTCACATTGGTACCTTCTTTGCGTTTTGTCATATCTGCAGTGAAAGTGTTCTTAAAATGTGCTGGGTCATCATCCGAGACTGCTATAACATGAAATATATGGCAGAATGCGGGTAAAACACAGCAGGAGGCATACAATTCTCCCCCAAGGAGTTCAGTCACAAATTATTTAACGTCTTATTTTTGTAACGAGTGTCATCAGCGTGGAAGTATGACCTCTGGAATGGTGGCCCAAGCATTGGCCTGCTAAACCCAGGGTTGTGAGTTCAATCCTTGAGGGGGCCACTTAGGGATCTGGGGCAAAAAATCAGTACTTGGTCCTGCTTGAGAAGGCAGGGTGCTGCACTTGATGACCTTTCAAGGTCCCTTCCAGTTCTATGAGATAGGTATATCTCCGTATATATAAATCCTATTCTCTTATTTTAATTAATTATTTTTAAATTAATTTTTAATGAAGGGGTATATGAATGTTTAGCATATCTGACTTGTAAATACCTTGCAATGCTGGCTACAAAAGTGCCATGCAAACAGCTGTTCTCACTTTCAGGTGACGTAAATAAGAAGCGGGCAGCATATCTTCCATAATGTAAACAAACTTGTTTCTCTTAGAGATTGGCTGAACAAGAAGTAGGAGTGAGTGGACTTCTCGGCTCTAAAGTTTTAGACTGTTTTGTTTTTGAGTGCAGTTATGTAACCAAAAAAAATCTACATTTGTAAGTAAAGTGATTGCACTACAGTACTTGTCTGAGGTGAATTGAAAAATATATTTCTTTTATCATTTTACAGTGTAAATATATCTAATAAAAATAAATATAAAGTGAGCACTGTACACTTTGTATTCTGTGTTGTAATTGAAATCAAGATATTTGAAAATGTAGAAAACATCCAAAAATATTTAATAAATTTCAGTTGGTATTCTATTGTTTAACAGTGCGATTAAAACTGTGAATAATTGCGATAAATTTTTTTAATCACGATTAATTTTTGTTTAGTTAATTGCGTGAGTTAACTGCGATTAATCTACAACCCTAATAAAAATATATATTATTGACTTATTATAGGAAGCAAGTGGCAGAATTTAATGTAAAATGATGAAGTTTGGTGATTATTAAAACATTAACAACCACATTAATAAAGGTCATTAATTCCGGCATTCATTGTTTGGTTGAGGGGTGTGTGTGTAATTAGTTTAACTTTTATGTGTATCTATTATAACTAAGATTTTCCAAAGTGGCTGCTGAAAGTTAGGGTCACAGTCCATCTTTGAACACTTAAACAAGTGATCTGATATTCAAAGCTGCTGTGCTTCACAGGCTGTCATGGATTTCAGTAGCTCTGTGTACACAGTACTTTAGAAAATAAGGGCACTTATTTAGGTGCTTAAATAAGGATTTAAGAGCCTTGCTTTAGACATCCTTTTTGAAAATCTTGGCATAATTTATATTCAGTTCATTTTTCCTCATAAATCTGCTGCAACATAATGTTACATGACCAAGCACATCCCTGTGCATGTTGAGTTGTATCATAGATAAAATTTTATAGATATGGATAAGTATGCTAGGGAATGCAGATATTTTGCTGCCATTGGCATGTCAGAAATGTACTTTGTCCTTCTATTGAAATTTTCCTATATGAAGCGGCTTAGATTCAGTCTATTTTTTGCATAACCTTTAAATAGGAGAATCTGAATCTGATTACTCATTTTTTTTATTTTCCTAGTTTATCCATGCCCACTTTTCAGCGTCAGATTTCGTAAGCCATTGTTTGGGGAGACTGGACACACAATTATGAATCTTCTTGCAGTAAGTGATGAGTGGGGTTTTTGTTTGTTTGTTCTGTCTGTATATATGGAAGGGACTGTTGTACTATAAGATTATCTTAATTTATTTGTATAGTAACTAACTTTCAAAACACTATGATAAGGAAATACTGTTATTGTGGTATTTGGGTGGTGGCCTATTGTCTAATCTAGAAATCAGACAGCAACTTTTGATGATGCAATATTAATGATGTGACCAAATCAAAACTCTGGGTCTTGAACCACTGTGAATTTTTGGATCTGGATCTAAATTTTGCTGCTCAGACCACTCTTCAAAAATTTAGTCATAATTCTGTGATTATAGAAAGTTCTAGCTGGAACTAACTTGTTAATTCTTAAGTGTAGGGAATTCTCCATTTGGTACATGCCTTACTCTCACTCCCGGTGAATCTGAGGTCTCTGTCTAATCTAGCACAATGCAGAGAAAGATCAAATTTTCCTATTTAAAGTAATGGTACATGAGTCAGGAGAATATTAAATTGTATGCATTATACTTCTATTTAATAGTTCTGTACCTTGGTCTCTTTCTGAAAGGAGAACTACCCTGTGTCACTAATGACTATGTTGTTTCACTTCTTTGTTCCTCTAAAACACAAGGACTTCAGAAATTACCAGTATACATTGCCAGTGGTCCAAGGTTTAGTGGTTGATATGGAAGTGAGAAAAACCAGCATCAAAATCCCCAGCAACAGATATAACGAGGTAATACTTAGAGTAAATATATATGTTTAGTCTAGTACAATTTAAAGATAAGAGGGATTGGGTCCAAAGGAATTTATTGTGTTTGCCACTGCCAATGAAAACTGCCTCAGAATTAAACTATAAATGTATTATGTATAAATTTTTTATATATGAATTGCCTACAGAAATGAGTTATGCACAGATCAATTCAGTGTGGCATTAGTTAAAAATAATGGATAGTTGCTCTTCTTTATACAGAGGTTATTACTTTTAAATAAACTTCAAATGTAATTAATTGAAAATCTGGGGTTAGAGAGTTGCATATACTATTCTGATTTGAGTAAATGAATCAGTTAAATAACACATGCTGTATGGGTGTAAAGCGAGTCAAAAATGAACTTTCTCCAAATACATGTTGTGTGTTCATAGTGTTTGTGAAGTATCAGAGGGGTAGCCGTGTTAGTCTGAATCTGTAAAAAGCAACAGAGGGTCCTGTGGCACCTTTAAGACTAACAGAAGTATTGGGAGTCTTAAAGGTGCCACAGGACCCTCTGTTGCTTTTTAGTGTTTGTGAAGGTATTTGTTGGATCTTTTGAAGATTTTAATGCAAAATATATCTCTGTACATTTGAAATAAGAGTTTGATTTAATTGCACGAGAAAAGCTTCAGCTGTCTTTTAGACTTAGTTGATGTTGACAGTCAAACTGTGGAGTGACAATCATTGTTGAGTGATTTGAACAATATTGGGGACCAAACAATGGAGAGGTAATAATTCAATGGTGATGTATCTAAAGGGCTAGTGACAAATGATCTCCTTGAGGTTTTAAAGGAAATCAGTAGCGGAGACAGGAGTCAGTCTTATGCTTTCCATCTATGATATAGCACCAAATAAGAATGCAACACAGAATAGGAGAGAAATGGATTTTGATACTTGCCAAATAGAGATGGAGCATCAATTTGAGAAAAGGATGCATTTGTACTAATTCTTTCAAAGAGAAATGATCTGTCCAGGTAGATTCCTGCAAGCACTAGAGAGGTTTGCAAACAGAGAATTTATTATAGATACAACATATGAATCTGGGCACTAAACTAGGATTAGCCCTTTAATATCCTGCTGATTGGTCACTTGAAAAAAAATACCTGAACAAACAGCTTCTGGGTTATGTATATAAGGGGATCACCACATTTGAATTTTCTTGAGGAAAAACTAATATAAATATAAAGGGTTTGCACAGGACCAGTCCCTCCACAGTTCTGTTCAAACAGAGCAGATATCAAGATTCTACAAGCACTGCAGAACTTATTTGATGAAGTGAAGTCTTGAAATTGTAGGATGCAGTGTGGTTCATAATGAAGTTAAAAATTGATTTTGGAGGTGAACTGGAATTGTCCATTTCTCTGGAGGGAAGCCCAGAATTCAGTGGATTATTGAACAAAATATATGGAAGAACTTACTTACAAAATAATTTCTAGACTAACCTCTCTTAGTTTAAATGTATAATGGTTGAAATATGACTTAATTTGAGAGTTTGAGCTATGCCATTATTTGAACCAATGTAAATTAGGAACAGATAACTCCAGGAAGGTAAGAAAGTCAAATTCAATTTAAAAAGGAAAAAGGAATTGTTAATATAAAATAACCATTGCAAATTTGAATACACAACTCGAGAAATGCTAGGGTTCAAATTCTCAAATAATATTAACTTTGTCAATTATATATATTAAATTTAATTTGAATTTTGTCTAATTAATAATCCAAAATGGTAACTGTTGCTACAATGCTTAATTTTGCATTTTTTGACCTCTTGTGTTTACATTTATAACATTATTGTTGTAAATAGAGCTATATGCTTTATGCATTTAACCCTTTTTCCTTCAAGGATGGGGTGGGGGCAACCGGAGTCCATCACCCAGCCTCTGGAGGGGCTAGGATCTCTGAGGATACTTCTCCTGACACATACATTCATGTATCAAGGAATGCCTTCATGCATCAAGAGGATGCATTGAATGTAAACCTTCTAGCCCCAATGGGATGCTGGGTGGAGAACCGAGGGAAGGGGAGTATGTGGAGGGGAGGGGCACTTAGACTGCATCAGTGAGAGGGATATAATATTATACTCATTTTACAGATTGGGAAACTGAGACAGCAGCTAAATGACATGCCCAAAGGCATACAGGGGACCATGACAGAGCCAGGAGTAGAACTGAGGAGCTTCTAGCTCCCAGTTCTGTATTCAGACCATACTGGCTCTCAAGAAGTAATATGCATTCCTTTGAGAAGAGAACAAGCGATTGCCTTAGAAGAGTTGTGCCTAAAATGCATCACTTTTGCAGACTTGTTTGAGACCTTATCGAGGTGTTTCCTGTGCAGAATGGCATTTTTAAAAGCTCTTATAGCATCAGAGCAGATGCTGCATTTCGTATAAGGTTTCCTATAACTGCATTTCATATCAGGTTTTCCATACAAAATGCATTCCAACATGCTTTAGAGTGGAAATAAAAGCAAGGGAGAGTGAAAATATGTATATAGGCAATGGGGAAAGCTATTTTTATATGAGATTTGAAAAGATGGAGTTACTGAGGCAGAAAGATACAGGAAGGCTAGTAACTGAATTATAAGGTGTATTAATTCTTGACTGCCATTGTGAAGGGGGAAAAAAGCCCCCATTTCAGCTGGTATGGATCTAAAGCTATTGTACTTGAAGATTGTATATGCAATACACAATAGATGGTAGTTAATTTCAGTATGGTTTAACTGTTTGTCCAGTGTTTATGTATTTGTTATCTTCAGTTTTGTACTGTTTGCTAACTGTGCTAAACTGAACCTTGTGGAAATGCCTGTAATAAAAAGGTGTATAACCCCCTTGTATTAGGTTGGGTTCAGTTTTCTGCTTGAAGCCGGGATTCAGCCTCTTGTTTATGTGAAGAATACAATGTATCTTCCTCAAACTTTACAGCACAGGAAAAATTGAAGTTTCTGGAGATTCTCAATTAATCCGTTTTTAAACATGAGACTTTTGAGAACATTTTTTTTCACCCCTTTTCTAACTAAAGGCTGGTTTATATCATTCGGACTGTCCAGTTAAAACTATTGAAATCTCATGCACGGGCTACATTTGGAGAAACGTGCTTGTAATTAAGCAAAGATATTAACAATTACTTTATCCGGTCTTTACCTTTACACTCATAATTTTCCAGTACTCAAAATGATTGCCATTTCCTCTGACTTTCACTGGGACTTAAGACACCCAGTTGCATTGAAGTTACTCCTGCCCTCAGTACAGATGTCTGTCATTTCACTAATGCCCTGCCATGTGAAAGTGAGGCTGCCACGTTGTTTCTAATGGGACTGAGGGCAAATGGTGCCCTTGGTAAAGGTGGCTGCCATTTCACTAAAGTCTTGCCTTTGGAACATGAGGTGCTGAAACCAATAATGAAACACACTACAGTAATACAAAACCTTAACTATGATTTCATATCTCCCCCCCAAAAACACACCACACACTTAACACACCACGCACTTAACCTGTGAGTGTTGAATATTTGCTGACATTGTAATTAAGGTTTTGTGTTGTACTGAGCGGGAGATTAATGTGTTGTGTGTAATGGGCTTCCTTTTCACTTGGAGGCAGAAGAGTGTGTGTAGTGTCTGGTGCTGTCAGTGAAAATGTGTTGATGTGAGCACGAGGGTACTGTTAAGAAGTGTCCCATAACGTGATATTTTCCTTGCTTTTTTGGGTTTCATTGAGAGGATGTTACAATTAATCTTATATGCAGTAGTGTTTTAGCTATGTTGGTCCCAGGATATCACAGACACCAGGTGGGTGAGGTAATCTCTTTTATTGGACTAACTTCTGTTGGTGAGACAAGCTTTTGAGCTTACAGAGTTTACACAGTCCAGACCTGAAGAAGTGCTCTGTGTAAGCTTGAAAGCTTGTTTCTCTCATGAACAAAAGTTGGTCCAATAAAAGAGATTACCTCATCCACCTTGTCTCCACAATTAATCTTACATGCTTACGCTCCTAAATTCCATTCACTTTCAGTGAGACTTAGGCACTTTTGAAAATGGGCATAGGTGCTTCTGAAAATTTTATGATGTGAGTGTTGTTGCCAAGTTTGCTAGTCTTTGCAAAGGTGTCACAGTTGAATACATTCTAATAAGATTCTTCAACCAGATTAAACCACACAAGCCACTGTTTATGCTAATAACCCATGTGAAGGATTTGAGGCTAAATGAAAGTGATAAACTTTCTTTTTGTTTGCAGATGATGAAAGCCATGAACAAGTCTAATGAGCATGTTCTAGCCGGGGGAGCATGCTTCAATGAGAAAGCAGACTCTCACCTAGTGTGTGTCCAGAATGATGATGGGAACTACCAGACGCAGGCCATCAGTATTCATAATCAGCCAAGAAAGGGTGAGATGGGACAGGTCTAAGGGAGCAGATGGAGGCTTTTCCCACCCAAAGCGCCTTGCATGACTTTCTTTTGTCTATTGTGCTCCCATTAAATATGCAAATATGCCAAAACAGGTTTTGCCTTTAATTCATGGACCTTCTGAAATTAATATTTAGCACAGAAACTAGTTACAATTGTATGATTAGAGAGCTCCTAGTACTTGATGGGGGCATGGCTTCCAGACATGCAGCATAATGGGAAAGCCCAATGCAAATGTGTGAATAAGAAAGTGCCCTATTTGCCTCTGGATTACCCTGCCCAGCCTCCTGGCACTCCTTTTCCATGTCCACAGTTTAATCTGGTGTTTGAAGTATTGCATACTGTTGATGTGGATTTTTGTTCCCTATCTATGATTCAGATCACACCTCTCTATGGTTACTGGTGGTGGTCAGTATTTGTCCAGCTGAGATGTGAGTTGGCAGCTTGCCAGTTCAAGGGCCTCACATAACTGACATAAAATAAAGCAGGTTTTCACACCCCTCTGGGACGTAGTTATACAGATGTAAGTTTGTAGTGCAGATCTGGCCTTAATGTACCTAACCCCTCCTCACCGAGAACTGCAAGAGCTTTGTGTGTGTATGTGAATTAGACCATTTGATTTTCAGGCTTTATTTTTTGTTAAGACCAGGTGAAATTATGCAATAGCAACTTAACATTTTAATTCTTAAAATGTTAGAGCTTTTTTTTTTTTAACCAGACTTCATGTCAGAGTTGATAATCTTATGTAGAAGCTCCATGATGTCTCCAAATGAGTAAAAAAAATTTTCTAACCCTGAACATTCATGATCTTCACTCACAACTTCAGGATATGCGTTGGCATGTCGGTTCCTTTAGGGCTGGCACTAATTTCTAAGTAGTATTTTCTGTACATAGAGCATGGGAGGATGGATTTCAAGGAGCTCCGTTGTGGTATTGGAGACACAATGGCCATTCCAAGGGGTTTTGCTTTTAAGCTGGCTGGCAGCTAGTTTAGAAAATTTGAGCCACTCCCCTTCTGACTGGTCAATAGTACAATATCATCAGCAAAAAGCCCAAGTAAGATTGTTTCTAATCGCCTGAGGACTTTTTAAAGGTCATAATGTGCATGTTTACCCCTAAAACAGACCCCTCATTCTTAGTGAAAAGAAACTAATTAAATATTAACATTCTTTAAGATTGGCAAAAATTGTCATCAGGTTTAGAATATCATCAGAAAGGGCACCCTTGCTGCCCAAGCATCTGATACACACTGGAATCATAACAACTTTGTGCTACATAATTCCTTATTTAGGTTATTAGCTTCTCTGTGGAGGATAGAGCTACAATACCTGATTCTTGCATAAGGCATTGCTTTGACAAGAGCCTCTCTAAAATCAGTCTTGTTATTGCAGTGACTGGTGCCAGCTTCTTTGTGTTCAGTGGAGCTTTAAAATCCTCTTCGGGCTACCTTGCCAAGTCCAGCATCGTGGAAGGTAAGGAATGAACAGCTTGCTCAAAGAACATTGCTTCCCTCCTGATAACTGTATATTTGAGCAGTGTGCACAGCTTAGTTCTTGTGGCCTGGGTATTTGAGACTCACTCTGATTACTCGGTGTTATCTCACGCTTTAGCTAAACACAGTTTTCCATTATGGCTCGTAACTTAATTTAACTGAGAAAATGAGAATAACGAGTCCAGATGCCCTGGGACACCAGTACAAGAAAATGAGGGTAAACGTGAAATACTTGGCTCCTGTGCTGGGGATCAGAGCTTACAATCCTTGACTGAAGTAGAAAATTGCAAGCATAAGAAACTTGGAGTTTATCTCCATAGCAAGAGATGAAGCCCTGCTGTTCATTAGCCTGTTCATTTAATAGCCTTGCAGTGGCCAAGCTTATAAATTTCTGAGGTTTGTATCCTAGTATGTTGTCAGGTGATAACGTGAAAGGTCAAGATTGTTTAGACTGGGTTGTCACCATAGTTCATTTTTCCTTTGCCAACAGTCAGATGATGGAGCGGAGTCTCCAGTTTATGCACTCTCTCCTATATTTTTGGGGGAGGGTCATGGCTTATAAAAGTGCCACATTAAAACAAGGCTGAGTATATGTTGTTTTGCTACATTCTTTACTTAAACCAGAAATGATTTTTTTTAGTTCAGGATGCTTAGTTGGAAACTCATCAGTTGGAGAGTTGGGATACCTCAAGGAATTAGTAACTTGCTGTTTTATGGAACTGTTTGTTACCAAGTTACTTGTGCAAACACAGTTTATTCAGGCTGGTAATATCCAAAAGCTGTGACTTATTTTTAACAGCCTGTGTGAAATGAGTTGCTGGCCATGGTGGGATTCCTGGTGGTCAAATGTCCACATCACAAAAAACACTGTTACTGCTGGAGTCCTTCTTGCTGATCTCCTTGGAGGCCAAATATTTGAATGATCATGATGGTTTACCTCTCATATCTTGAGATGGGATTTCCAGAACAGGGGTGCAGTGAGGTGGCAGGGCTGTGCGCGTAAGCTCATGGTTGCCATTGCTAACGTTGAACCTGTTCTGTAGGTAGACTTCAGCTTTCACTGGTACGTCCTCCAGGCCGTGTTCATAAATGTTACATGGTATAAACGATGTGTTGAGGATGGGAATGCTACTAAGCCAACAGCTTTCTATAGCGTTACTACTTATGGCCTTTCAAATAGATATTGCACGTTGACATTTAATCATAACAGGAAGAATGCTTTTAGCCCTGTTGTGAATGTTCTTTCTTAAAAGTGGCTGTTGGTTGTTTCTGATAATGATAATTCTTGATTCCTTAGATGGTGTAATGGTCCAGATAACTGCTGAGAACATGGACTCCTTGAGGCAGGCTCTGAGAGAGATGAAAGACTTCACTATTACTTGTGGCAAAGTAGATGCTGAAGAGCCTCAGGAACATGTTCATATTCAGTGGGTGGATGATGACAAAAACTTTAACAAGGGGTGAGTAGATGAATAATCCCTTGACACTTTTACAGTGTTTATTTGGCTCTGTTTTGTCTGCTGCTATGTGTCTGTATAGCTTACTAAGAGCATATTCTATCTATGAAGAATCCACATGCTTTGTGATTTTTAGAGTGCTCCAAGTTTCTCAGATAACATTTGTGACAAGATAAAGGAAGAGTAATCATAGAAGTGTTTGACTTTTTGCAAAATAATTCTTTATTATATATGTTTGTTAAAACTCTGAGGAGCTGATACTGAAAGGTAAAGAGTGACTTCCTCAAGTCAGTATGGATTGAAGGTGCTTAGCCCCTTGCAAAGTTGCACCATTAGTTTGAGAGATCAGACTTTTGTATCCGTTATTAAAATGGGGTTGAGGTAAATAGAACTTCAGTGCATCAGTTTAGAAAGTTATCAAGGCTACAGAAAGATTTCTGCTATTGCAAATTTCCAGTTGTTTTAATTTAAACCATTATACTGGTTGTAAAAGGCCACCTAGCTGCTAATTTTTGAGTGCCGAATCTTGCACGCTAGGAAAGTTTCTTATACCTTCCATTAAGCTCACGTTCAGTGGTGTTGTGGGTAAAATCTGATACATGCTGGACAGCAGCAGTGAATCTATAACCTTGAATCTGAAACCTTAACAATCAATGCAAGATGGTGAGTACATGGCAATTTAAGCATTAGGGCATGCAATGTGATGGGTGAGGTTGAAAACTCAAAGAAACATGGATAGTAGCAGCAGCCTAGAAAAGGAGACCGTTCTTTAGGTAAAGACATTTCACATGTGTTTGGGACTGTTTGTGAAGTCCCACAGAAGTTGCCATTTCAGGGCATTAGTTGGGCTGCTTGCTCTGTTAAATTCAGTGTAAGTAACATTTTAGACATGACTGAATTGTACTATTTGATTTGATATTTATAAATAAATAAAATTCCTATCAATGTGCAATAAATCTACATAGGTTTCTGCATGTTCCATGTGTGGAGAGTTCATCAGTCCCTTGTGAAGTCACAGCTCAAATATAAGGCTATTGCAGATCTAAGGCAAGCTACCTCTCTACTCCCCAGCCTCAACTCCACCTAGTCTAGGAGGATTTCAAGTCTAGATACTATATCTGAGTGTTTCCTGTGTGATATGGCAGAAAGCACTGCACTTTTCAGCTGTCTCCATTGTAATTATCTGGGGTAAACTCTCAACACAGCAGGAGGACAATTTCAAAAAGCCTGATTACTGTTGAGATCCATACACCTGTTCACACCACCACAATTGGAATTAGCGATGATATTCAGTAGCATTGTGTTTGGTACATTGAGAGAGATCTTTCTCTGGAGATCTCCCTTCTGGGATAGTTTGTGTTTGTCCCTTTTAGAAAATGTGGCAAGTCACTGTATGGCAGTTTAAATTGCAGAGTGCTCATTTTTGAAATAACCTGCAGTGGGGTCACTTTGAGAATCCAGGTAAGTCAAAACAAGTGCCCTTCACAACCCTTATATGAGCTTTTCCTTTACAATGTCCTCTGTTCTGCAAATCTACTCAGATGGCCAAATTTGAAATCAGGTTTTATATGATGACGTTTAGTGTTTGGAGGCATTCTGTTAACTTAAAGTTGTTTTTCCCTTCCTCTTTCTAGTGTTATAAGCCCCATTGATGGCAAATCCATGGAGTCTATAACCAGTGTGAAGATATTTCATGGCTCGGAGTATAAAGCAAATGGAAAGGTCATTAGGTGGACGGAGGTAAGAAAACAAAACTAATCTGCACATAAAACAGGAGTCTTGGTGCTTTGTGACTAAGGAGCTATAGAATGTAGCCTCCTTCTGTAGAATGCCTCTCTTTGACCAGAAATCAAATCTACTTGCTCTGCCCACCAAACTGAAAGCAGTAAGATTTTTATGGGGAAACAACAGTGGCCTTTGCACCAGGGATGTAAATATCCATTAAAAGAGTTAACCATTTAAACAATTAAAATGATGTTGTTTAATTGCTTAACTGATTAAAAGGAGAAGGGCTGGGGCTGGCGGGCCAGCTCGGCTAGGGCTGCTCCAGCTGGCCAGCGCGGTCCCGGGGATGGGGGATAATGACACATGCTTCTGGTTGTTTAGTATTTTATATCCCTACTTTGCACCTGCCAGGAAGTCTTCAGTGACTGCATAATGTACAAGTGGCAATGTCATGCCATTTAAATCTGTCTTGAGGTGCTACAGAGCCCTGGAAATAAGTAACCACAGATCACTGGCCATCCCATCTAGTGCACTTTTACTGAGTTTTGGGAGAATCTGCATTCAACTTGAGGGCTGAGGAAAGTGCTGTTGCTTTCCATTATCTAAAGGGCACAAGCCTGTGTATTTGTGTTCAAGTTCTATTCAGCAAGAGCCTTTTACTTTAATGGAGACAAAATCCCAAACAGTTTTTTAATATCAATTCTTTTGAGCTGCAAGCTGCATTTTCCCAGAATAATATCCATTCCGGGTGGTGTAGTCAAACTGCCAGTGCCAAGGAACTCAAAGCTGCTTTTATAAAGGATTGGGTTTTTTGTAATACTCAAACTTAATCTTGCTCTTTATTGACCTATTAACAGTTTGGGGATGGAGCAACTTCAGCTCTGAAATGGCAGCAAAAACACAACAGGAAAAGACTTAGTGAATGAATTGTATGAAAAGTTAAAAACAAGGTGCCATAATATGAATGACTTGGGTTATTTGTTTTGTCACCCAGCATTGGCCACGGTGTTACTCCACTTACAGGGCTGACCTGGAGCTATGGATTTTGCCAGCACGGAAGTGTTAATGTTAAATGGTTCTTTGCAAACGGTTTCAATTAATTTGCTCAGTGTTAGCTGAGGGGAAACCAGGCCAGTTTTAGCTGTGCCACTCGTCATACACGTATTCTTTTCCCAACATTCAAGGTGATTTGAGGGAATGTTGCAATGTTTAGTTAATAACTGTATAAAAAATTCTGGCTCCTTTCAGATTGCGGGGGTTTCTACCATAACACAATATTTATTCTGAAGTCACTTTAATAACAACATGCTTCAAAAATGATAGTGTAATTTTCTGAAGTGGAAGGGATGTTTAGTCTACTTACAATGTTTTAAAAGTCTTTTTATTTAAGGCAAGAGTGTGGAAATGCGCAGCAATACATGCAGAATCCCTTATACTACTAGGGTGTATCGTGAATTTCCATAAGAGGGATTTTAGATTCAATTAGAGCATACCCTTTTAAACAAAGTCCCTGGAGCACTTTGGGATCAATCTAGGAGTGAGAGATCAGGACCATTCCAGTCTGTATCCTTATAACTGTTAAACCGCTTTATTCCCAGTTGTCAGACCTGGCTGATGGGGACTCATGCTGATGAAGACTGGAGACTTGAGTTACTTTAAATCCTGTAAACAGAACCAAATGTGAAACTTCACCCTGAAATAGTTATTTGACAGCCCCTGTGTTAAGTTGTTACAGATTCTAGTGAGTACCCCTTCCTGGTCACCCACTAGGACTGCTATGAGGTGAATCCAAGTCTCTGTGCTCTGGAGCCTGAACAGAGTCCAGCCAGTGTCCACAGTCACAGGGTCCTCAGGCACACTCTCAGGGTGCAGACCTTCTGTCAGGGGAGCAGCTCCTCTTTGAATCTTCAGAAAGTCCCCAAATAATGTGAAGGGCTGATCAAAACCTTTTTGCTTCATGTTACATTTTTCTAAAGCAGCAGTGTCCTTAAGTAGCTGTATTAATTGACAGTCTTTTATATTCTTTTTACACTGTCTGATGCTGCTCTTTTTTGTAAAAGCTGGTTGGTAGGTCATGTTGATCGCTCTCTTTTTGTTTTGTTCAGGTGTTCTTTCTGGAGAATGATGACCAACATAATGGTCTAAGTGACCCAGCAGATCATAGCAGACTGACTGAGAATGTGGCCAAGGCTTTCTGTTTAGCTCTCTGTCCTCACCTTAAGTTATTGAAGGAAGATGGAATGACTAAGCTAGGTCTGCGTGTTACACTTGACTCGGATCAAGTAAGTTGTAAACAGTATCTACTAGTTTAAGTTGTCAGTCATCTTGTTTTGGGGGTGTGGAGAGGGGGAGCTGAAAAGGGGACATGAGAGTTCAACCATTCTATTGCTTGATTCTGGAGGCTAGGAATTGGCAACATTAAATGCCACTCTATTAGCACTTAATGCTGCAAAATAATTTTTTGTAGAGGAAGAGGGTGGTTTTTTTCTTTCCTGTATTCATGTAATTTTGACCTGTCACTTCTTGTCCTCAAAGGAAACCTGTACAACACTTCCAAAAGATGAGCCTGGAACTTAAATTCATAACTGCTAGACACCAAAAAATCATGGTCTCTATAAAGAGACTGGTTTTATGGCTCCTCAAAGGCTTATTACAACCATTTGTAACATACTAACCCTCCTTAGTCCATGACTGCTGAGGTGTTAATTGCCTCCTCCATTTCAAGTGTTTTCTTGCAATATGTGTTAACCATTTATGTGTAACAATCTGTCCCATCTTGTATTTCTCTGTGACCCTCTGGTTACCTTTTCCAGACCTGAAGAGCACTGTGAAGGCTTGTCTCTTCCAACCATAGAAGTTGGTCCAATAAAAAGAGATTACCTCACCCACTTTGTATCTCATCTAATTTTGAGGCATTTTTTGTTAGTTCACATTAGGTAGTGCTTTCTGCTTTTGAAATCAGTAGCTGAACTCTCAAAGCAATTGCATCACTTGCAGTATGGTCAGAGATCCCGGTGGAATATCTCCTCTTTTAAAGCTTTCACTTTGTATCTTTTAGGTTGGCTATCAAGCTGGGAGTAATGGACAGCCACTGCCCTCTCAATACATGAATGACCTGGACAGTGCCTTAGTTCCAGTGATTCATGGAGGAGCATGTCAGTTGAGTGAGGGGCCAGTCATAATGGAGCTCATCTTTTATATTCTGGAAAACATCTCATAAGAGGACTTCATTTTCTGTTCAGACCTGTTCCAGCAGCAGTTGTATCTGAATCATTTGCACTTTAAAACTGGAAGATTAAGCTTTTGTTAACACTATTGGGGGGCGGGGGGGGGAGTTGTTCCATAATTCTAAATCTTCTATGCATTGTCAACAAACAGAGGATCAGGGCAGCTTCTATACTACAAAATGTCTATGCTATCCTTGCAGCTCATACAGTTCTGTTACTGTTTAGAAAAATAATGCTCATATTTAAAGACTTAATTACAGTCATGTACTCTAAATGCTCAAACGGGTGCAAAGATCACTGGGGCGTAAATAAAAGATGAAATGTCAAATTTGTACTGTTTGTAGATGGACATGTAAGAAGAAACAATCAAGACCTCCATTCTGACCTCATCATAATGCCATTTGTGGTTATTCTGTAGACATTAAAAAGTAATGTTTACATTATTTTGACCAGATTATTGGTTGAAGTATATCAGAGACACTTTAGGATATGCCTAGAGAGATGCATGGAAAGGTTACCTAGCCAAAAAAAATGGCATATGTGGCTGACCAATCATTCAGTCTGAATGAAAGAAAGGGCATATCTCGGACAGTGGTATATAATTTAAACTTGCAGTTTTGTGTGTATATTAGGCTAGTATACTTATTTTTTCCCTACTTGTTACAAAAATTGTCACCTCAGATTTCTATAACCTAGAAAAACTTTGCCATTCTGTATTTTGTTTATGAATCTGTATGAATGTCAATGGTATACACCTGTCACAGGTAAAAGAAAAGTTAGCCCTAAAGTGCGGTTATGGTATTCCTGTTCCCCCAGTAGGTCCTGCTTTATAAAGAAAAGTAACACCCAGGGCACTTTTGTAAGTCTCCTCATTGCTGTAGACTGTAGTGTAACACTAGTGTCATGTAACACAATTTGCACTTAACACTTCATATTAGCAGCACCATGTAACGCTTACCCCCATAACAAAAGCACAAAGTGGCTGTTGTTGCATGATGTGCTAAAAAAGAGGCTTTTGGTTCAGCTCAGAAAACTTGCACTTGGCCTCACCTACAAACAAAGGGCAATTGAGAGGGGAGCAGCTGCTCACTGCTGGTAAACAGCATTAGGAAAATGAGGAACAGCCAATAAGAATGTGATTCCACATTCTTACTAAATCAAAGAAAATGGCAAGTAAGTGGAAAGAGCTGAAAGCAGGAGTAATGAGCTAGTTTAGCCATGCATAGGCACTGCTACTTGACTGTTACGACCCTCTTCATGGAGATAAAAGGCAGGTCCAACAAAACACCAGTAAATGGTTTTTCTGGGGATGGGAAGGGATGAGAAACACTGTTAAAGCAGTATTTTAGTGAGTCTTTGAATCTGGCCAACTTTTTAGTGGTGACCTCAGTCAATTCTGATTTGAAACTAATTTGCACTGTGGAAAGAGCAGCATTTGCAGCAGAACAAAGGAACAGCAGAGCTAGAGTTAGGCTGATACAGTGCTTTAAGCAAGCAAATAGACATAGCAGAAGGGAAACAACTATACAGGTAGCAATGTATTTTACAAAAAGGTACAAAAGCTGTATAGGTGCTGAATGGAATTGTGAATAAATGGCTACTGCTTTTTTAAAAACAGTAAAACTATCCACATACAGTCTAGAAAATTCCAGCTGCCACTTCAAGACATGTTTGGAAGGAAGAGTTGTAGAATTAGGTCCAACTGAATTAGTAAAAACAATCACTGGACAGGGGAGCACTTAGTCTCACTTTTTGTTTGCATTAAAATTAACCTTATCTCTGTCATTTGGTAATAGGTGGCCATGTGCTACTCTTAAAATGTTTCTGGCTGATCAAAGTTTAAGTTCCTACACAGCAATCCAAGAGGCTTCCTGCATTTTCATTTGTTTTGCTATAAAGAAATGTAATTAAGTTTGACTTGAGTTATTTTTAAATTCCCTACAACACATTTTGTTTTTGCACATTCTTGAGTGTTGATATACATGTCTACAGAGTGTAAGTAAAGCTCTTTTGATTGACAACTACCATAAAATCCTACTGCTGGAAACTCCATTCCAGCTTTGCCACAGCAGAAGTTTTTCAGTTACTTTAGTTCCATTAAGTTATGCTTATTGAGGCTAAAAAAAATCAATCTTCTCTTCCTTACTCCTAGGAGTCACTTAAGTTTGGGTTATGGTTGTGCAAAACACTATTGACTGGTGACTGACTTGTTTGCTTCAATCATAGCCTTCTAAATGACCTTAAAATTACCATATTGTTAAGAAAATGAGTACTTGTTTTAGAAAAAAATTGTACTTTTAAAATTCAGTTAGTTAACACTGCAAAAAACTGCATATTATATTTTTATTTTCAACATGTAGTTTTGTATATTAAATTTATTGAAATTAAAAACTAAATACTGTATTGTTTTAATCCTATCAGGAAGCAGAAGTGCTGCCTTAGGTTGGAGAGTCTGTTGTCTATGAACTTGATCTACCTGACCATATGCTGCAGTAGCACTGACACCCCATGCAGGCATCTCCTCCTTTTACTATCAATCATTTCTTCAGGCTCATGTAGTTTAAGAACACACATCAAGCAGTTTTGGTACCATATCATTTTATGTATAGTCTATAAAAAATTCTGCAAACAGCAATGATCCAGTTTTCTACACAAATAAGAGTGGCTATTTTTCAATCAATTAGTAAGTAGCCTAGTGAAACACTCCAATCCTTCAGAAAACCCTGTCATGTTAAACAGGCCCTATCAGGCTTTACTGATTCCCAAGCGTTAAGAAAATGAAGGCACACAAAGCAGGCTGAGTTGGAATAAACAGTGGGGGGAACATGGCAGGCAACTGATAACCAATTCAAAACCCAGAGCTGCAACCCTATTCTAAAAAAAATCCTCATATCCTATTGTTACCTTAAGCCAAGGCACATCTAGTTAAGAGTGCTGCAAGAGCATGCAGAGGAGATGGGATACACTGCTGCTAAAGCTCTGCTTAAAGTGAACTATTTTCTTCATCCCAGGACACTTATAGGAGGAGCATACAGATCTTCAGAAGGGCCTGAGGGTGATCATAAGAGGAAGCAGTAGGTGGTATTCAATGCATAAGAGCATATATGCCTGAAAAAGAGTTGCTTCTAGCACAAGCTAGCCATGCTGGGAGCATAAGGTCTCATTTGCAAATTAATTACCTTGCACTGCTCCAGTGATTTTTTTTTAAGAGCAAACCATTACAGGTTTCACGCACCCCTATGAAACAGTCCCTGCATAGGATAGTTATGATGAGTTTATATAACATTCATCTGGTGCTAACATTAGTAGTCCCATCTTAAGGCAATTCAATCCATTTTGCATAGATCAGTTCCATTTTTCCCACTAGTAGTAAGTTTCCAGGGCCTTACAATACTTGCCTTATAAAACTTAACACACACTAAGGTAGTTACCAAAATAAAGACATGTTATGTCCAGTAGTGCATTCATTTAACATCTTTGGTGCTCGCAGGTAGCAGTGTCCTATGTACAAACTCGATTCTGCAGCTTTTAGCATTCCTGGATCTGAAAAAAAACATAACATCTTGCTACAGTGCGAAGTATGTATCCCACAATTAAGGCTACATACTGTTGACATTGTTCTGTCTGATGGCTAACTAGCAGCCTTCATAGAAATCCAAGGCAAAACTCTTCATTAAGTTACAGTTAAAGTGATTGAAGATAGAGTGTGTTAAATTATAGGTGACCAAAAGTTAGTGCTCTCAGCACGTCTAGTAATGTCACTGCTTCAAGTGTGTGGGCAAATAGGTCAGCCCTGGAGTATCTTAAGAGGTCTACAACCATGCAGCCAAACTTTGTACAGTATAGCTCACTGTCACCCTGGTGGGCTTCTTAAAGTGGTGCTGAGTCTCAAAGCCCAGGTCAACTGATGAAGGGCTAAAACTAGCAGCACAGACATTCCTGCTTGGGCTGGAACCTGGTTTCTGAAATCCGATGAGGGGGAGTGCCTAGGAGCCTGAGTTCCAGCCTGAGCAGGAAGAAGAACAGGAGTACTTGTGGCACCTTAGAGACTAACAAATTTATTAGAGCATAAGCTTTCGTGGGCTACAACCCACTTCTTCGGATGCATATGGGTTGTAGCCCACGAAAGCTTATGCTCTAATAAATTTGTTAGTCTCTAAGGTGCCACAAGTACTCCTGTTCTTTTTGCGGATACAGACTAACACGGCTGCTACTCTGAAGCCTGAGCAGGAACATTTATGTGTCTATTTTTAGCCCCAGAGCCAGAGCGTGAATCAACTGACCCAGGCTTTGAGACTCAGTGCTATGGGTTTTTCTTTGCAGTGTAGACATACTCTTAACTCAGCACTTAGTGTGATTTTCAACGCTCCAAATTTGGACCTGAGCACTAGACATCATCCAGATCTTTCAAATAATATATGAAGTCTGTGGTAGCTAGGACATGATAAATCAGGATAATAGTCACCTACTTCACAGAGGTGCTATCTAAGCTTAATTACTATTTGTACTGCAAAATGAGAGATGCCATGACAGGTGGGGAGAGAGGGGAGCCTGAGACTGCTCTGAACTCTAGGAGCCCAAGGGAAGGGGGAGGGATTACTGTGCATATACTTACATCATCAACTTTCTACTAGGACTGAGTGCTTTGGAGCAGCCTTTTTGTTCTATGTTTGTACAGTGTGGTCCACAAATGGGCTCCTAGGTGCTGTCACAATATAAATTAGTAATATCTGCTCAAAAAGTGAGCCGTCAATTTTTTTCTCCAAAAGTACTGATGGCTTACAGGAGCACTACTAAGCTTTATACCCATACACTGACAGGCGAGAGAGAACCTCCAGTGATTCACACAACAGGGCTGAGTACTGAGTAACCACTCTCCACAGCCCAAAGCTGAGAGAGCAGGGACAGTTTTAACAATTACGGTTTCAGACAATCCATACAACTGGTACATCAGAACATTTTGAAGAAAAATGATCAGACTGATGACTTTTTAGAAGTATAGTTTGGTGTATACTTACACACAAAATCTACACGTAAAGAACGTCCAAGTTAATGCAAGCACTCCACAGACAGGAAGTGCCAGGTGTATACAGTTGCCCAGGGAATCTTAATCCAGCTCCCTTGTGCATCCAATTCGTACACTGAATGAGGTAGGGACACTGTGGAAAAATTGTGTGTGATCATGTAATTAAGTTATGCACAAGGGGGCTGCATTAAGATTCCACAGGCAGCTTTACATCTGGCATTTCCTAACTTTCAACTTTCCTTGGAGTAGATTTCTTTGTATGTAAATTTATTCTAAAACAAAAGGTAAAGAAAAGATGATACTTCACAGGGGGAAGAGATGCTATCTAAGCTGGATCCAAAATGGTGGATGGGAGGAGGGGAAGCTTAGTTTGATTCTTCCCCTACTCTCTACTGCTACAACTGTTTTGCCAGCAACCAGATGTTCCCTCTACAGTGTGTGCATGAGCCCAGTTCTTCAGAATGTTCAAGTTGTTATTTTGGCATGATACTAATATTTCCTGAAGAATGCAAGTAACAGAAGGGAAATGGCAATTTCAACAGTTTATACCACAGCTAAACCTAAATGAAATTTACTAGACAAAAGTAATTTTTCTAGCCCAAGGCCTTTCTTCCTGCTAAATTTCAACGGTCTTATGCAAACAATAGGAGGATTAGGAAAAAAAGACCAAAAGAATCTTTTATAAATGAAAGTGTTAAGCAATGTAAGTTCAGGAATTGCTACCAGTTCCCGCTATGATATTTAACCTTCACATCCAGTTGATTGAGATTGGTATAGGGAACATGATCAGATTTTGAATAGAAATAACAAACATTATTTAAAACAAAAAATCAAAACATCACTAGAAATATAGGGAAGATCCATCTAGGAGCCTGAGCCACACAGGTAGGTCACTGACCGTGCAAGACATTCTATTTCATGCAGAGATTGTTAGTGGCTCTCAACTTCTAGCCAGAAGCACAGTTGGAAGAAAGGAGTGTTCATACCTTAGGATAACTAATGTTCAAGGATCAACCAGTTTTCTGTAATTGTTTGAAGATCTTGACCACTGAGTGGCTCCCTGAGTCTCACTTTCACCTCTAGTTTCCCTCCGGTGGGCTTCCTACCATCCAGAATCTGAAAGCACCACAAAAATAAGATTGCTCTCTCTCACACACACACACACGTGTGTGTGTGCAAAAAGAAATACTGTAATGTCTTGTGGCAATCTCACTGAAAAGGGCAGCTGTTTTATGCCTCCCATGTGGTTACACAGGATCAATATAAATGTGCTATAACACTGACATTCAATAGAATGATCAACAGGGCTGGGTCGGTTTGTATTAAAGAAAGGACTTTCATAATAGCCGAAGTTCTCTGAAAAATAAATGGATTTAACCTTTTTTATATTCTTGTATTTATTTACCAAGACACACAAGGGATGTGTCTGGTATTTTATTTGCAGACAGTATTAAGACCATGTCTACACTAGAGTTTTGTTGACAAAAGTTATGATGCTTTAATTAAACCGCTGTTGCCTGTCCACACTATGCTCCTTGTGTCAACAGAGTGCATCCTCTCTAGCAGCTCTTGCATCGACACAGAGAGCAGTGCACTGTGGGTAGCTATCCCACTTCAACTGGCCACAGGATGCTTTGGGAAGGGTTTGCAATGCCTCATGAGGCAGTTACAGCATCACATGAGGCCGGTTTCTCAATCCTATCATTTCATGGGCATCCTAGATTAGCAGCTGATTTTCAACTGAAGTATATGTGCGTGTGTGTGTGTGTAGAGACAGAAACAGTGTGTGTTGGGGAAGTATGTGAAAGACTGTGGGGGGGGGGGGGGGGATATGTGAGAGAGACAGAGAGTGTATTGGGGAAGTGTGTCAGCATGCTGTCTCGTGCTCTTCAGACAGCCGCTTGAGCGGTCGATCCTGGGGGAAGCCGCAATCGGCAGCAGCAGTTCAGCGGCAGGTCCTTCGCTCCTAGAGGGAGTGAGGGACCTGCCGCCCCCGAATTGCCGCAGGTGCCGCCCTCTCCCTTGGCCACCCCAAGCACCTGCTTGTTAAACTGGTGCCTGGAGCCGACCCTGCTCTGCACAGCAGTCTCTCTGCCGCCCTTTCTCCCTCAGCAGCAGCCTAGTCTGCCTGCCTGCTGATTCCACATTAATGGGTCTGTGATTCCTTCCGAGTTCTCCCACAGCCTCCTCAGCTACTGGGAGCAGCATCCTCAGCAGCTCCGTGAGCTCTCCACGCTGAGGAATGTCAGAACTTCCTGGAGCTTCGAAAGGGGAGATGCGCAGGCTTGCAGGGCAGTGGAGTTCAAAACAGTGAGCAGAGCGGTCACGGCGGGCATTGTGGGAGACTAACTTTGCTGCAAAAAACTTTATGCCTCTCATCGAGGTTGTTTCATTTTGCCGCCAAATGTAGCTTTGTAGTGTGTACACCTCCCCTGTTTTGTTGGCAAAAGCTGCCTTTTGCTGACAAAACTGTGTAGTGTAGAAAAGGCCTTAGTTAGATTAATAATTTTAAGGCCAGAAGTAGTAGTTACTCTCCTTGTGAAGTAACAATGGTTCTTCAAGATGTGAGTCCCTGTGGGTGCTCCACAACCCCTCCCCCCCACTTCGGGTTCTCATCATACACTCTGTGTTAGAGAAGGAACTGAGGAGGGTTCGCCTGCGCAATGCTGGTTAGACACGTGGGAGAGCGCAAGGAGGGGGGAAGCAGCACATGCGCAGGCCAAACAGACACTGCTACCAAAATTCTCCGATCAGCAGCACAGGGACGCAGACACCTACAGTGGAGCACCCCTAGGGACGCTACTCAAAGAAGAGCCATTATGATCATCTAGCTTGACCTCTTGAGTAACACAGGCCATAGAATCCCACCCAGTCATTTCTGCATCAAGCCCACAATTTTTCTTTGAGCTAGAGCGGATCTTTAGAAATATATCCAATCTTGATTTTAAGATGGCAAATGATGGAAAAGACAACCTCCCTAGGGGAGTTGTTCCAATGGTTAATTACTCTAATTGGTCAGGAGTGAGCTAGCTTACTCCTTTTATCACACAAGAGGGAAGGGGCGAGGTTGTAGCATATGTAATAAACAACAATAGAGCATATTAGTCTGATGAGGTTTTTACTGGATGTTGTAGAGAGGAGGCCAAGATGACATCTTCTAGGCGCATATATATATATATATGCGTGCGCACACACAATATGTAGCTCTCACTACACCTGCATGCTCTAGCATTTTGTTATTGCTACATCAACAGAAGAACAAAGCATACCTCAATTATCTCTCTAATTTCACATTCTGATTCCAGTTTGTCCAGTTTCAAATGTGCTGTTCCCACTTGCTTGTCACTTCTGAAAAGGCCCCTGTTTTAAAGAAAGTTGCCTTAGTGGAAGAAGGACAGGCTTTCTTAACACATCAAAAGAGACGAATGGTATGAGGTCATGCCCCCTTTCATCAAGGTTTTAGGATCGTGACAGTAAGGGCCTGGCTACCCAGCTGTACTAAAATGGAGGAACAAAAGATTAAAGTCTTTAATCAATTAAAATAGGAGAATTAGAAGAAAAGAAAAGAGGTGAAAACTCAAAGTAATGGAGTAAAAGAAATGAAGGCTTGGCCTAGCACTCTAATGACAGTACCCTTCATCACTATGCAGGAGAGTCAGACTTTAGAACTGTCGTAGGACTCCTACTCTTCCCAACTGTCCTGGATACCCCATAATCAATCAAGACCTTTGGACGGGGAAAATCAGCTGGACAGAAGGGAACTGTCTCCCACACAGGATGTGCCAATGAAGCTTCTACAAGACATTATTTATTAGAGCTAGTTGAAAAAAAAAAAAAGTTTTTTGACAGAAAAGTTTTCTATTGGAAAATGAAGTTTCATCAAAATCTAAATGTTTTGTGGGAAGTGTCAATTTCAACAAAATTTGACAGGAGAAAATGAAAAGCAGTGGACTTTCTTGTTTCATTATTGTCAAAACCCTGTTTCGATAAGGTGATAGAAATGTTTTGTTTCAACTTTGTCCTTTCAATTCATTTAGTTTCAAAAATATTAAAACATTAATTTTATTCTATTAAATATCTTCTATAATAGTTTAAACATTACTGAAACCTTTTTGAAATTAAAACCCTTTTTTTTCAAAATTTCCATTTTGTGGAAAATGTTAACATTTTGTTTCAATTCAGAATGAAAACAATTCTGAAGTGTCAGTTTCCCACATAATGAAAATTCCATTTTCCAGCCAGCTCTATTATTTACATAGCACTGTCTCTTTGTATGGCATTTTACAGAGCATGGCACTTACAAGCAAGAAGTAGCAGAGAGAGTCTGGAGCTAATGCAGTCCTCTGAGGAATGGTCAAAGGGTAACCCAGGTTCAGAGACCACACCACATTCTGATACCTGCCTGGCTCAGATAGTGACAAAATACTTTGAGACAGGCACATACTGACTGTCAAGGCTGGAAAAGTGATTTTATGGAGCTTAGTAATACACAATTCAAGATCATGATGGGAACCAGTGTATGCTGGAATGACTAATGGTTCCAAAGAACATGGTATTGGGAGAACGATTAGAAAAATTCTCCTCAGTTTCTTACAGCTAAACAGTTTTGTAATCAGTGACCTGTCTTTCCAAAGTGTAAGTGGTCAAGCCATTTTGTAGAATCTTGAGTGCCCGTTAGTTTATATAAATTTATCTTGATACATCTCACTTGTAATATCTGAACCTTGGCTGTTGACGCTGCAGACATAATTGTAAGTTTCCTTCAGGATGTTGAGTATTTATTATCTTCTTTCAAATGTCCACATGACTCTAGCACATTCCTTTCCATTTCCAGGTGAATAGTTTTAACAGCACTAGATATGGGCCCTGTTGCTGTACATCCTTCCCTGTTGGGAGCATGAGGGGCGATTCCAGTATATCTAAATAATGCCAGGCCAAGAAGTGGTGACCAGAATTATTGTGCCTTGTTCCTTTTTGTGACCTTCTTTACAATTTTCATTATCAGCAGAGTGGGAGGCATAAATGAGATCCTCCTGAGATAAGATTTCCATAGTCTGATTCAGTGCAATTACTGGCTGGAAGGGAAGCATGAAATTCTGGAAGGTCCCACTGGGTATCCATGCATGAGATCAACATGCCCAGGGGCTGAGTTAGGGATTTTAGTACAGAAAGGGGGGAAGGGGAAACAGTGTTTGACAAACCAAAGACGCTATCTTCCGCTTCCTCTCTTCTGAGATAAAGACTATCCTGGCCAGCATCCAGAACAACCCACAGATGCTGGAGATTTGTGAAGGCTGTAGTTGGATCTTCCCCCTTCTTTATTTCAGAGCCACGTTCCTGAAGAGATAGAATGATGGTTGCTATGCCCTGCTATGACTTTGGATAAGGGTCTGACGAGATGGTCATCCAGAAAACAGGTAGATGTGGGTCCCTTTCTTTTGGAGGGAAGCTATCAGGACAACTGGGATCTTCATAAATACATGTGGATATTGTAAGTCTGAAACGTGAGTGCTCTGTATTGAAAAGTGTTTCCTATTTAAGAAAAACCCAAAAGGCGTCTCCACTGATGACAACTCATCGTTAAATCTGAGGGAGATTTATCATTACATACTGAAGATATAGAGTGTTGGAAGGATGTTACTGTAATGTCTCTGTTGGTTTGTTTCAGAAATGTGAAATTCAGTATGCCTTGCATGGCTGTTTCTCTTCTGTAACACAAAAATACCTGATTGTGCACCACAACACTTGTTTCTCCCTGGAACAGGCTCTATCATTCTGAAATATAAGGTGGTCTACTGCATATTTATTTTCTGAGGCTTTAAGGGATTTTTCTTAAATTAGAGGAAAAGGGTAGACTTGACCAAGATTAAAAAAAAAAAGTTGAAAGTCAGGGTGATCAGCACTTCTAAAAATCAGACCATTTAATTCAGGTGTCTGTCAGCTTGGGAGCCTAATTTTAGGCACTCCTTTTTTAAAACCATGGCATTGTTCCTGGGAGAAGGTGGTAGATCTACTGAATATACTCCTCTGATTATGTCAAGTACCTACTTTTCCTCCATGGTTGATTCTTGGGTCTAACCTCCCAGACAGGAGGGGCCAGATTCGGCATGGCACCTTCTGAAAGGTGCAACACAGAAGGCACAGCCACTGCAATGGTGTAAAAGGGCTTCAATAGGGCCAGAAAGTGGCCCAACATGTCCTCAAACTTTGGGAAGCCAAAGTCCTGTGCAGGTTTCTAAGTTATGGTTTCTATAGGAGCCTATTATGTATCTTCCAACTCCCCAAAATGTCTGCCTCTTCCTAGTGTGTGATATCTATGCTGGTTCTTGGAACAGTGGTAACCTTAAAGAGAATATCCGCTGAGGTAATATGGACTGAAATCTCTGATTGGAATGAGAGGAATGTGGGACTTTTTCCACCTTGTCCAAAGCCTCTGTGTCTGCTTTATCGATACGCTTCCCAAACAGTCTGTACCACTGGAATATATAGAAGACATCATCTGATGTTGGAAGCAATTTTGCTGTGCATATGTTATGTTGTGCCCCTGTGGACACAGCAGCAGAGACTGAACCTGGGACCTTTGGCTCTTAAAGCAGGAACCTCTATTGTTTAAGCTAAAAGGACCCAGGTCTGTTACCCAAGGCTGTAGCAGGATGAACCTCCATATGCAACCCAGCCACCACTAGATGGAACAGTGTACCACACTGAATGGGTGTGGGCTACACAGATGGAGCAACAGATGCTGCCAGGCCACTACACTGGAAGCCTTGGAACATGCAGCAAATTGTAATCAGGTGAAGCATCTGAAAGCTATTGCTAGGGAAATTTAATTTAAAATAGATTTCATTTTGTTTTGCCCTGATGGCTTCACATTTCTGTAAGCTTACCCATCCAAGCAAGAGTAGCTCTGGCAAAACAAGAGGATGCAGTCAGTGCTGCCAGAGCCAGAGGCACCGATGATCCAATTTTCCTGTCTCTGGGTTCCTTTGGCAGAAGCTCTCTCTCAGATGGTGCGACTGTGACCTTTACTGATGAAGCTGCACTGACATGACAAAGTCCTACAGGAGCATGTAGAATTGTGAAGTTACCTGTTAGTGTGTTTCATCTTGCTAGGAAATTTCCTTTGTGTTATTCACATCCTCATCATAAACCAGGTGAAGAGGAATTAGAGAACTCTCCTTCAGCAGGTTTTTGGTGTTTTTTTCTTTTGTCCATTTTTTCAGCTCTAATTATATTTTGCTTAACACAAGAGCCTGCAAAGACAGATCTCATCTCTGATTAATTCTGGGGAGTCCACAGCTGAGAATATGAAGTGTCTCACTCCAGACCATGGCTTCAGAAGTTTCATTTGCTCAGAACCAATTTTAATAATATATTACATACGTCTTCTGGTTCCAGGCAGAGCATGAAACATTTTAACTCAATTTGGCCACATTCCACCATTTCTAAAGTAGACACATTCAAATACGGAGCATACCCACAGTAAATATTCATTTACATGGCACTGTAATGGTACACAGCCCGGCATATTAGGAGTGTGATGCCAAAAAATACAGTAAGAGGATCTCTTGGCACACAGGCTGGAAAGTTTATAAGCAAGAGTTGTGGGTGGGCTTTAGGATTGGAATGTATTAGGGAATGGGCAGGTTCCAAATGAATGTTCTGAAGGAGAGTGAAAGTGCCACACTTCAGGAAAGATTTGGATAAACTGAAGAAACTCCAAAGAAAAGCAACAAAAATGATAAAAGGTTTACAAAACCTGACCTATGAGGAAAAGTTAAAAAAAAAAATGGGGCATGCTTATTATTCTTGAGAGGAGAAGACTGAGGGGGGGACATGATAATAGTCTTCAAATATGTTGAGGGCTGTAATCAATTGTTTTCCATGTGCACTGAAGGTAGGACAAGAAGTAATGCGCTTAATCTGCAGCAAGGAAGGCTTTGGTTAGAAAGTTTTTCCTAAAATCTAACTATAAGGGTAGTTAGGTTCTGGAATAGGCTTCCATGGGAGGTTGTGGAATCCCCTTCATTGGAGGTTTTTAAGAACAGGTTGGACAAAACTCTGTCACAGATAGTCTAGGTTTACTTGGTTTTCCCTCAGCGTAGGAGGCTGGATTACATGACCTCTTGAGGTCTCTTCCACCCGTACATTTCTATGATTCTAAGAGCTATGAGGGATACTTTCCCTCTGGAAAGGCTTTTAGACTTCAAAGGCAGTGAAGGCAGTGAAACAGCCTGATGTATAGGACAACAAGGAGCTGATCCCTGGGCCAAATCATTGAGACGAGACCAAAGGAATAGTGTCTGCAGGTGTTTCTTTAAAAAAAATAACATTACCACTTCATCACCGTTGAGGGCAAGGGGGAGGTAGGCCCATATCCTCAAAAAGTAGAGGAGAATGAGAAGCAGAGCGAGACACACAAGACAGAGGAGCTGCCAGTATCTGAATAAGGAGCTGGCACCTTCTTCAGTAGCTCAGGCATTGTGGGTAAGCTGCTGGCAGAAGAGATGTTCCACAGCATTCTTACCTGGCTTGATAAAGACCTCATCTACATGCTGCTGGAATATTCAATCTTTGCCCCTGGAATCTGCCTGGAGAAAGCTGAGCAATGGCATTTCTCGCTCCACTCCTTTCCCTTACTGTCTGTCATTTCTGAGGAGTGCGGAGAAGGTGCTGCCCCATAAACCCCTCCTTAGAAACCCAAACAGATTTTTGTAGGTACCAGTTATGAGGAGAATAAATCTCAAAACCAATCAACACAACCAGAGGGATTTACTTTAAAATCTTTTACAAATCTTTTTAAAGGCTCTGGGTCAGGCTTAGAATGAAATTAATAGGCAGCAGGTTTAAAAACAAACTAAAGGAAGTACTTCTTCACACAATGCACAGTCAACCTGTAGAACTCTTGCCAGGGGATGTTGTGAAGGCCAAAACTATAACACGGTTCAAAAAAGAACTAAAGTTCCTGGAAGATAGATTCATCAATGGCTATTAAAGGATGCAACACCGTGCTCTGTGTCCCCCTAGCCTCTGTTTGCCAGAAGCTGGGAGTGGACAACAGGGGATGGATCACTTAATTGCCTGTTCTGCTCATTCTCTCTGAAGCACCTGCCATTGGCCATTGTCAGAAGACAGGATACTGGGCTAGATGGACCATTAGTCTGACCCAGCTTGGCCATTCTTATGTTCTCTGCTGCAGAGGGACACCCAGAGTTTGTCAGCTGCACATGCCTGGAAGCTCAGAGCTCTGGAGAGTTCTTCTCAAGGGGTATTTTAAGCCTGACCCAGAGCCACATACCTCCAGCTGCTAGGGGGATGGGAAATGCTCCTTGAGAAGACCATCAGGACATGTAGTGGACAAAGAAAGGTTAAAAGAAATGTGAAATTTTTCAACAAAGACGGCTGTGAGGTACCTCAACACTAAAATCTTGAAACAACAACAGTGATAGTTGAGCAGTCAGTGATGATGTAGAAAAGGGGAGAGGGCTCAGGGGGAAAGAGGAGAAGAATCAAACCTGCCTTCATTAGGGACATAAATGGAAGATTTAGTTTTAAACAAAATAAGCTTTTTAAAAAAAGTTAATATTTTCCTTGTTCATAAGTTAACTTTTGTAAACAGAAAGCGATCTCAGAACAGTTCTGTACATGCCAGCAAGAGAAAAAGAACTGCACAAACACACAGCCATTGAGATGGACAAAGGCCCATTATCCAACATCTTAGCTTAATAACGAGTCATTAATTTACCTCAGAATTAATAAATCTAGATCACTTCAGTACTAATGGATTCAAAATGAGCCCAGAGTTAGGACATTTTCTCTACACATTTTTAATTAATTGTTAACTTCCTTTTCATCTGCTGTCTGTCTAGATATTTCTAAGGCCCCCCCAATCACTGTATTATCTGAGCTACTTGTTCATAGCAAGAAGAAAGGTGCATCTCATGTGTCATTGAGATGGAGCCTTGTCTAGTGGTTAAGCACAGGACAGGGAGTTAGATTTGGATTCTCTTCATGGCTCTACCCTGGAATAGCTGTGACCTTTGGAAAGTCATTCAAACCTTGCTATGCCTCAGTTTCCATATAAGATTGAGGTAGGTGGTATCCTCCAAGAGTGCTGTAAGATTTAATTCACTAGTAATGGCTGGGGAGTGCTTTGAGATCCTCAGGTTCGGGCACTATAGAAGTGCAAAGTATTATTATAATTTGCAATTATTTATCATCCCTTTTACTATTAGTGATTTGTCAATAGATTATTAGATGTTTGTGTGTGGGTGAAAGAGATAGACCAGCAAGAGCCAAGTTTGATCATCTACTCAATTTGACACTTAGATACAACAGAACCTCAATAATCCACAAATCTGATGGTTTCACTCTACATCTCAAAGATCTTGTAGCAGAAAGCTGCAGTGAGGTGCCATATCACTCAGATTTCATTACTTTATAAAGTTAACCCACACAACATTTAGTAGATTGCACTGAATGATCACAAATAGTTCAAACCAGGCAGCACTTATTAAAGTAACATGAATGAAATACATTTTGATGCTGTATCTTTTATTTCTTAAACTGGATTGGTCAGTGCTTGTTAACTGGTAGAATGCAGTAATTGACAACTGAGTGCACATTAGTGAGGTTTTACTGTGTTTTGTAAGGGAAGTCAGGGTGCTCAGATACTCTGATGTAATCTGGAGACATGGTAGCATGACAGCTCAGTTTACTGCTGAACTGAAGAAAGAAAAGCAAATTAAATGAGTGTCATTCCTAACTTACAAACACTGCAAACAATTCTGTCATTTTGTACCTCACAAGTTCACTACTACTGGGTCAGGATGGAGAATAAAAGCCATAGACTTACCCTTTGTGAAATATTTCAAACTTAATTCCCTTGGTCTGAATCACTCTTCGGAAGCCTCTGTGATTTCGGTTAATCGTCAACTTGAACAGCTGATCATATTCTAGAAACAGGAGGAAAAAATGTGAGAATTGTGAAAATCATCAAATTAAGCGACTAGATCTTTTTCAGTGATGGACACATTGCATTCAGAACTTTCAGCCTACTGCAGTTTGGCCCATATAACACCACTTCACACTTACATAGCAACTTCTATCTCAAAAGGCCAAGGTGGTTTCAAATGTTAATGAATTAAACCCCACAATACCCCTCATTATCATCATCCCCACTTTACATATCTGAAGAAGAAATTAAGTGATTTTCTCAAGGTCACACAGCAAATCAGTGGCAGAGCCAGGAACAAAACACCTGTCTCCCAGCTCTGTGCTTTAACCATAAGCTATCCTTCCTGGAGCACAAGACAAAGATCCAAAATGAGAGAGAAAAAATGACTAATTCAGGAAAATAAGGATAACAGGCAATGTTTCACCAGCATAAATAACATCAGGGTAATTATGAACCACCAGAGATAGAAACAAGGGGACAGATTCCAATCTCAGCTACACTGTTGTAAATCCAGAGTAAATGACTAAGAAATAGGGATCCGGCTTTTTTAACATGATTTTTGTAGTTACTATATTGAAAACTAGAAACAAAATGCTTTCAAACTTTAGGGGAAAAAAAAAAAAGCTTGAAATCCTAACCTCAAAGTTTATTACTCCCAATCATAAACTAGTGTTTTGGAAACTCAATGCAATTCAAATGACATGTGGTATGGAGGAAAAAAAGAGGGTAAACAGAATGACACAAATTTAAAATTGACCTGCAAAGGAAGAAGAATTGGGCTTGTAACTTGTTTTGCTTCTTTATTATGTATAAAGAAAGCCTGAAGGGATCTTTTCTTAAAAAAAAAAAAAAAAAAAAAAAAAAATTTTCTTCCATTTTTTTTAAATATTAGAAATAAGATCTAGGCTGGAAGATTCTATGACAACTATTTAATTTAAATGGTAAATGAACATTTTGGATAAAGAAAACCTTTGTTAAAGATTAAGTGCCTCTACCCCTTCAATTAAGGTGAGAGCTCACAATACACATGCTTCTGAAACATCTAGCAAGTAGGTCCTCCTGCAAGAATCTAGGAAGACCAGACTTGACATTCCTGCTATTTTAAAAAGGTAAAAACAAGTAGGGGAAAAACCCACAAAACTTGGTTTGGAAAAAAGAAAGTACCAAAAAGGGGCACAATCCCAATTTTTAAAAAGTCCTTTGCTAGTCATCTTTAAGATCTGCTGTGTTGTGAAGGCAACATTTCTAACATTAGCAGATCAATACAAATGATTAACCAGATCAGTCAGGCTCATCCAGTCACTACCCTCGGAACAAATGATCAGAAAGGAAATAAAGTGTGATCTCTGAAGATTCGTAAGTGAATTATTTATGCATCCTGAATTTGTTTTTTTTGTACTGGTCTGTCGCCTAACAGGGCTACTATAGTAGCCCGAACCTATTGGATGTAGCAAAGGCTCAGTGGTACTGAGCAACAAGATCATTTGATTAAGAAGTGACATGAACAATGGCTCCCTGCACTCGATGAGGGAGAGTGGGGATAGAAAGTTAAACTCCTACAGCAACTGGATTTACCCTGACAAGGCCTCTGGTAACTGAAGAGAAAAGCACAGTCTGCTCTTCTAGCATGGCTTACGGTGTGGGACTAGCCTGTACTCCAAAGTGGTTTTAAGGTGCAGAGTTTCACCTCCTTCCCCCAGAACAGATACAAACCTGGAGAATTGGTATTTTTAATTACTGCCGTTTTACTTTTCTGAGCTTGTTCCTATTAAAAAAAAAAAAGAAAAGAAAAAGCAACATTTACATAAAGCCACCAACCGTTGTTGCAAATACTGCTAATATGAAGCAGCAACCTTTTTTTTCTTTTTTTAAACATATATGAAGCGCTTGAGTTGCCCGGCATCATAGCAGAGCTATTTGGTGCAAATGGAGAGAGCTGACCCCAGTTCTCTCTGATAAAAAGATTCCAATAAAGTTAAAAGGTATAGTGTATAATATTGTAATATGACCCTTCCTAATGTACGAACAGAGACTTGGCCAGCCACAAGGAAATAAATCAGTATGTTCTCCACTATGGAAATGCAGATGGTGAGATGGTCAAATGGCTGGACATGCAATGATAAGAAACAAAATGAGCTTGTGAGGGGCCTAATATGGGTCACCCCAACTGAAGACAAGTTGAGGGAGGCAAGGCTACATTGGTATGGACATGTCCAGTGGAGACCTGAGAGTTGTATTGGAAGGATGGCCCTTGCAATGATCATGGATGGAAGATGACCAAGGGGAAAGCCGAAGACTTGGTACATGGACCAGATATCAGCAAACATTAGAAGAGACCAATTTGCACGTCCAAACCAGGTGTACAATCATGAGTTTTGGAAGTAGGCTATACAAGACTCTGACCCTCCCAGTAGGGACTGGCAAGGAAGAAGAAGAAAGAGCTTGAGTTATAGGAGCTTATCGAGGGTAAAAACGGCATGGGCACATTTATGATTCCAATATTTCTATTTCATTGTGGTAACAAATGTAACTTTAGATATAGAACTAGCCAAAAGGAAATATTAAACACAAGTGCTATAGATAAGTGATATGGCCACACCTGATTCAACACTCTCATCATAAAACTAATTGGTGCTGCTATGAGACATGATAAACTATGCACATTCTACTAGGTTATCATTCTGTTCCTTCTACTGGAGCTGAAATAAGAAGAAGCTTTTGGTGCTGCACAAGGAGTCCAATGCAAGTCATTCAGTGAATTTGCCAACCATTATTCTTCCTGACAATCACTCTGCCACCAAAATGAATTAACTTTTAACCCAAAGCAGAGTATAAGCTAAATGTCCTTATTCACTCTCCAGAGAATGTGACCTAATTATCATAGCTACTTTGAAAAACTGATTCCAGCTATGAAGGAGAAATAGGTATATATAATTTTTTGGCTAAGATGTAGTGATCTGGCTTTTTTAACACTGAAAATGAGAGATTAAAAACAGCTACACTGGCTTTATATGTATTACTTATAAAATTACACCTACAGGCCTGATTTTGTTCTATTATGCTGGTGTAAATCAAATGGAGTGACTCCAGATTGACAACCATGTAACTCAGATCAGAATATGGACAGGTCCAAGTCTCTTTTTTGCACCAGGTTTTTCCGCAGGTAATTTAATAAACTTCAATAGAGTTACTACAAGTTTACCATGAGGTAAGAATCAAGTCCTGTATATTTAAAGAACCCCGGGGGGCTATGATCACATGCTGCTGAGAGCTAGAAAATTAGGGCTAAATCTTCTACACTGTTATAGAAATATTGCACTGGGGAGTCAGTGATAGAAGCCCTGGTACATCTTCTGGTATACATGTAGAGTCCCCCCTTAGCACAGACTGCTGCCGTCAGAAACTGGGGGAGAGGTATAGCACCCTGCACTGAGGTTCGAGTGGCAGACTTCTTTTCATTTCCTGGTTTGCCTCACATTTTTGTTAAGACAGATAACTGACTCCCCACCTGTGTCAGCTTCTTTGGGGCCATCCCACCTCACAGGGTAAACTGTATGTAATACCATATCAATCCACAAACTGTCAACATTAAACAAACAAACAAACAAACACACACACACACACACACACACACACACACACACACACACACACACGAAAAAAATCAATCCTGAATGCAAGGTGTAGTCTGTGTGCAAAGTAACAGTATTTTAACAGTAACGGTATTTTAAAAACAGGTTAGACAAACATCGGTCAAGGATGGTCTAGGTATATTTCATTCTGCCTCAGCGTAGGGGATGGACTAGAGATCTTGTGAGCCCTTTCAGCTCTGCATTTCTATGATTCTATTCTCAGGGATTCTCATCAAGATAGTTGGAAAGTAGGGGCTGGCACCAATGGTTTTCCAAAGAAAGAGGAGAAAATAAATCTGACATCATTTTGTTGTTAGTATTCAAAGGTATGTGTGTGGGGGGGACTTTCAAGGTCCAATAACATTTACATCGTTAGGGAGAGGGAGAACCTGAAAAGCTAAGTCTCAGAAGGCCCCAGTCAATGTAATGACAAAAATACCCTGAATTTTACTAGCAATTATATAAACACAGACAAATCATCTGAGAAAAGGTTACTTATATGGGCCAGATCCTGTCCTCAGAGATCCGAGCATCTCCCACTGACCACAGTGGGAGTCACATGCATTTATATGAGGGTAGAGTTTTTTGTCCATTTCTAAAACAAGCATCTAAAATGGCCGGAACTATTTATTTTTAACTAAAAAAAACAAAACAGGTTTGCAACTCAGTTATAATTCATAGCAAGCATTTACAACTTGTCAACTCCTGAAAGTAATAGGCCCACACCACCTCTAGGTTAAATCTGGCTCTATAAGCTATTAAGATAACATTGCTAAGTAATGCAGGGTTTTGGATTGAGGAACAGCAAAGGCCTGAACACACACTCACCGTATTAGGGTACTGAAATTCAAATTTCACAAACGCGTCCAAATCATTTGGTGTCACACCTGTGCAAGACAACAGTCAAACAGTCAAGCCAGGGATTTTCAAAAGCACCCAATTGACTTTTAATAGGACTCATGGACCTAAATCACTTAGATGCTTTTAAAAACCCCATCCACTGGAACACTGGCAATCAAAGGCAAACATTCTGCTAATGCTCTAGTTGGTTCTGAGCGCATACATAAATATTTATTATAGGGGTTTAATTGCTAAAGGACCTAAGAATAATTTGTATTGCTATGAGGCTGGGATGCTCTTGAACATCTCCTGCTGGTTGGCTGACGAGAGAGTCAAAGCAGTCAAGCCATCTCAGAGCTTTGCAAAATTTTTACAACAAAACCTGAAGTCTCATGAAATTTGAACCTGGGCCCAGTTTCGAGCAAAGCTGGGACAACTTTAGGGTTCTGCCTTCAAAGCAGATGAAACGCTGCAGTTTAAATTGAGTTTTGTTTCAGTTTTTTGGAGCTGAACTGAAACTTGGGGGCCTGAGCTAATATGGACTGAAATTAAAAAGCTTTCAAAAGCTCTAAGTCAGCTAGGGTTGCCAACTTTCTAATCGCACAAAACCGAACACCCTAGCCCCACCCCCTCCCTGAGGCTCCATCCCCCGCTCACTACATTCCCCCTCTCTCGGTGGCTCGCTCTCCCCCACCCTCACTCACTTTCACTGGGCTGGGGCAGGAGGTTGGGGTGCGGAAGGTGGTGAGGGCTCTAACTGGGGGTGCGGGCTCCAAGGTGGGGTCAGAAATGAGGCGCTCAGGGTGCGGGAATGGGCTGCGGGTTGGGGCAGGGAGTTGGAGTGCAGGGATGGGGTGAGGGCTCCGTCTGGAGGTGCGGGCTCTGGGGTGGGGCCGGGGATGAGGGGCTTGGGGTGCAGGAGGGGGTTCCGGGTTTGGGTTGGGGGACTCAGGGCTAGGGCAGGAGGTTGGGGCTTGAGGTTGGGGCACAGGCTTACCTTGGGTGGCTCCCCGTCAGCGGCGCAGCAGGGCGGGCTAAGGCAGGCTTCCTGCCTATCCTGACTCCTCGCTGCGCCCCAGAAGCGGCCAGTAGGTCCAGCTCCTAGGTGGAGGCATGCAGGCGGCTCTGCGCGCTGCTCTCACCCGCAGGCACCGCCCTGCAGCTCCCATTGTCCAATGGTTCCCGGCCAATGGGTGTGCAGAGCTGGTGCTCGGGGCGGGGGCAGCACACAGAGCCACATTGCCCCCCTGCCTAGGAGCTGGACCTGCTGGCCGCTTCCGGGGTACAGCTCAGAGCCAGGGAAGGTAGGGACTAGCCTGTCTTAGCTCAGCAGCACCGCCGACTGGACTTTTAACAACCCGATCGGCGGTGCTGACCGCAGCCACCAGGGTCCCTTTTCAACTGGGTGTTCCAGTAGAAAATCAGACACCTGGTCACCCTAAAGTCACAGTATTATCCCTAGGGCAAAGAAATTTCATTCCCCACCATTAACCTCTCTATGGTCTGAGAGAAAGGCTAGAGATCAGGATATGTTTCCTGTTCATTACCTGGGGGAGCTGGCAGGTTTATTCCCCTGACAATGATAAGATGCATTTCCGTACTGTTGAGTTCAGAAAATATCCTGGAGTGGGGGAAGGAAGAAGAGATACAAAACACAGGTTCAGTCCAGTAGCCTGGCATTTCCCAACCCACTGAAAGGCCAGGATTCCACTGCTGTAGTTCAGAGACATGACACTTGGCAAACATGAAAGGGAATGAGAGTCCTGGAGAAAAGCCTATTCCTACATAAATCTCAACTCAAGAATTGGAGAGGAGAGGGAAGGCAAAGTGGAAACAGGCAAAGACATCAGTTTTTTGGTTCTGTGTTGGATCTGGGTTACAGATAGCATTGTGAAGGATGCCAAAGACAGGATCCTCAAAGACATCAGTTCTGGGGGGAAAAACATGGCTAAAGCAGGGAGAGTTGGGGGAAGATGCAGCTGGATTTGTCTTTGCAATAAAGAGACCTAAAATGGAAGTTGTGAAACAGCTACTTAATAAATCCGAAGAATCCTTACATTTTTAGAAGTCTTTTCTTAGGAATGTGGAGCAGTTCTGAGTGCCTGCCTCTTGTTTGCTCTGATGGGAGTTAAAACCCTCTATCCCCTGTACATGGATTAGAGATTAGTATTCCGTCCCAGACTGACAAGGACACCCTTTGACTTTTCATACCGTATTATTTTAAAGGTTCTCTCCTCAAAGTGATGGCTGGGGGGATCCATCCCCTGGGCCTGTGCAAGTTGCAGAATCTCCAGGTCCTTTTTACATCCTTGTGCCAGTTTTTCAAACCTGTAAAGCAGTGGTGGAGACCACCCAAGGACAGCACACAGTATTTCACTGGGTACAAGACACAGACTGATTCACTCAGCTCCACCACCTCACACCACAAGTAAATCAGTGACCAACAGCCCACAAACACCAATCTCCTTTTGTACTGGAAAGCATGGCAGCCCCTGCTCTGCGTAGACCCAGGGAAGAAGTGACCACATGACGTGATAAATACAGATGGTGGCAGCAGACTTACCGGGCTGTTTCAGTTATGTTTCCCAGATGCATGAACTGCCTGGAATACTGCAAACATTTCTATTAACAGAAAAAATAAGTAACAATGATTATCCCATGATACACATCTCTGAAGAAAGATTTCAGATTGAGGACCTGCATGTTACACAGAAGAAGAGAAGAGAAGGTTACTCACACTGTGCAGTAACTGAGGTTCTTCGAGATGTGTCCCCCTATGGGTACTCCACTTGTAGATGCAGCAGTGTCCCCTGCGCCCGGGATCGGAGATCTTCATCAGTAGTGCCTATCGGACCGCACATGCGCACCTCCCCCTCTTGCACCGTGCGCAGGACGTATATATAGCTCTGTGCGGTCTGATCGCCCCCAGTTCCTTCTCTGCCACAGAGCTTATGTTTTCGGCTCCAAAGCAGAGGGCAGGAGGGTGGGTAATGGAACTCCCATAGGGACACACACATCTCAAAGAACCTCAGTTATTGCACAGAGTGAGTAACCTCTTCTTCTTCAAGTGATGTACCTATGGGTGCTCCACTTGCAGGTGACTAGAAAGCAGTGCCCCTAATTGGAGTGTGGCTGATGAATAGGCCTTGCATCCAAATAGATCTTGAGGTTTCCTATCTCTATCTGGATTATTAGAACGGGATTGGAACTGATGGCCTCTCTCTTGCACCACACTGACCACCAGAGAATTTGGGATGGGGTGTGAAAATAAGAATTTCGAATCCTTCCCTGGAACATAATATTTCCTGTTGGTGCATTTGTAGGTTGGAGGAATAGACGCTGGGGTCTGCCACAAAACCTTTGTGGGGGTCGAGAGGAGCCTCACTGATCACAGTGCGATCTTGGGAGAAGAGAATGTATGAAGTATATCCAACAGTTTATGCTGCTGGTCTTTAACTTCCTCCAATAGGATCTGTAAAGATTCTGCAACCCTGCGGAATAACTTCTGAAAGTGTCTGAAGTCGTCGGCAGATGTGGGTGGTGGGGGCACGATAGCCTCATCAGGTGAGAATGAAAACCGTAAGGTTGGTGGAACTTCCTCCTCCTCATGTTCTTCCTGTTCAGTTGGTGCCAGCGGTAATTCAACCTCTTAAAGGTGAGAGACCGATGGAGAAGGGAGAGGTGTAGGTCTCCGTTCATACTCCCTGGTAGGGTTCATGAACTGTGCCCTGTACACAGCCCAATGGTCATAATACGGCCAGTTTGGTGGGCGTCACATGTGGTTGATAATAATATATGGAGATATACCTATCTCATAGAGCTGGAAGAGACCCTGAAAGGTCATCAAGTCCAGCCCCCTGCTTTCACTAGCAGGACCAAGTACTGATTTTGCCCCAGATCCCTAAGTGGCCCCCTCAAGGATTGAACTCACAACCCTGGGTTTAGCAGGCCAATGCTCAAACCACTGATCTGTCCCTCCCCCCATGGTTGCATACATGGTGGCCACTGCCAGGCTTGAGGACCAGCGGGAGATTGTGTATAGTGAGGATAGGCAGTTACGAGTTGCCCTGTAGTCGAGGGAACAATAGAGCCCTCACCTCTTCCTCATCACTAGGGAAGGGAGGTGCCATTCTTGGTGGAGAGAGGGAGGAGTGGCGTGAGTCTGGAGAGGAAGGTGGAAGTGGGGGAGGTCACACTGCATAAGAGGAGACTCAAGAGTGTCAGAGACCAACAGGTCCGTTGGGTATCTGAAGTCTTGTGGCGGGGGGAGGAGAAGCAGCAGCATCGGTGCTGATGGAAGACAACACCGAAGGAAGATGTATGTCCCTGAGACATCGGTAGATGGCGCTGGAGGCTAGGCCAGTTCCACCGGTTTGCTCGGTGCTGCTGACTAGGTCGGTGCCAACGATTTCGCTAGTGCCGAGGTCTTATTTGGTGCCAGAAACGGCATTGGTGCAGGAGCTCCTGAGGGCAGCTTGGCTTGGTCTCCCTAGAGCTGGAAAATACTGCCAAGGGCCATAGGTCTGCTTGGTTAAGACCGTTTAGACCATTTCTTTGAGCCGGTACTGGAGGTACTCAGATGAGCACTGGAGTTATGTCCCCCGTCAGATGAGGCTGAGGTAACAGACCTCGCCGGGGACAGCGTTCTGGTGGGCTGTGCCTCAGACTGTGAGGAGGAAATCTGTTTATTGACATCCAAATGAGCAAAGGATGACATTCTCTTCAGGGGACGGGGAGAGTGAGGATCAGCAGATGACCTGGCAGAGCATGAGGGCCTCTCTGGGGAAGAGTCTAGGCCCAGGTTCAATGCCAGCCAAAGCAAATTCTACATAAGGAGGGGTTTCAATCTAATGTCCTGGTCCTGGGTGTCAGGCCAAGGCAGTGGGAACACTTTTGCAGGACATGTCTATGATGTTACACCCACATTCTTCGTAGAAATCTTGTTATAATATGAATATGGCATAACTAAAATATGTTTTATGCAAGATGGGTCATGTGAGGTATCATTGAAAAGGTTATGATCTACAAAACGTGTATATCCAATTTGTATGCATGTATCTTTCTGTATCTGACGTTAGGAGTATTGACTATGTAACAATTACAATTGTGTGTGTACTTGGGGGAACGCCCACCAGACAGTAGGCAATCAGCCTGAATGAGCCATTTAAGATGGACAATAGAACTTTGAAGATACTAATTTCCCACCTTCCTAAGGAGCTTCCTGGGATGTTGTTTTGACACTGCAGGGTCATCTGAGGATATCACCTGGTACAGAATACCACCTTGGACACTGCTGGTATTTTTCCACTGGAAACAAAGGGTTCCTGCCTTATGTAAATTCTATTTAAGGCTGGGGAGTAAGCCATTCAGGACTCTTCTCCATTGCCTCCCCGTACAAGAAGGAAGATTGCTAAAAACACCTGAAGGGAAAGGCAGGGGCTGAGTCTGCCAAGAGAAATAACTGGAACTCTAAGCTAGAGAAACTCTGCAACCTGCCTAAAACAACATTTAGGGTGAGAAATTACATTTTGTAACCTGTTTCTTGAGTGTATTAAGCTTAATTTGTGTGTTTTGTTTTATTTGCTCAGTAATCTGCTTTGTTCTGCTATTTGCTATCCCTTTTATCACTTAAAATTTACCTTTTGTAGTTAATAAACTTATTTATGTTTATTACAAATCCCAGTTTGTACAATTCATATCTGGGGGAGCAAAAGGCTATGCATATCTCTCTCCACATTGAGGGCGGGGGCAATTTTTATGAGTTTGCACTGTGCAGATCTCTCTATACAGCGCAAGACAATATTATTTTGGGTTTACACTCCAAAAGGAGGTGTGCACGAGTGCTGAGTAAATCCCCAAACTGAGTCTTCGCACATAGAGCTGATTTCAGTCTGTGTCTGCAGCTGGGTGTGGCCTTACCTGTGTGTGTGCACTAGAGAAGGCTTGAGGGCCTGGCACAGCTCAGTCAGGGTGAGGAAACCCAAGCTGGTGGAACCAGTGGGACCCCAACACATCAGGTGGCACCCCGGACGGGGGGTTCAATCCATCACAGTGTCCCTCTCCCAGACAGCGGATACACTGAGTGTGGCCATCCGTGGCGGGGAAGGCGGCCCCGCAAGAAATGAACCTCTTAAACCTGGAGGATCTGGGCATAAGGGTGGAGGGAAAGGCTTCCCAGTCGGGAAGGGCGGGAAGCAGAGAAAAACAGAAACTCAAACTATTAAAGAACTGTAAAGGTAAAGACAAAATAAAAAAAAACATTTTTTTTTTGGATAGAAGAGGAAAGGAGAAGAAGAAGAAAAGGCGAAAGATTTATACGATCTGAAGAGAAACCAGAGTACACTGCTGCGAATTCCATCCCAGACCAGAAGCAGTAGAGAGGGAACTGGGGGCGGTCGGATTGCATAGTGCTATATATAAATTCCCACGCACAGCGCAATGGGGGGAGGTTTGTATACATGCAATCCGATGGGCACTGCTGATGAATATCTCTGATCCCAGCCACAGGGGGCGCTGCCGCACTTACAAGTGGTGCACCCATAGGGACATCACTCAAAGAACAACTCCCAGTTTGTCCAAATCTCTACAGGTGACTCCACCCCCCCCCATTTAAAACAAACAAACAAAACCAAATACAGTGTTTGCTTAGTTTCCTCTGCCTTCTGTCACTTTTTCCTCTAATAGTTTTAGACATGGCATTCACCCCAGGATTAGCTGTGCCCTAAGGACTCAGGCTAATGTTTTCAAACTTGGGTGTCCAAAATTAGACACCTAAACCAATGGCCTGATTTGCAGCAGCGCACAGCACAAGGGCTCCCACTGACTTCAAATGGAAGGACCTCTGAAAACCAGATGATTGATTTAGGTGCCTAACTATAAACACCATATTTGAAAATGCTGGCCAAAGGGCTTATATAAAATCAACATTTTAAAATAGGAGCTGAAAATCCTACCGAAACAATGATGGGATCATGATCACAGCAGCGGCAAAAGCCAAAGAAACACTATAAATCATACAAAGCATTTCTTCCATTGATGGATTCTTAAATAATGATGCACTGAAAGGAAAAGGTAGTTACCTCATGCTGGTCCTTTAGCAGTTTTATGAGCTGAGTGTACACCTCTTCTGCCTTCTGAGAGAGTTTGACATCCTCATGGTGTATGAAGATAAAGTCACTCTCATCATCTGTAGGGGGTGATGGTAGCTGCACAATACCACACAACATGGCACATCAGAGCTCCTTGCAGGAACACGGAAGCAGAACAAAAGCAGCAAGAGGGGATGGGAAAAGTGTGAGGAGATCAGGGAAGGTGGGTGCGGACAGTGGTAAAGGGATATGGCATCTCTCACTCTAGGTCACTGGTTCCAATCCATCTGTTAGTTGCCACCAAGTGATGACTGCCCATGCAATACGAGCTGGTGGTCTCAGCTCAGCTGTTAAGATTACAGTTATTTGTCTCAAAGTAGCATCTTTGAGGCCAGGGAGCAAATGGGTCATGAAGCCTAAACTCCCCACTCCCCCACAGAGGTGGTTCCTTCAAGTCAGGATCAGGCACTTTTGGGCTATAGGGGAGGAGGAGGAGGAACAGCACTATGACTGGAGCTTGCACTGCCATTGCCTGTTCTGTAGCTATGTGGAAAACATCAGTTTCTAGAGCTGTCAATCTGGCACCTTTCACCAGCACTGAATTCACGAGAAACATTAAGTGTTAAAGCATTCTTAGAGTTATGCAAGCAACAGGAGATTTGAGATGCCCAAGGAGCAAAGCAGAACATTTTCTTTATAGTCTCTACTAACCTTGGAAATATCAACAGATTTGCCGCTTTTTGCCAGCTCAATCTTTGGGTCTAAGTTCTTTGCTGTCCTGAGATACAGCTTGGCTTGTTCAAGGTCATTCTGCTGCTTTGCTTTGATCGCAGCCTTCAAGTATTGCTTCTTCCTGTTCTCCAGAAATTCTAGCTGTTCACTTGCTGAAAAGGAACAGCTATATAAAACACTTATCTGACATAACCATGTCAAGGCACCATGTTCATTCTGTTTGATTTATACTGTGGAAAGAGTCAAAGCCCAGGTACCAGCTGAAAACACTTGCCTGTGTGTTTGATATACAATAGTCACACCATGGTTAGTTCCACTTGTATACTAGTACAAAAATAATACTAATTTCCATTTCTTCCATCAAGGAATCCTAAAGCAATTTACAAACCAACAAACTTTTATTTAAAGCACTACAATAAACCTGTGAGGTAGGTACAAATTATTGTTCCCATTTTACAGAAGGGGAAAACAGAGGTTAAATGACTCGTGCAAGGCTACTGAAGAGCTGTGAAAGTCAGCTGCAGACCTGGATTTAAAGCTTGAGCTGACTTCCCCGTTCCATGTTCTATCTTCTAAAAACACCTCGTAATTGAATGATGCGTTATCTGTATATGTGCACACAATATATTGTATACTTTCTTTATACACATACTTTTCTTCTCTCTCAACTTACCAGAGAAAGCAAACACCTTGACCTCAATGACAAAAGAGCAATTACTTCATTGGAAGGCACACTGAGGCTAGGTCTACACTACAGCGGGGGTCCGACCTAAGATACGCAACTTCAGCTACGTGAATACCGTAGCTGAAGTTGCGTATTTTAGGTCGGCTTACCTGGCGGTGAGGACGGGGGAAAGCCGACCGCTGCCGCGCTGCCGCCGACTCCGCTGCCCCCTCTTGCCGAGGTGGATTTCCGGAGTCGACGGCAGAGCGATCAGGGATCGATTTTACCGCGTCCTCACGAGACGCGGTAAGTCGATCCCCGATAGACTGATTGCTACCCGCCGGATCGGCGGGTAGTGAAGACATACCCTGAGACCACAACCATCATAGCTCATCCCTCTTCCTGCCTTTTTATATCCCACTGTTACTACTTCTTGGGTCACCACCATCCCTGAACAGCTGGTACAGTTTTAAGACTCAGGAAGGATTAATTTACATCATCCGTGCACCATATCCTACTTTCTCCACACTTTTCTTGGCATAGAGGGTGTAGTGTAGTGGGTCGACTACCTCTGTTTCCCTAGAGTCTTATATTGTGTCCACCTATTGCAGTATCCAAATGCAATTACACAAGCTATGCACTTGCAGGAGGTAGTTTTCTCACCATACAAATACACAGAGCAGGCTGATAGCACTATTAATACCAGAAAGAATATACTGACTGACATATAGTCCCATCTTCACAGTGGAGCTGGCAGCATCACTGTTGTGTGCAATTTGCCCAGTCATCCAAATCCAAACCAATCAGACAATGTTGCTTGCTCTGGTTTTAACTTAGCCAAAGCAGCCAGAATACAGTGTGCTCAGTGGGGTTTAGAGAAGGAAAAGGTATTTTCATGCAGGCTCTGCAGAGAGTGGACTAAGCAAAACCTTGGTATCCCTCTGCACCCCCATCTTTCATAGTGGGTGCCTTTGCATTGCAGGCCTTAAATGAAGCTGCCTTTTCCAAATGCATCATCCTTCAAGAGGAGAAGAGACATACCAGCTCAGGGATGCTCCAGCTTTGCTCCACTGAAGGTCACTTTGGTATGGGAGCCTAAAGCCAGCTTATATACACAGCAAGATGAGCATGGCATGGTGTCACATCATCTCTGACATATGTGAAGTATGGGCAGCTGAGGGTGGCACTGTATGACTCTGGGGGCCACACCTGGCTTGTGCAGGGCACATGTTGGTTACCCTAATCTAGCTTTACCAAAGCAAGATATTGGCACCTCCTGCAGGGTGGATCTGTCCCGGCTCCTGGTACTCTTTTTTACTGTAGAACAATTAAAGCACTGAGGAGAGACTTGTGGGTAAGCGCTACGTGACAACCATCAGCTGGGCTGCAGAGAGCAGGTATTATCTTAATATTTTAATGAAAGGGAGAGGAGCCTCAATTCCATAACTGACTAATTACATCTGAGGAACTCCATTTATACACTGAAATGATCATTAACATCGCAGCTATAGCAGCAAAAATGAGGAAGCCAAATCTAATGCAGACTCACAGATTTTAAGGCTTGAGAGACCATACATACGGATAATCTAGCCTGACCTCCTGCATAACACACACCACAGAATTTCACTCAGAAGAGAGGATGGTGTGAGCTAGTAGCTATAGCATTCACATCCTCACTCCCAAGAAGTTCTCCATTACACAAATGGCCAGAGGGGCTCTGTGAAAGGTGTGCTTTGCTTTGAAGAATTTTCCAAATGTAGAATGAGAAAAGAAGACTAGGCTTATGGTTAAGGCTCAGCATTGGCAATCAAGAAGCCTGGATCCCATTCCCAGTAAGCCACAAAGCTTACTGTGCAGCTTTCGGCATGTCAAACTTACTCACTTTGCCTCTGTTTTCACAACAGTAAAATGAATATTGTACAGGCAGGCATTTACTGACCTGACAGGAAGGTAATAAGGATTAATTCATTACAGTTTGTGAGCCACTTTGAGATCCTCAGATGGAAAGAGAGAGAGAAATACTATGCATTAGCCACTGTGAGACACACGATACTGCACTCAATCAGCCAGCTGTCTGGACTAGCAAGCTCAACAAACTTGTGTGAATTCATTTTGAGTTCCGTAGTCAGCAGAGATGCCTCAGTTAAGCATTATGAATTAATAAGTTTATTGCATTAGAATTAATGAACCCATCATCTTTCTAGTCACCCACTTTGCCTCCTGGAAACAAAACTGCATAACTGATTAGGATCTGCTCCCCCAAAATGGAGTGGTGCTCCTGCTGAAGTGAACCAGAGCCACACATTCATGTCTACAGGCAGTATTTTTTCCTAAAACTTTAAGAAAACATTAAGAACGTTTGGTCCAAATGGACCGGCATGTGGATTGCTGGGAGTGATCATCTCTTCATCCTTACCGGCTAAAGGGAGATGGTCATTCGATACAGCTTTGTCTGGTGCTGTTATAGGGGTGGATGGTGATGTAACTTTTTTCACACTCTCAGAAGAGTGCTCTTCCTGGGCTACAGCAGATGGCACCATAATTGGCTTAACAACTTGTGTTGGCTTCTCAGGCAGCTGAGCAGGCCTCTTGGCAACTGGGGCCTGTGTGTGAGGTTCGCTCTAGCATGGCAAAAGGAACTAAATGTTAAATTCATAAAAACTAATACAAGGCTCAGGCAACTCAAAACATTAATGGCACAGTCCGCTACATCAGACTTCTGCTGTTACACTGAGAGTAGCAAAAGACCCCAGACAGACACTAACTCAGTCTAAAAGTGATGTCATGCCAGGTTTGGCTGCTTGCTTGGACAAGAAACAGATTAAACATGGTGCTAATTCAGAAGAGAAGCAAAGAAAGGCAAGAACAGAAAATTGTCAAGATATTTTTCACCATTTAAAATTACATTCCACTTGAAAATATGAAACAAATCGGTCAGTAACAATCTGAGTGGAAAGAACCAACCCAAAATCTTATGGTCGGTGTAGATTGCTAGACAGCATGTAAACCCCATATAAAATTCTGAGCCAACAGGAGGCAACTTTTGAGTGCTAAAGGGCTGTACAGGTGGAATAGCCACCACACAGGCAGTTGTTTTGAAGACAAAACCCACATATAAACAGATACAGGGAAACAGATACAAAGAAAAAAGGCAAGCCAAATTATGGCCCTATAAATCCCTTTAAAACAATTCAAGGTCTTTCATGTAGGATGAACTCTTTGCAATTCTCACCTCATCAAAAGATAACCCCTCCTTTACATTCCCAGCTGATTCTTACTGTCTCCCCCGAGAGACCGGAATGCTGTACTCTTCTGGCTTCCAGAAGAAAGGTATTTTATTGCAATACCTCACCCAGCCGGAAATCCAATAGCTTCTTCTCCACCCACAAGATGTGTTTTTTAAAAAATTATACATATTGGTAAGTAATTCAAACCTCCACCTCTTCATCTTCATCTTCTTTCTCCTCCATGTTAGCCAGGTGGTTGGCGCTTTCCAGCACGGCAGCTATTGTACTGTCGCCATCTGTGGGTGTCACACCAGGAATGGGGGGGAATCCTGAGACGGAAGGAGATATGGTTCAAAACAACCAAATAAAACAAACCTTGAATTCTGTACCTTTTGCCCTTTCCAGGGATGTAAGTCTTTCTCTCTGTCATCATCCCTTCAGGATCAGTGCTTGGAAAAGCGCCACGGTTCTGAAAGTATTTATCATCCAACAGCAACCCCTCGGAAAGTCTTTCCCACATAATTTTAGAAGTCAATGCCTCATGAATCACAAAAGGCAGAGACAAACGCTATGCACTATTTGAAAACTGATATTCTCGCTTTCCCAGTGGTATTACACATTCCTAACAATGATATTTCACTATTATTGGACTGTTAGACATGCACTGATTTCTCAGTCTAGCTGCTTTTTTGACACAGGATTAGGCCTGAGTAGCCAATCCTGATTTGTGTAATTTTCAATCCCTGTTACGCCTTGTTTCCCCAATAACTATTAGTGTGTGTGCTCTACTGGAACATCAGAGCAATGCTACATCCCACTGCAGCTCAGCAGTTTCAGCAGGAGCAGCACCACAGTAGTAAAGAAATATTAAACCCATTATAATTCTTTTGACCATTTTCTGTCCTTTTGAAGGGGAGTGAACGTCTTTGATAATGGGAGACAGTCTTTAATTTCTAAGGCCTTGTCTACATTGCCACTTACAGGGCTGAAACTTTCTTCACTCATGGGTGTAACACCCCCCCCCCCAAGCGATGAAGTTTCAGCGCTGTAAAGCAGCAGTGTAGATAGTGCTACAGCGCTGATAGCGCTGGTAACTATTTCTCTCGTGAAGGTGGTTTTATTACAGCGCTGGGGGAGCTCTCTCCCAGCGCTGAAGCTGCGACTACACGGCAGCACTTTAACGTCAGCTGTGTAGACATACCCTAAGTCACCAGTTCAAATCCAGCCTGGGTCAGTAGTGACCAGAGTTACCACTATAAGATAGCTATTTGATGGCATTCACATTGCTAAAATCATTCTTGTTAGTAGTCTCAGCAACCAGGCCAAGGACTGGCTGAGACCAAACTACTCTCTCACCGCAGAGATAGCTACTCCAGGGGAGAGGGCAGGTTTGAGGTATATTGCAGAGCAGCCTGTGCAGCACCTGATCCATGACTAAAGAGAGGATTTCTGTCTCTAAAGCTGTCATGTCTGGCACCTTTCAAAGTTCAGATGCAGTGAAATGCACACAAATATCCTCCACACCTAACACAACATTGCTGGTTTCAGTGGGTGTTCATGTAAGTCACATATGCCCTTAAAAGCCTGGTTTGGAAAATATTTACATAGCCAAGATGTGTGAAGAAGTTTAGGAATTATGTTACTTTCCCACTGGTTTATACATATAGCAGTTTTCTCTTAAAGGCATTGACATTTCACAGGAAACAGGCCATGTTTTACAAGTTGTGGTTGTTTGTGTTTTTTTAAACACATTAAACCATCACAGCCACCTAAAAAACTTGGCACAGGGATTAAAATAGGTTGCTGTGCCAAGTACATTCCCTGGAAAGAGAGAGCTGGGCATGGTGATCAAAGGAGTGATATCATGGTGTTCAGATACAGTGATGAACATGGCAGGATAGAGGATATTGAATAGCTGAAATTAGAGACAGAGAATTCCTATTAGGCCATCTTATCCATCCCCTTATGAATGCAGGATCATTCCTTACAGTATAGAGAACAGAAAAAAGGAAGTGGGTTCTATTCCTGGCCCTGCCACTGACTTTTAACGTGACCATGCCGGGTCACTTTGCCTCTTTGTATCTTAATTTCCCCAACTGACCTTGGGGAATAACAACACTGACCTTCTTCATAGGTAGGGCCCTAACAAATTCATGACCATGAAAAACGCATCACGGATGATGAAATCGTGTCTCCCACGATGAAATCTGGTCTTTTGTGTGCTTTTACCCTATACGATACAGATTTCATGGGGGAGGCCAGCGTTTCTCAAATTGGGGGTCCTTACCCAAAAGAGAGTTGAAGGGGGGAATCACAAGGTTATTTTGGGGGGGGGGGGTCACGGTATTGGCACCCTTACTTCTGCACTGCCTTCAGAGCTGGGCGGCTGCAAAACTGCAGCTGTTGGCCAGGTGCCCAGCTCTGAAGGCAGTGCCCCGCCAGCAGCAGAACAGAAGTAATACCATATGTGGCAATACCATACGATGTCACCTTCACTTCTGCGCTGCTGCCTTCAGAGCTGGATGGCCAGACAGTGGCAGCTGCTGACTGAGGGCCCAGCTCAGCAGGCAGCAGCGCAGAAGTAATGGTGGCAATACCATACTATGCCATCCTTACTTCTGCACTGCTGCTGGCAGCTGCTCTGCCTTCAGACCTGTGCTCCTGGCCAGCAGCCACTGCTTTCCTGCTGCCCAGCTCTGAAGGCACAGCCACAAACAGCAACCGCAGTAGTAAGGGTCGCAGTACTGCAACACCCCCTACAATAACCTCACGAACCCCCCACAACTCTTTTGGGTCAGGATCCCAACAATTACAACACTGTGAAATTTCAGGTTTAAATAGCTGAAATCATGGAATTTACTATTTTTAAAATCCTATGACTGTGAAATTGACCAAAACGGACAGTGAATTTGGTAGGGCCCTACTCACAAGGGTGTTGCAAGGTATATTTAATAGGTGTAAATAGACTTATGCCTACTGTAGACCTGGAAATACCTGCTAGAACATCTCTAGGGATTTCACAACTCCCTACAAATAAACTAAAGAGCAAATATTCCCAGTGCTTCCCCTCCCCCAAACTGGGCTAGTGGATGGGGCAGGGAGTAACCACTCAAGCGCTTGCCTATTGTTAAATCATGCTCTCCAACTTGTCTGAGTAGGGCCAGCTGGAGCACTGTTCAAATGTTCACACTTCCTTACAAACAAGGTCGCTAGCCAAGAATATGCAACCATGCGAAAAAGTTAACAAGCGTAATAAGCAGTTCTGCAGTGTATTCTTCAATGCTGTCATAGAGCCAAGCCAGTCTTCTCAATGTGAAACAGGAGGAGGAGCTCAATGGGCTTCTGAAGCAATACTGCCAGAAGTCCTCTGGGTCCTAACAAATAAGGGAAATGTTGGTGATAGGGAATTTCATATACACACTTACCAGGGGGAACTGGTAATTCAGCAAAATTCACTTTTCTCCCTGCTTTATGGGTTCTTATGGCATCTTGGTATTGCTGCAATCAGAGATGTGGTTAGGCATAGGCTGGACTTGGCTATTGTTAAGTTAACAGTCATTTCATGCTCAAACTAGGAGAAACATTGATGCAGAATGTAAGGTACTTTGCTACAAAGTCACGTGCTGCTTTCCAAGTCCTTTGTGCCCTGCAGGTTTTCTACACAGACACGAATCTTTGCTGCACTTGTTGCTAGGACCGGCATGGGCATTGAAGGGCTGCAGAAGCCACAAATGCAGACAGTGAGCAAAGTAAGTGTGCCTTTCATCTTTCTTCTTAGTGGCCTCTCCACTCCCTAGGCCAGTGGTCCCCAAACTGTGGGGCGCACCCTGAACATTCAGGGGGGTGCACAGGGGGCCCAGGTCAGTCCCCATGTGGGGGGCAGGGAAGGAGTACCACCCAGCTCTGCCCCTGACGCCACCCTCCAAGCTGCGGCCCTGTCCCCCAGCCGCGGCCCCGCTCCACCCTCATTCAGAATGGCCCTCTCTGTCTCCTGGCCAGCTCCACTTCCTAGCCCCAGCTCCCCCCCCATCCCCAGTTCTGCCTCCAGGTCAGCTCCGCCTCAGGCCTCAGCTCCTCCCCCCCATCCCCAGTTCTGCCCCCAGCTCTGCCTTCAGCCCACGCTCCTCTGCTGAGGAAGGCTTGACTATGCAGTAATGGAACAGGGGGTGCAGAGAGATTCCATTACTGGTCAGGCAGGCATGACAGTAACTGCCCTAGGCAACGAGCCTTTCCCTCACACTACACCAATAAACAAAACACAGAACAAAAGACATTTCTCTGCAGAAGTGTGTCCGCAAAAAGCCTCAGAACTCCAAGGACTGGATAATTAGAGACAATTTTTCAGCCCCCCCTTTTTTTTTTATGAGCCTCCAATTCTGCACTAATGATTGTACCCACAACAGAGGTCCCTTAGATGTCTATGTCCCTGTGTTAAAGCCCACAGAAATGGGAGAAAAGTGTCTGAATACCCAACCCTTAACACCCCTCAATTTCAACAGGTTCACACATTAACTGCTTGTGTCCCATTGAGCCTAGTACAAATTGTTTGATATACATTAGACACCATCCCATGAAAACCACTTAGGGGACTGGCACTCCCACCTTCATAGGAGCCCCACTGCCTTCTGCAGTGGCAAACGAGAAACAGCATCAAAAAGGTTACACTGGATTTAAAGTCTATTATGCAGACAGAAGGGATGGCTGAGGAGTCTAAACATCATGTTTTAAAGATCCACTCCTCCTTAGACTCTCAGCCTCCAGTCAGTTATGTCAGCACTACATTCTATAGGCAATTTACAAGGCAGGAATTCTCTGGATGGGAACTTAAAGACCAAGGTTCTACATGGAGGAGTAAAACGCCATATCCATGTAGGGGTTTGCACAAGTGTCTTTGGACAAAAGGTCTCCATCCTCCCGCACTGTTCTGCCTTGAAGAAGCACTGAATTTCAATGGGGTTATATGTGAACAGTTTATAAAGCATTTCATTGATACAGAGATGTGTGCAGGAAGGAGCAGCAGCTTAACTATTTTAGCTCATTCCAACTGGCAGGACAATATACACAAATGATTTCAAATACTTTAATGCTTTGCTGGCCAGCTCCAGAAGCCAAGTTACTTGCTGTTCTTCCCTTTTACCTTGGCTATCCTCTCATGCATCCTGCCTTTCCGATCATCCCCACTTGCTTTGGCCTGTGCTGCTGCAGATCTGTATTTCTCCAACCTCTGCTGCAAAGCTTCCAGCACAGTTTTTGGCTGCTGAGCAGACACTAAAATAATATAGACAACGAAATGCCACATGATTAAGACTTCAGAGCACGTGCCAGCTGCCTCCATTCCCCGCCTTCCCCAACCTCCTGCAGAGCCATTGACACAGAACTGAAATCCTGTCAAGGGCTAGTTTTATTACATAAAAGCACCACAGAGCTTTATTATTGATTAAGTGTTAATAAACCTTTTTCTTCATAAAGAAGAAGTTATTCACCTTGTGCAGTAACGATAGCTCTTCGAGATGTCTCCCCCTATGGGTGCTCTACTGTAGGTGTAATTGCATCCCTGTGCTGCTGATTGGAGAATTTCGGTAGCAGTGTCCGTTAGGTCTGCACATGACTCTCTCTCCTCGTGCCCTGCAACGAGGCTAGCCAGCGCATGTGGGCTAACCCTCTTCAGTTCCTTCTCTACTACAGAGTCATTGATAAGTACTCTGAAGTAGAGGAGAGGAGGATGGGTTGTGGAGCACCCACAGGGGAACACATCTCGAAGAACCATCATCACTGCACAAGCTGAGTAACAACAACTTCTTCTTCTTCTTCTTCAAGCAGTGTTCCTATAAGTGCTTCACTGTAGGTGACTCCTATGCAGTACTCATATGGAGGCCTGGGACTTCAGAGTCGGGTCAGTTACAGATGACAGTACTGTGGAGCCGAAGAGGAGGCAGAGTCCCCAGTGATTGCATAATGTTCTGCGAAGGTATGGACTGATGCCCATGTCACTGCTCTACAGACTTCTGATATAGGGTCATTCTTGAAGAAGGCAACAGATGAGATGACCTTATGGAGTGTGTACAAACAGTATCTGGAGGGGTCCTATTGCTAGCTTGTCTGATATAGTTCGAGACCCACTTGGAAAGCCTTTGGGCTGATATTGCCAAGCCCTTGGACCTTTCCGCGAAAAATCTGGGGGACTTCCTGAAGGCCTTCATTCTGTCCAGATGGAAGGCTAGAGCCCTTCTGACATCTCAGGTATGTAATATAACCTCGCTGTTGTCTCAGTGAGGCTTAGGATAGAAGGTTGGAAGATGAATCAATTGGTTCATGTGGAATGGGGAGGTTACCTCAGGGATGAATTTTGGATGTGGTCTGAGTGCAACCTTGTTCCAAAAGAATACGGTATAGGGGGATGTGCCATCAGAACTGCTATTTCTCCTATTCTCCTGGCCAAAGTAATCCCTATCAGGAAGGCCGTTTTCATTGAGAGGTAAGTAAGCAAACAAGTGGCCATGGGTTCAAAGGGAATGCCTGGTCAGTCCATTCAGTACCAGGTTTAAGTCCCATATGGGAGTGGGAAGCCGAGTTTGTGGAAAGAGGTTTACTATACCCTTGAGGAACCTTTTGGTGGTCGCGTATGACAGAACTGAGTACCCCTCCACTGGATGGTGAAAGGCTGTTAAAGCCACTAAGTGGACTCTAAGAGAGCTTATACACAGCCCCAGTCTTTTTATGGCCAGTGCATAATCTAAGATGTGTGGAAAGGTTGTGGATGTCGGGGAGACGTTTGTCGGGATGTACACCAAATCCAAAAGCTGGACCATTTTTGCAGTTAAGAACGCTGTGTTGAGGATTTTCTGCTGTGTAATAATACCTCTTGCACTTCCATCAAAGAGGTGCTCTCTAGGCATTTGAACCAAGAAGGACCCATGCCTTGAGGTGGAGAATCACCAGGTTGGGATGTAGGGTATGTTCTTTATTCTATAAGAGGAGATGCAGTGAGTGGGAGAGAGATTGGAGGGCATGTTGCAAGCTCTGACAGGTAAGGGTACCAGGTCTGTCTCGACCACACAGGAGCGATTAGAATGACGTGCTCCCTTTCTTTTTATTAGGACCTTCGATAGCAGGAGAAAGAGAGGGAAGACATACAGGAGGTCCCTGTTTCAAGGGAGGAGGAAAGTATTGCCTAGGGAGTATTGTCCTATCCCTGCTCTGGAAGGGGTTGCGTGAACATTTCTTGCTCAGGTAAGTGGTGAACAAATCTGTGGTCGGTGTCCCCCAATGCCTGAATAGCTCGTGAAGTACTAATGAGTCTAGTTCCCACTCGTGGTCATGTAGGAATCTGTGACTGAGACTGTCTGCCATCGAGTTCTGTGTACCCGGGAGGTAGGCTGTTGACAGTGTGACGTTGTAGGAGATACACCAGTTCCAGTCTCATCGCTTCCTCACAGAGGGAGGGAGACCCAACTCCCCCTTGTCGATTTATGTAGAACATACAGGCAACGTTGTCTATTAATACTTTCATGTGTGACCCTTTGATCAGCAGGAGGAAGTAGACACAGGCATTCCTGACCCCCCCCCCCTTAGCTTGAGGAGGTTGATGGAGAGAGAGATCTCAGTGGGTGAGCATTTTCCTTGTCTCGTAAGGTCATTTAGATGTGTGCCCCACCCTATGAGCGATGCATCGGTGTTGAGAAGCAATGACGGAGTTTTTCGGCAAAGGGGGTCCCTTTGCAAATGTTGGCTGGGTTTTTCCACCGGTCTAGGGAGATTTTGACCCTGGTGGGTAGTGACAGGGGTTTGTCTAGTCTGTCTCTGTTTGGTCTGTAAACAAAGCTGAACCACATCTGAAGGCACTGCATGTGAAGTTTGGTGTGAGGTATTACTACTGTGCCCGCTGACATATGCCCTAAGAGTTGTAGGAAATGTCTGGCTAATATTTGTGGGCTGTTTTGAATGGTCTTTGTGAGTGTAGTCAGAGAGAGAGACCTGTGCTGAGGTAGGAGGGCTCTGGCCCATAGTGTGTCGAGGTTGGCCCCTATAAACTCCAGGCGCTGCACTGGAGTGAGGGATGATTTCTGAACAATGATCTGCAGGCCCAGCTCTGTAAACAAGCGAACTGTGGCTTCGGTGACTCAGTGAGCCTCTTGGAGAGGCCAAGCTCTGAGGAGGCAATCGTCTAGATAAGGGTAGACCATGATCCCTGGTGCATAACTGGGCAGCCACTACTGAGAGAACCTTGGAAAATACTCTCAGGGCTGATGATAACCCAAAGGGGAGCACCCTGTACTGGCAGTGGTCTTGGCCCAGAGTGAATCTGAGAAATCGTCTGAGAGTCGGTAGGATTGAGATGTGAAAATATGCATCGTGAAGATTGAGGGCCAAAAACCAGTCTCCCCATTCCAAAGCTGGAATGATTGTTGCTAAAGTGACAATTCTTGAATTTCTGAACTGTGACAAACTTGTTGATAGCTCTAAGGTCTAATATGGGTCTCCAGCCCCCCTTTCTCTTGGGTATTAGGAAATACTGAGAGTAGAACTCTGTCTCATAGATGTTGAGGTAACGGTTGTATGGCTCCCAACTGGAGGAGAGGGTCTACCTCTTATTGTAGTAAACTCTCGTGAGAAGGGTCCCTGAAGAGGGACGGGGCAAGGTATTGTGGAGGAGGCAAAGAGGTAAAATGGAGAGTACCTATAGCGATCTCTAGAAACCATCAGTCTGATGTTATGTACTCCCAGGTGCTGCAGAAAGCTGCCAGACGGTGGCCAAATGGGTGGGTAGTGATGGTTTGTTGTAACAGTTGCAGAGAGTGGTCTGCTGGCATCTTGACCAACATATCAAAATTGGTGTTTGGACATGAATGGCTGGGATGCAGAAGATTGCTGACCAGATGGTTTATGTCTTGAGAATTTAATTTTCTTCCTCTGAAGCTTGTAGTATCATTGAGCTGGGTACTGGCAGGTGAAGAGTTTATGTTGGGGCTGCAGACTAAAATTCTTCTTTTGTCGCAATGTGCAGATGACCAGCGAATGGAGAGTGGCCAAAGAATCCCTCAGAGTATGAAGGGAGGCATTGGTTTTCTCCGCGAAGAGCTTGCTGCCTGGAAGATCTTTGAAGGTTGACTGCACCTTCTTTGTGAAACCCGACAAATGGAGCCAAGAGGCACACCGCATCACCACCGCCGTGGAGATGGATCTGGCTACAGTATCGGCAGCATCAAGGGCAGACTGTATTGTTGTCTTTGCTTCTATCTGCCCCTCTTGAATGATGGCCTTAAATTGGTTGCGATACGACTCGGGCAGCTGCTCAGTAAAATTGTGCAGTTTTGAGTAGTTTGTGGAATCGTATTTTGCCATGAGGGCTTGATAGTTGGTAACTCGAAACTGAAGTGTGACTGAGAAGTACACCTTCCTTTCAAAGTGGTCCAGATGCTTCCAGTCCCTATCGTAGGGAGTGGACCTCGTGTGATATTGACAGCCATGAGAATTAAAGCATCCACCATGATGGAGTACAGTAGAGGGTGGAAGAAGAGGAACTCAACTTCTCTCACCGGGACTAGTAGGACTTTTTGTCTGCTCTCTTGCAAGTTGGTGTGACTGATGCTGGGGTCTGCCACATGGTTCTTGCAGGGTCGAGAAGAGCCTCATTGATAGGGAGGGAAACTTTTGAGGAGGAAGATCAGTGGAGGATGTCCTGGAGCTTGTAGTGTGTGTCCTTGACTTCCTCCAGCAGTATCTGGAGAGAGTCAGCCACTCTCTTTGTGAGATCCTGGAATAGGCGAAAATGATCCAGCAAGGATTGTGAGGGAGGCATGACAGTCTTGTCTGGGGAGGAGGATGAGGATAGTTTTTGGGGTCACTGCCTCCTCAGCATCACCCTCACACTCCTCCAGGACTCCTTCTGGGGGCTCCAGGGCCCTGAACACTGTGGCTGAGGAAGTGTGACTTGGGGCCCCACGGGTGGGACTAGAAACCTGAGAGGCACGGGGGCAGTATGCAGCCCAGCGGTTCCAGTAGGGCCACTGGGGTGGGGGGTGGCATGGAGCCCAGTGATGGTGCCAATGAATGGCCGTTCCAGGATGATGATGATGGGGTCTTCTGAGGACATGCTTGGGGGCCCTGCTGGTATTGGGCACCCTAGGGGGCTTGGGAGGAGTACTAAGATATTCCCTCCTCCGGTTCCCTATCCGAATCCGCTCTAGAAAGCAGGAGTGCATGACAAGGCAGCAGAGAAGACTCCCATGCCAGACGGAGGCTCTGTGTGGAGGTCCCGGTACTGAAGAGAGGAGACTTGACTCTAGCACATCATTACACGGAGGTCTCTTGAGTGCTGGAATTGTGGTGGTGCCAACCGGCTCGATGCCACTAGCAGTGCTGGGGGGGATGGAGATATTGTCCACACCAGCTGTTCAAGTACTGGATGAAGCATTGTACCGATGGGGCATCACCATACCAGTGGTGCCTTGGAGTGTTTGCTCCTGTCCTTCTTCTTAAGTACCATTAACTTGGTGCTCGTGCCCATTGGGTATGGTGGCACATCACTGTTACCTGCCGCAATAGTCTTTCTTGAGCTGTAGATACTGGGCTTGGCCTATTTCAGTGCTGACGGTACTGAGGATACCAAGCGTGCTGGGGATCATTTGCAGCTAGCTGGTGGCTCACTGTGAGGACTTCCCGCTCTCTTTTTTGACTTATGAGCGCAGTCGGCAGCTGATTTCTTCACCCCATAGCCCTTGGATCTGCCTGGAGACTCTTGGCGCGGGTCCAGAGAAGGTCTGAGCGCCACCTCCATGAATATAATCTTCTGACTCAGCTCTCTGTCCTTGCGAGACCGAGGTCTAAGATACTGGCAGAGAGCACAATTTTGAGGGACATGTCCTTCCCTGAGCCAACGAATGTACCGTGAGTGCGTGTCTGCGACGGTGATAGCCTTGCGTTTGATGAAGTGGACATTCACCCACGAAAGCTTATGCTCCAATACTTCTGTTAGTCTTAAAGGTGCCACAGGACCCTCTGTTGCTTTTTGGTGATAGCCTCGTTGCACGAGAGGCACTTCTTGAAACCCGGATAACCAGACATACCCCAGTGGGGGAAGAGCCCCCAGTGAGAAGGGTGGGAATGAAAAAAAAGTGATCTAAATAGATATGTATTAGAAGATAAGGTAAAAAATAAAGACACTAGACTAACTACTACTAAAAATAAAGCTCTAGGCTACAAAGAAAAGGATGAGATAATAGTCACTAATGGACAGCTAACAGCTCTGTCTCTAGCCGAGGCGGTTGAGAAGCAACTGAGGGGGGTTAGCCCACGTGCACTGGCTACCCTCATGGCAGGGCGTGAGGAGAGAGAGCACATGTGTGGGCCTAATGGATATTGCTACCAAAATGCTCCAATCAGCAGCTTAGGGACACAAGTTAGGGCGACCAGACAGCAAGTGTGAAAAATCAGGACAGAGAGTGGGGGGGTAATAGGAGCCTATATAAGAAAAACCCCAAATATTGGGACTGTTCCTATAAAATCGGGACATCTGGTCACCCTAACGCAAGTACGCCTACAGTAGGACACCCATTGGGACACTACTCGAATTAGAATGACAGTTTATTAGGTACTTCCATTATCCATTCCAGTATTCATGTACAACTTGGATCAGCATCCAAATATCATATAAGAATATGATTCAATACAGAGAAGTCCTGCTTTACAAATCCTACCTGAGGCTTCATGGCCCTGAGGTTTGAACATTGTGAGGGGCTGGGAATTTTCAACGGGAACAGATGCCATCCGGTTTGATGGAGCCGGTCTCTTTTCCAGGCTTTCAAGATCTGTGAGGGAAGAGACAATTTTCCAGTACAGTAACTCCTCACTTAAAGTTGTCCCGGTTAACATTGTTTCTTTGTTACGTTGCTGATCGATTAGGGAACATGCTCATTTAAAGTTGTGCAATGCTCCCTACTAATGTCGTTTGGCAGCTGCCTGCTTTGTCCATTGTTTGCAGGACGAGCAGCCCGTTGGAGCTAGCTGGTGGGGGCTTGGAACCAGGGTGGACTGGCAGCTCCCCTATCAGCTCCCCCTATCAGTCCCTGCTCCATTAAGTTCCCTGTGCAGCAGCTGCCCACCAGGCTAGCAATTGCAGCTGTCCCTCCCTCAACTGCCATGTGCTGCTCCTGCCCTCTGCCTTGGAGCTGCTCCCCGGGACTCCTACTTGCTGTGGGCGGGGGGAGGGGAGGAAGAGGGGGGATGTCAGGGTGTCCCCTCCCCCTGCTCCTGCACCCCGCTTACCCCATCTTCCATAGAGCAGGGGGGACACATAACAGGGTTCAGGAGGGAAGGAGCTTGCTGGCAGCAGCTGAGGTCTCAGCAAGCTGATCTAATTAACAAGGCAGTGTACTTAAAGGGGAAATGCGCATCTCTCTCTCACACACGCGTGTGTCTCTCTGTCTGCAATGCTGTCTCCCCTCCCTCCATTCCTGCTGCCTTGTAGAGTGTGAGAGTTAACCCTTGAGGGCTCAGCTAATTGCTAGTTCATCATTTAGCAGTAAGGCATTCCCTGGGAAATATCCCACCCTCTGACTCCTCCACCTCAACCAAGCTTCACAATCATCATCACTGTGTACCAGTATTAAATTGTTTGTTTAAAACTTTGTGTGTGTGTCTGTGTCTGTGTCTGGTTGAATAAAAAATTCCCTGGAACCTAACCCCCTCATTTACTTTAATTCTTATGGGGAAATTGGATTCACTTAACATCATTTCGCTTAAAGTCGTATTTTTCAGGAACATAACTACAATGTTAAGTGAGGAGTTACTGTATACATTAGGTAGGAATTTTTGGCATATAGGAGACAATGTGTGAACAATTTTGGTAATTTGCTAACAATTTGAGGACTTAATCCCAGAGAAGGATAGAGAAAACCCCCCACCTGTTAAGATATTCCAGCTCTGGCAGTGCTCAATGTAGTAAGATGAGGCCCTGAAACAAACTCTTGTGTCAGAGGCCCAGTCTGAGGCCTGAAGCCTGACCCAAAGTACTTCCAGGCATTGCTAAGCAAAAGCTGGGCTGTGAGCCAGAGGCAGGCCTCACTCACAGAAGTTGGCGAGAAGAGGGTTGCTAGAAGCAGGTACATCCACACATAAGTGCTAATAAGAGGAACTTGTGCCAAGATGACATCAGAACACTCCACAGAGAACACAAGGAACAGGCAGGTGCATCTTAAAGACAGGATCAAAAGGACAGCATGATGGATAGATCTGTTTGAAACAACATGATCAAAGGAGGAGACAGCACCCTAATGAGCCAAGGGGCTGTACTTCAATACGTCAGTAGGGATGAGTAATCTGTCCTGTAACTGTATAAAAGTAGGTCCCGGAGTGCGCATCTTTGTCTGGCCTAGGGGGCAGTAGAAAGTCCCACCACTGACTGAGCCAGTCCATTGCCAGGGGGCACTAATTCGTAGTATGTCTTGTAGAGTCTACGGGAAACTATTACTGTGCTTCGTTTGACAATAAACCTGGCTCGGGTTCCTTCGTACCTTACTAGAGTCTGTGGTCTTTGGGGGTTCTCTCGGGGTCTGCTGTGTCAGCTATCTGCGCAGAACTAGGGCAGCACACAGAGGGAACACGCACGTAGCCGACTGTTATCATCAACGAACAAGAGCAGAGCACCACACCGGTAGCTACTGACAACACTCAACACTGGATGCTTTAAAAGGTAATCTCCCCCATCACCCCTCCAAATGTTTTATTTACTTATATAATATTATACTATGGGGGGAAATGTTCCTCTGACCCCAGCCAGTGATCATTTTATGTCCTAAGGATTTATACCCCTTATAAAATTTTTATCCTAGCTAGTGCAACTACACTTTTTCATAATTAAAGCTATCTCCAATTATGTTTCTGAATCTTACTAAGCAGCCTCAACAACATCCTACAGCAGTGAATTCTACAGGCCAAGTGTTGGGGGAGTATAGTTTTTATACAGTTTAAGTCTGCTGCAGGACTGGAATATTTTAACACCAATGTTTGTTCCAGGATCAGAAATTTCTACTAGTCCTAAAAGCATGGATCATGGTCCATCCAAATGTCTGTAACTGTCAGGTCATGTGACAGATTTTAAAAATGACACCATTCTGATTAGCATCTTGTCCTCCTCATTTCTCCTTCCACTAACCATTTTAGCTGCTGCTATCTCACAATCTACAAGAATTAGAAAATTACACCTATCAACTGGAACCTATAATTCTCAGAAGCGTGCAGATAGTTTATACACCAATCACTAGTTTTAGCTGTTTCTAGACAACAGCCACTAAAATCAGGTCAGAAATCAAGTGTGTGTGGAGGGTGGGCTGGGGGAAAGGAGGGAGGTAAAAATGAAGATGAAATCAGAATGTAGAAGTTTTAAAAGGAGAGGCACTCTTACAACCTGTCACTTAAATCGGTGTCTCTATTACTCTAGTTTGTGGAGCAGCTTCTGTCACAATGGAAAAAAGTGTGTTCTAAGGATTGATGTTTTCTGCTACGTGTAGGCTAGTCAAAAACATTCAGCTTTCTACAGGCTTTTTTCTTTCTTTTTTTTTTTTTTTTGTTTAAAGTTGCTCAAAAGCCTCTCTGCATCCCTATGGTGCTTTGCATCTTTATTTGATGTGAATACAACTTATGACACCAGAACTGAAGACATCCAGCAGGAGAGAACCAAACCACAAAGTGAACTGGACAGAATTAAGGGAAGAAAAGGGATGAAGAAGGTTGGAGGTAACAAGGAGAGATTCAGTTCTAAGAAATGTAAATTCCTATTTCCCAGTGTGGGGTGTGTGTGTGAAAGACATAAAAAATGGAGGAGGCATAATCAAGCAGCTACACCCACTGCACTACAGCAAGTTCAGCACCATCTTGACTCCATCTTATCCCAGTAATGCTATTTCATATAGCCATGAACTGGAGATGATGCAGGGAATGTGTGGAATCAGGACTGGGAGGGAAGGTGTCCACAAGAGAATCTTTGGTCCACAATGTGGAGTCCAAAAACCACTGCCTTAAACCATTGGGAAGCTGGGATTCTCAGCACTCATTTCTAACCCAGATGGTTCAAGACAGTGACTTTAAAATGGGTGCTGGCCCTTCAGTTCACTATGCCCATTTGTTACTAGATAACAGGAGAGGCTTAAAAGAAGTCTCCATCTAACAAATTCTTCTGCTCTTACCTTGTGGAGCTGGGGGCATATCCTGGAGATCTACTGGCTGTCCACTGTCCAGTGCTTCTAAGACCATTGTAAATTTCTAAAACAAACAGAAAAACAAAGCCAAAGGAGACTTATTCTTGTGTGTTCAGAAACCATCTGTGATCATTTGGAGCAGCCATGTGAGCACAGGGAGCATTTGCCAGGATTGAGACTCCTAACACAGAAGCTTGGTTTGTGAATAGCATACCTTGCCAGTCTTCATATATTCTTTTGCCTTCTCTAGATCTCCTTGCTGTTTGGCTTTCAGAGCTGCTAATTTATACTCTGTCTGTCTTGTAACCAGTAGTGTTCGTGTGCTCGTGCTAAGGGAATCTATATAAGAATGAAATCAAGACTTACAGAAGCACCTGATATCTGCATCCTTTGACATTCTCATACATCCAAAGATCCATTAATTCCTTATTGCTTTGACTCACACATCCACATTATGTACAGTGGCTTCTTTATCCAGGGGCATCCCCAGAAGTCCTGCCAACCATGGCAATTCCAGCAACAATGACAAACCACCACTGTGCAATTCCACAGTGCCTTTCATTAAGATCACAAAGTTCTTTACAAACAGTGAATTTTGCCTCACAGCTCCTCTGCAAGGCAGGGAAGCATTACCATAATTTATTGACTGAGGAACTGAGGCAGAGAGACCATAATGAGAGACATGTACAGACACCTCAGCAGAGGAAGGAACCTTTAGGAAGTCTTCACCCTGTGACTATAGCACATCTTAAGATGAAATCTGGAAGTCAGGACTCCCAAATTCTATTCCTGACTGCAACTGACTCAATTAAGTGACCCTGAGCAAGCCATGAACTCTCTGCCTCAGTATCCTATTTGTAAAGCACTTTGATATGCTCACGTAAAAGGTGCTACAGAAGTGCAATGTATTATTGAATCATAACCTTGCTGGGAAGATGTGTGCTCCAAGGAAGGCTGGCATGTTGAAATTACCTACCATCTTGTAATGTGGTATCCATTTCTAGGACAGAAGTAGCAGCAACATGACATTGTAAAGAGGCTGACCCCGGAGACAACTTCATATCATTGACCGGCTGTAGCTCATGGTCTGCAGAGGATTCCACTTTCTCCTTGGGTATTACTTTGGTTGGATCACCTAAACTCTCTGGCACAGCTCCTGTGGTTTGAGGCATATTAGCAGAGCTTCTCCCCGATGCTACAGGGGGTGGCATTTCTTCCTCATTGATCTTTTTGCCCTTCTTCATTGCAGCCAACATGGTTTCCAGTGTCTAGGAAAAATTGAGGAGTGAAGTCAACAGGCATTTCCATCACATACACAACTTGTGTACAATCACCACAACTCAGCAAACTCATATCCTTATTTACAACAGGAACCACCACGTCATTCTTTTTGGAGAGATACTAGATATCTTTGCCCATTAGTATTTCCTTCTCCTATTTTTTTGGTCACATGGGAGTCTTAGTCCTGGTGAAAGATACCTGATTGACACAGCAGCACACAGCAACAATTTTTCTCTATAGAGCAAGTAATACAAGCTTCCTCCATTCTATCCTGTCAATGTATTACAACATACATGGTGGTAGAGGATCCTACCTCTAGGAGTGAGAAGACACGTCAGTCTCTATGGCCCAATCAATCTTTTGTGACTCAGACTTCCAAAATGTGAGCCATTCAGTGCCAACTTTGGAACTAGTTTTTGTAGCAAGTCTAGGTATATTTTAAACACAGCCTTCAGTGTGGTATCTTAGTACAAGTGCAGATCTCTGTCCAGCAGATCTGGAATGAAATCACCAAATTCATTTCACATGGCCCAGGCAGCCATCAGATGGTAACAGCCAGAACTGGATTTGAACCAGCTTTTTAGAGGTGAAAGGCCCCTGGCTCCTATTTCCAAACTCATGAGCTACATAGTCCCCTTGCTAAGTAACAAAGCTCAATTTCAGCTCAGTTCTTTATCCCAACACCAAACATTATTCCCATTACAGGGGCTACTTAATACCTAGGTTAGGCAACAAAGCCAAAAAAGTAACATGGACTTCACAGCAGAACATGCATTTACCTTCTACAAGTCATCTCACTGGCTAAAATGGTAACAAGACATTAAAAAACCCAAACAATGACAAGGCTGGAATTTGTACTTTCAGAAAACTAGTCATCACGCTGTTTAATAAGCAATGTTTTTATAACTATTAGGGGCCAGCTCTGTGGGAGATCTGGGTTCAAATCATATCCAGACAGAGTCTCACCTACCACTGCTGCTGCAGACCCAGAAAAGACTTGAGTGCTGTGAGATCAACATATGTAGTATGAAGAGGCAGGATTAGGAGAGAAATGCCAGCATAGAATCATAGAAATGTAAGGCTGGAAGGGACCTTGAGAAGTCATTGAGTCCAGTCCCTGTGCTGGCGCAGGACCAAGTAAACCCAGACCATAACTGACAGGTGTTTGTCTAACCTTTCTTAAACAACCTCCAATGAAGGGGATTTCACAACCTCCCTTGAAAGCCTATTCCAGTGCTTCACTATCCTACAGTTAGAAAGTTTTTCCTAATATCTAACCTAAATCTCCTTTAAGTCCATTACTTCTTGTCCTACATTCAGTGGACATGGAGAACAACTGATCATAGTCCTCTTCATAACAGCCCTTAACAGATCTGAAGACTTATCAGGTCTCCCCTCAGTCTTCTTTTCTCAAGGCTAAACATGCCCAGTTTTTTTAACCTTTCCTCATAGGCCAGATTTTCTAAACCTTTTATCATTTTTGTAGCTTTCCTCTGGACTCTCTCCAATTTGTCTACATCCTTCCTAAAGTGTTGCATCCAAAAATGAACATAGAACAAAGGCCTCACCAGTGTTAATATACCCCCAAAACATTAGCTTTTTTTTTTTTTTTTTTTTGCAACTGCACCACATTGCTGACTGATATTCAATTTGTGACCCAGTATAATTTTCTTTTCAGCAATACTACCATGTAGCCAATTATTCCCCATTTTGTAGTTTTACATTTGATTTTTTCCTTCCTAATTAACGTACTTTACACTTATCTTTATTGAATTTCATCTTCCTGATTTCAATCCATTCTCCAATTTGTCAAGACAGTTTTGAATTCTAATCCTGTCCTCCAAAGCACATGCAGCTGCTCCCAGCTTGATGTCATTTTCAAATTTTATAAGCACACTCTCCACTCCATTACCAAGTCATTAATGAAAGTACTGAATAGTACCAGATCTAGAACTGACCCCTGAGGACCCCACTAGATACACCCTGCCAGTTCAACAGCGAACCATAGATAACTACTCTTTGAGTACAGTCTTTCAACCAGTTGTGCACCCACCTTATAGTAATTTCATCTAGACTGCATTGCTTGAGTTTAATTATGAGGAAGTCATGTGGAACTGTGTCAAAACAGCCTAATTAAAATCAAGATGTATTACGTCTACTGTTTCCCTTCTATCCACTAGCCCAGTAACCCTGTCAAAGAAGGAAATTAGGTTGGTTTGGCATGACTTGTTCTTGACAAATCCAAGCAGGCTATAAGCCTGTTATCATTCAGGTGCTTACAACACGATTGTTTAATTTTGTTCCAGTATCTTTCCAGGTGCTGAAGTCTGGCAGACTGGTCTTTAATTCTCTGGGTCCTCTTTGTTCCCCTGTTTAAAAAAAGATAGGTACTGTGTTTGCCCTTTTCCAGTCCTTTGGGACCTCACCCATCTTCCATGAGTTCTCAAAGTGCTAATGGTTCTAAGATTGCTTCAGGTAGCTCCTTAAGTACCCTAGGATGAATATCATCAGACTTGCAGACCTGAATATCTCTAACTTATCTAAATATTCTTTAGCCTGTTCCTTCCCAGTTTTGGCTTGCATTCCTTCTCTCTTGTTATTATTGTGTTGAGTACCTGGTCACCATTAATCTTTTCAGTGAAGACTGAAGCAAAATAGGCATTAAACACCTCAGCCTTCTGGATGCCACCAGTTATGAACACTCCTTCCCCACCAAGCAGAGAACCTACATTTTCCTTTGTCTTTCTCTTGCTCCTAATATCATTTATAGAATGTCACCTTATTGCCTTGTATGACACTGTATGGAATATGAGTGACCATTTGTAATATTACTGATACAAATATTATAAATAGGGCCCTACCAAATTCTCAGTCCATTTTGGTCAATTTCAGTCAGAGGATTTAAAAAATCATAAATTTCATGATTTCAGCTATTTAAATCTGAAATTTCACAGTGCTGTAATTGTAGGGGTCCTGATCTAAATAGGAGTTGGGGGGGGGGGAGGGGAGACAAGATTATTGTAAGGGGGGTTGCGGTACTGCTACCCTTACTTCAGCACTGCTTCTGGCAGTGGCGCTGCCTTCAGAGCTGGGCAGCTGGAGAGTGGTGGCTGCTGGACGGGATCCCAGCTCTGAAGACAGAGCCACCACCAGCAGCAGCACAGAAGTAAGGATGGCAGGGTATGGTATTGCTACTCTTGCTTTTGTGTTGCTGCCTGCTGATCTGGGCCCTCAGCAGCTGCCGCTTTCTGGCCACCCAGCTCTGAAGGCAGCGCAGAAGTAAGGGTGACAATACCGTGACTCCCCTAAAATAACCTTGCAACCTCCCTGCAACTCCCTTTTGGGTCAGGGCCCCCAATTTGAGAAATGCTGGTCTCCCCCATAAAATCTGTATAGTATAGGATAAAAGCACACAAAACACAAGATTTCATGGGGGGAGACCAGATTTCATAGTCCATGACGTGTTTTTCATGGCCGTGAATTTGGTAGGGCCCTAATTATAAAATTGCTATAAATCTTACAAAATATGCCATGTATGAGTGGAAAAGTTATGATTTGCTAAAGATGATAATCATGTTTATATGTATGTATCATCTTTGTACTATGAATTATAAATATGTGAGCTATATCTGTATCTCAAACTTTGTGCTGTGTTTCTGGGTGACATCCCCAGACAGACTGGCATCAGTACTATCTAGCCTGCTTGACGGCCTATCAAAGGCCATCAGCTATACAATGAACCCATTGAGAGAAGGCAGGGGTTACACCTATGAGTTACCAGGACATATAGGGACATGCCTATGGACAGGGGGTTCCAAGGCTTTTCCATGCCATGTGCTGAGCTTGTGTTTGGGACAAAGGATGTACAAGCCACATGGCAATGGACATAAAAGGCAGCTGCATCATCTCCATTTTGTCTTCAATCCTGCTTCCCACCTCTGGAGTAACTTAATTACAAACTGAAGCTTTGAACAAAGGACTGAACGACCCATCCAAGCTTTGGATGTATTCCAGAGGGACTTAACATGCCAGCAAACTCACTAATTCTGCTAAGAACCTGATATATGGATTGTGAAGTTGTATGTATCTGACAGTTTGACAATTTAACGACTCTCTTCTTGTTCTTCTCTTTTCTAATAAACCTTTAGTTTTAGATACTAAAGGATTGGCTGAAAGCATGATATTTTGGGTAAGATCCAAACTAATATTGATCTGGTGATGTGGCTGGCCCTTTGGGGATCAAAAGAACATTTTTGTATAGTGAGAAGAGTTTTAAATAACTTCTCACTTTACAGGATCTATGTGCTAATTGGTAGCCAGAGAACTGGAATGCAGTAAACGGGGCTGTGTGATTTCTTTTTCAGCTTCTTGATAACCAGTGTGGGGAATCAGGTGCACAGGTTGGAGAGTCTAATTTCAGTGTTAATCACCAATTTTGGGAGAATCTGCTCTCCATTTGCAGCCTGCCCTGACCTTGGCATTTTCAGTGTGGGCTACCCTAGGCACCTACGGGTCACACCTTGTATATGTCTTGCTAGGTGTAACTCATTTTGTGCCTTAATCTTTCTGATTTTGTCCCTATACGCTTGTGCTATTCTTGTGTACACGACACTCAGAAGCCAGTCTTTCGGACAATCAAGGAACAGCTTTGGACTCTGAAGGGAGCTCTACTCTATTCCTAACTGTGACACCGGGATCTCACAGGCTGGTGGTAGGGTGTGTGGAAACTTCCCACATTGGAAAAACAATAACAAAATATGAAGCCTCAATAAGACAGTAAGTTTCTAGATTGGATAAAGCAGGCTTTTGGGTTTTTCCCTTAGGGAATGACTGCATGTACATTTCCTCCATGGCTAGTACGAATTGGACAGGATATAGAGCTCTTCCAGTTTGCACATTTCCTCTTCCAGGTCTGGCTCTCTCTTGATCCCTTATGTACACCAAGCCATTTAGCAGTTAAGAAGATGTAAGATTCTTCCCTCACTGGGCAGCACTGATCTCTAAAGCTTTGGAACAAAACACAGAGCTAGCTGGAGTATGAGACATGGTGGAGCAGAAGGCAAAGAAACAGGGAACTCACAACAGACTCCTCTTGCACAGCAAGAATCCCCTGCCACCGCAGACTCAAACAGCAAATGCCGCTGTTTGGCTGAGAAGCGGCAAACCAGATGAAACTGTTTCTATTGCAATCTACAATAGCCATATCAGGGGGAGAGACTGTTCCCATTTTCATTATTAAGTGCAGCTGAGGCACTCAGAGGGATTCCTTCCCTCAATGCAAACAAGCAATTTAGCAAAGCGAATGGAAGGTTGGTACCTGGGAAAGGACGTTTTAACAAATAAACAGCTACGTGTGCTAGGGAAGTTACAATAATTTATTCAAAGGGGACACATTGTCACTTTAATAAACATAGGCCAAATTCAGATCTAGTGCAAGTGGGTGTGACCCTCATAGAAGTCAGAGGGCCAAATTCAGCAGTGACACAAGTTGGTCAGAAAATGGCATGTAAGTTACCTTCAGTCTGCACATCTACTGAATGCCAAATCTGGGCAAGTTACTGGGACACCACTTTACCATGTACACACATTGGGTGTGAATTAATCCAAACATATATCTTGCATGACCTGTTTTATTTCACTATTGAATTTATCCCCCATTTTTCAAACAAAAAATAATTACCCTGTGGTACTAGCACCACATCAGAACAACTGGAAGGATTTTTAGAATCAGGTTTAATGTCTAGTATTAATAGTGTTGAATTAATGTTTGCAGTCATCTTGGAATACGAAGATATACTAGTCAGTTTCCTTGTTTATAGTGAGGCTGGTTCCTGACTCTCATATGCCCTAGCAAAATATTACAATGCGAGATTACAAACACTGCAGAGGATTGTTTAAATATTTTTCCCTTGGAATTCAAATAAAGAAAAGTGAATGGAAACATTTCCACTGACCCTAGAAAATCATGTTTATACAAGACCTACATTTTAGGCCTAACCTATTTGACAGGATTGCTTCAAATTAGAACTCAACAATGAACACATGGCACAGTCTCCTTAGTCTCTCCTGCACACAACACTTACAGTCAGAAAACCCAGAAAGCACCAAGTAATATTCCTGGATCAATTCTATCCTACATTTAACAAGGACTTTCCTCTTCCACTGAAAGCCGCCCTCCCCGCCCCTTCATGTAATGAATCCAACATACCTTGAGGCCTCTTTCGTACCGTCGCACTTTGCCACTCTCGTCTGCCTCCTTTGCATTAGAGATTGCTGCCTTATAGTTAGCTATTCTGTCCTCTATCGTCCGCTGCAATTCACTGGAAACAGCAGGAGATGTGATCTCAAAAAAAAAAGGGGGAGGGGGGTAAGGCACATTATTTACTTTCCCAAATTACACATGCTTCACCTTACCACTGAAAAGTAAGCATATCCCTTCTGTACAAAATAACACATGCACACAGACTGGGCTCAGGCATCAAGACAGCAGGAAATGGAAAATTTCTCTGAAACAGAAGGGCACTTGTACTGCACCAATGTTTCCTGGATACATCTCTGGGCTTCCTATCAAAGGAGCAATAGAGAGAATTGGGTGGGGTAGTTTAGGAAACTTACAGCCACAGGGTTACTGGAGACTGGGTGGTTAGGACTAAATGAGGGAGAACAGTGATGCCTCTCAGACATCATGTGCCCAGGTGGCTGGGTGTTATTTTGGGGTGCGAATGTTTGTTTTCTTCGCCATCTTAACTTTACATCTTTCGAGGATTCTCACAAATTGGCTTCAATACCAGATCTCCTCTTCCCACCTCCTCTTGTAAGCTGGAAAGTCTGCAGTCTGGGACTTGCCCAGTGAAACAAGCAACAGAAATAACCAGTTACCATCCACACTTATAAGCACTGTGGTTGTCAAATTGACCTGTCAGCTGGCTCCTGATGTAATTATTGCCATTATGACTACACAGACCTACTCTTGCCCTATTTATTAATGTGCACAATGCACGGAAGTCCTGAAATCTGTATTGTATGACAACAGAAGAAAAGCAACAACTGAACAAAAAACCTGCCTGCATAGACAAATTCAATAGTAAACAGATTCTGAAATTCTACATAACTCAGCACCACTGACAGCCTGCTTACGAGAGGCCTCAGGATTAAAACAGCAGTGGCTACTGCAAGTTAGGATTCAGGTGCACTGATAAAAGGTTGGGGGTGGGGCACAGGGGCAAAAAACATTGGGATGGTAGATAATTGGGATGCTGGAAATCAGGACTGAGATTTCTGTGCATGATGTACAGTAGAGCCCTGCAACCTGACCCGAACCCAACAGACCCAACTATGGAGTGTAGGGTCCAGGTAGGGTGGGAAAACAAACAGAACCCCCTGGACTCAGGTTGGGGCTCCTCTGACCTGTGGAACAGGTTACAGGGGTGGCTGTGTGCCCCTCGCCTGCTAGCAGTCGCCATCTCGCTGCTTATTTGATTATAGGATGTTATAGGCCATGTGAGGGAGGCAGTATGGTCTAGTGGATAGAGCCCTCGACTGGGACTCAGGAGACCTGGATGCCATTCCTAGCTCTGCCCTGGCCTGCTGGGTGATCTTGGGCGAGTCATTTCCCCTCTGTGCCACCTGTAAAATGATAATCATACTGACCTCCATTGCAAAGCACTCTGAGATCTACTGAAAGAGCACTATATAAGAACTAGGTATTACGACTGTTATGTGTAATGTAGCATAGAAGAACTGTGTGGAGTTTCCAGACTCATAACAAGAATACTACAAAGGGAATTAAGGAGCAATAGCAGAGCTGTAAGCTGTACAAAGGAAGTCTGCACACATTACTATTATTTATATAACACCATGGATGTGCTAAGAGATTTACAGGCAGTAAGACAAAATCCCTGCAAGAAGAGCTTACAACGTATATTATGTTTGACTCTGTCTGGTGGTATTAGTTCCTCATTTTCACAAACACCAAATTCATCTTAAGAACAATGCAAGATGAAATCTAACTATATCAATATAGTGTCAGCTCCCACCAGGAAACGTACAGATGTACAAAATAAGCCAGAATATAAAGTGAGCTTGTCATCTTATAAATTGCATAGTGAGAATGATTCAGTGGAACTCCAAGTCAACCACACATCTCTTTCTTACCTCTGCCTGCAGTTCAGGTTGCTGCTGTATTACTGGTGGAGCTGCTACCACCTCCATCGCTATGGTTTCATCCTCACCACTTTCCGTCTCGTCTTGCTTGCCCAGAACTTCCTGCAATTCTGCCTAGAGCAAGAATCAGTGAGGTGGTTACTGTAAAGCATGCTCTGCTTTCGGCACCATGTGAACAGATGCTGCAGGAACTAAAGCACCTCCCCACTGCCACAGTGAAAAGAATGATTCAGATCCTGACGTCTTTTGCCCAAGGCAATGTTTCAGTGTAGATTATCTGCCAATTTGTGTCAAGAGTAACACACCTCCATGGGACACTGGCAAGTGATAATCAATAGCGGTGTGAGAGCTGGTCTGGAGAAAGTATGTACTGCCTGGCTCCAGAAACTAGAGTTAAACCTCAAACAGTCTTTGATGTCCCTAAACTTCTCCTGCCTTACCTAATTTCAATTTGTTTTGCAGCTGACTCCACATACTCTGGTTCTGGCCAGGAGTGGAAATGTTCCGGCACAATTTGAAGGCAATTCCTGGGAAGCTCACAGCCCAACATATAGTGCTAAGGTCTCTTACACAACCCTTTTGTTGGGTAGCTCTCTGAGGACTGAAGAACATGCAGTAGCTAAGACAAGGATTTTATCTTTTCGAAGGTTGTCTAAACCCCAACTTCAAACCTCCAAATAGTCACCCTTCACTAATGACCGAACTAAGTGTAGTTTAGTGCACCCTCCATACAATCCACTCACACACAACACACTTTTAATAAACATAAAAATCATTTTAGCTCAAGGATATGGTTATTAGGCCCTAGCCAAACTCAGAGCAGAAGTGTCCTAGCCATAACTATAAGTAGAATGATTGCTAAAAGGATGTTGGGATATGTAAGGGTTAAGTAGAGACCTGGGAAACCGCTGATGTGCAGACATGGCATTAGGGAATAGGGGTACAGGCAGGCACCGCTTTTGTGCTTGATAGATAAAGTGCTACCCCCTCGCTTCTCTTCTGCTTGCTAAGGATTGATAAGTGTTGCAGCTGCATAAGGAATGTGTAAAGCAGTACTGTCTCCCCCTCCCTTCCATTCCCAGCTAGCTAAACGAGCTCGAGCTTCCTCCCTTCCCTGCACACTGCTAATTAAGGGAATTCGTGGCTGCAATTATTGCAAAGAAATGTATTTTCAAAATAAAAATGTCTGTAGAATACGCTTAATGCTGTAAACAGGGGCGGGGATAATTATATTCACTGTATGGGCGTTCATATTACTCAAGAAGGGTTTGGAGGTATTGTAGTAAATGTAGGTATTTACATACTAACTTAAATAAAAAGAGTGTGCGCTGTAACTAATTCACTGCTTATTCAACAATTGGGTCGAAGGGAACAAGTACCACAATAAAGAAGCCAGTTTACTCAATCCGCCTCTGGGTCTCCCTGTTCTTCTTCTAACAAAGGATTTCAGCCATGTTTCCCTAACTCACATGGACTGGGATTTTCCTCTCTTCCCATCTCCCCTAAGAACCATATTCACACACACATTTGTAGTCAGGTACTGTTCTCATCTTGGTATGGACAGCGTCCGACCATTCAAAAATGTTTAAATCAGCTGTAAGTTTTGCCATGTCTTAATTTCCCTTTAAAAAGTTGAGGGGCTTTGTTGCTCACAGAACTTACTCCATGAAAGACTGAATTCCACTGGCAGTAAGTACATACCAAAAGGTCCGTATCCTCCTCCAAACCTTCATCCTCCTCCTTCTCCTCATTCAGGTCCTTCATGCACTCTGCAGCCATCTTTTCAATATGATCCATGGGTAAAGGGGCTGGAGAAGGCAACCAAAAGGAGACAAGCCATGAGGATCTAGCATAGTGTTGGATGGTGCAAACCTAAACCATGAGCATACTGATTGGAAAAGAACTGTGAGTTCACTTGTCACTTCTCCCTTTCAACTACAGGCGGTGTTTTCTAGTCAGCAAGAAAGTAAAGCTGGGGAAGTAATTCCCATGCCTTTTTTGGCTGATGCCCCACCACTTGCAATTGATCAGTGCCTTCTGCTCCATCTCCCTTGTCCTGTCACTCCATCCCCTGGTACATTTGCTGTATCTCTATTACATTCTTTTCCTCTCTCTGTTTTATGCTTCTTCCTTTTTTCCTTTTCTGTGCATTTCCCTGATTTTGATTTATTTTGTTGTCTCTGCTCTCTTCCTCTGGTCCTCCCACCTCTGCTCCACTTGACTACATGTTCTCCCTCCTCTGTTGCATTTTCACTACATTGTGTTGCAGACTGTCTGAAGGAAAATGTGCTGTTTAGTGCCACCTATAGAAATATGTGGGTGAGGGGAATGAGGGAGAGAACATGCAGCCTAAAGCTCACCACAGCAGACGAGGAGTTCAGGCATACAACTTGATAATTCTGGAGCTTTGACAACTGGCAGGAATGTCAGTTACACATGAAAGAGCTTTTCTTTTTCTTTTAAGAGTAAATTGAATCATGGAGACTATTCCTGTCAACCGTACTTATGGTCAAAAGGAATTTTATTTCTAGAAAATTTAGTCTTCCTCCACAAGAACAAGGGGTCCATGTACCTTGAAATGTGCCTCTACTCTACTTCCCTTGTTATATCTGGTGCATTTTTCTTGCCCAGTTGTGTTTAATGGAGTTCTCCAGAGAATAGTGAACATGCAGATTTCCATAGGGATAGGTAGAAGTTTGTATGCTGGCAATTGCAACCTGACCAGATTCTCTCCGTGCTCAATAAAGCACATGCTCACACTCTGTGCTCTCATTTGCACTACAGAAACAGATTCAAACTATTCATTTTCCTTGTCCCCTTGTCAAACAACGGCCTCTGCAACCCAGAATCAGTAGCAAGTAAAAAAGAGACAAGGTAGGTGAGGCAATATCTTTTATTGGGCCAACTTCACCACACGCTTTCACCACAGAAGGTGGTCCAATAAAAAAAGATATAATCTTGTCTCTCTAGTATCCTGGGACCAACATGGCTAAAACAACAGTGAAAACAGGAGGTAAAAGTACATTTTAAAACTTTTCCTAAGCATTTACAATATTGGAAACAGCCAGATTTACAACTATGAAGGAGCAAGGTGTAAAATACTGAGGTAAGACAACTTGAGATGCCTGGCTCCTATCTCACAGTGGTTATACCCTGGTGTAACTCCATTTACTCCGGACTTACACCCACAGGGGACATAGCAGAATCAAGCCTTACATAGATTACGAGTTGCTTAGAGCAACTTGTAACTTAAAACAAATGAAACTAGCTGCTGCCACTTGAACGTGCACCCTTAACTGTACTTATTAAGCCACAGGTTTCAGAAGCTATGCCTCTAGTGCAGAGCTGAGTTAACCGAGCTCGACTGAGAGCAGCCACACAGAGAAATAATACTTAAGCTGCACAGGAATTGTTTTAGCAGTTGACATGTTGTGCTAACTTGAGTTGCGTTCTATATTTCTTGATGGGCCAGCCAGCTTGAGTTAAAAGCATCACCACACTCCAGTTAAGGCATTTTATACATGGATGGGACTTGAGTTAGGGGTAACACTGGCATTATAACTCAAGTTAACTCTGTAGTGAAGACAAACTCCTAGTAGCCTTCATGCAACATGATCTCCCTCTCTGCTCATGATTCACATAGTAGCCATACCATAGATCCTCAACATTACACTTCCTACTACATTCAGCTTCAAACATTTCTCTATTTACATTTTCTTCCAAATCCTGAAATATTGTTACTCTTTGTGTTGCAGTAGAACCTAATGGCCCCAACTGAGTTCAGGGCCTCATTGTGCTAGGTGCTGTTCATAAACAAAGCAAGAAACAATCACTACAGAGAGTTTACTGACTAAATAGACCAGAGACAAAGTGTGGGAGAAAGGAATAAACTCAATTTTATAGGTAAAGAATGAGTCAGAGAGAGCTTTAGGCCCAATCATGTGAAAAGGGCCACACACATTTAAATCAATCACTTGGGACCTCAGTGACTAGCCCAAGATCACCCAAATTCCATGGAGGAGTGAGGAATTGGAACCTAGTTCACTTCTTTACCCAAATGTCATCTTTCTTCTCTGTTTAAACTGTGCACATATTAATCAATTCCAGGCAGCTCTCATCTGCAGAGAATTGATACAACCACCAGAGTTCAGCAGGAGAACTGAAAAAATAATAATTCACTACTAACCCAATACCAGATACACACTGAGCAACACAAACCACCTGCTTGCTACCAAAGCAAAAAGTGTGGACAACGTTTCAGAACAGTAAACAAAGAATCTTTGCCATCAGATAGGCTTTCCCCTTCAGCTTCGTAGCACTAACAAATGGCCCCATAATTCATAGCATACAAAATAAGTACTGCAAACCAAAATGCGTTGCCACTGGGGAAGGCCTCCCCTCTTCAATCCATAGGAGTGTCACAAGCCAAGCTGAATATTGGAATTTAGATCTGTCACACAAGTCAGAGAATATTGCCCCTTATTCCCCCTCCGCCTACCCAAGATGCTATTGTTCTGATCATCATCCTCTCCTATTGTCTGAGCAAGTTCTCTTCTCATCTCCTCACTGGCCCCCCTCCTCTCCTATTTCTGTTTAAGCTTCCAATTCTAATCCTCCTCTTGAAAACTCTACCCAACTCCTCCCCCGCTTAACCCTCTGATCTCACCTCCACCTATGCTCATTCTGCCTTCTGTCCAACCATCTCTCCTAATTGCTCCATTTTGTATTCTATACTCATTCCCAAATATGTGCCTTCTTCCCCACCACCGCCTACACCCTGTTTAAACTAGTCTTATTCTTCCTCCTGCATAGACATGGGCCAGATTCTGCCCTCAGTTATACAAGTGAAAATAACAGTAGGATTTCACCTACAGCCTTAATTCCAGAAAAACAGGGATGAAATGCTCAAGCAATGCCACTGCTGACAAATGTGCTGCTCAGACCTGAGGAAAACATTTGATACCTTCAGTGGGCATAACAAATACTGACTCATAAAACCTTACAGAGATGTTGAGGATTAATCTTCATTCTACAGATGGGAAACAGTGAAAAAAAATATTAAGTGACTTCATGAGCTCCAAAGAAAGAGTCTGTGTTGGAGATGGAAATAGAGCTCAGAAGTTCCTGGTTCCCAGACTTATGCTCAAACAACCAGACCTTACCTGTACGTTATACAGGCAGTAGCGACAAAAGATAAAAATTAAAACCCAGTGCGACTGAAAGTGCCCACAGGAAACTCACAGAGAGAAACAGTGGATTTGATGACACAAAGGGTATCTATCTCCTCATACACAGATCTAGAACACATCCCCTTAGACTCAGGATATTATCAGAATTACTGATCAAGACCTTTATTTAATGCTTTCTAAAAGTCATTAGTTATAAAAACTAGAAAGGAAAAGTCAGTTATAGGATTCTTGAATTCAAACAACAGGATTTTTTATTTGATGGCCAGTTTTTAAAAAAATATACAATTGTACTTTGATCCAACAGAATTTCTATTAAAAGTAAGATTTAAAAAGGGAACAGACTCAAGAAATAGCTGCATCAACTTATTTCAGATACTTTAAAATCTTCTGCGTTCGTTACTCTTCAAGTGTAACTATTATCTTGAAAACTAGTCAGTATCAAAATGAATTCAAATTTAGTTTCAGGTACTACTCTGAGTCTTCCTGCCAATTATTATTGTGATTTTACCATCACATTTTCCTGTGTATTTATAAATTTTCCTCTCCCTTGTTGTGTGAACATCCCACACAAACAGCATAGGAAAATGACAGTACAAGAAACAATGAAACGGATTATACACAAATGCAGTCAAATACACCAAGTAAACAAACTCTCAGGTTTCCAGAGTTCATTTAAGGTCAGAAAGGCCCATTTTAATAATCTAATCTGACCTCCTGCATAACACATGGCAAAGAATTTTACCCAGTAATTCCTACATCATGTCAATAACTTCTGGCTGAGCCACAGCATATTTTCTAGAAAGATATCCAGTCTTGATGTAAAGACTGCAAGTGATCGACAGTCCACCACACCTCTTGGTAAATTATCTTGTTCCCTCACTGTTAAAAAAAACAACTGAACCTTATTTCCAGTCTCAATTTGTATAGCTTCAACTTCCAGCCACTTGATCTTGGTATGCCTTTGTATGCTAAATTAAAGAGCCCTCTACTCTCAAAAATCTTCTCCCCATGTAAGTGTGACACCCTGTACCCCACGTTCACCATTTTTATATGATTACGCTATATTTTGTATAAAGTATGCCTTGTGAAGTATCATTTGAAAACTCAATCTGCTGAATATTATTTTCCTGTTGATGTGTGTGTAACAACACTGCATATAAAATTATGAGATTTTGCTATATGATGGTTACTGAAATATGCTGTAGTTCTGGGTAACGCCCTCAAACCAATTTCTCAGAGACACACCAGAATGCCAGCAAGGTGCTAAAGTGCCATTACCTGCTTAACTGGCCATCCACCAGCAGGGGAGAAGGTATAGACAAGAAATTTACATTGCATCCCAGAGACAGTTGGAATCTAAGGTATATAGGGGACTGTTTGTCTACACACCAGCATGGGGTAATCCTCAAAGAGAGGAGGAGGATATAAAATGAGACAGTGACCTCCACATCACCCCTCTCTTCCTCTCATCTCTCTGCCCATGGCATCAACAAATATCTGAAGAACACTGAACTGGGGGAAGGATCTCTAGCTGAAAGGAAATCCAACCTGTGTATTGCTGCAACTTATGGTGAGAGACATTTTGCTTTTAAGTTCATTTAGGTATTAGCTTGCAGTTTTATTTTTGTATTTCTTTTGTAACCAATTCCGCTTTTATGCCATACCACTTGTAATCACTTCAAATCTATCTTTTTCTAGTTAATAAACTTGTTTTACTGTTTTATCTAAACCAGCGTGTTTGGAAATCTCTATTTAGGATGACATGGTTGCAGCACAATCATTACCCAGTGTTGGAATGACGTACTTGCTGTGAGCTTACACTGTCCAGGAGAATACAGAGCAGTGTAAGATGCACATTTCTGGGGAACAAAGCTGGGACTAAGACTGTGAGGGTGTCCCCCTATATGTAATTCATGGATGGCTGGGAGCGCATTCATGTATTCAGCGGGGAGTGATTTTGCATACTAAAGGCTGTGTGAGCAGGCCAGGAGTGGATCTTCTGACTGCAAAGCAGTGTAAAAGGCACCCCAGGCTAGAGAACTAAAGGGACACAGCTGTTCAACAGTCCAGATTGTACCCTGGGGAATGTCACAGAAGGTATTTAAATACCACGAGCAAGTCACCTCTTAACTTTCTCTTTGAACATCTCAGGGGCGTACCCAGGATTTTAAATTTGAATACTTTTGGAGGGGCACATTAAACACACGCAAATGAAAGGTTCATGTGACCCTACCCCCGGTTTCTTGGGCCACCTCTGGCAGGGACACCCAGTAGCGAGGAGGCAGCAGCTCCCCCTGCAGCAGTACTCTCCGTGTCCCTGCAGCCTGGGCAGGGAGGAAGCAGCAGGGCAGCTGGCTGCAGGGTCCTCCCCCCACCCCTGCAGCTGCAGCCTGATGCTTCTCTTTCCCTGCTGCTGGAGTCCCAGTGTTGCTGCCTGCTTTATAGATGCCCTTTGAGGTGAGTCAGGGGCTGGAGGCAGAGGCAACAGTGGGACTCCAACAGCAGGGAAGGAGAAGCAGCAGGCTGTAGCTTTAGGGATAGGGAGGAGGAGAAGCTCATCTGGCAGCCAAACACCCTGCTGCTTCCTCCCTCTCTGGGCTGCAGGAACACATGCAGATTTTTTGGGGGGCCGGTGCCCCTGCTTGCCCCCCCCTTGTGCACGCCCCAATTACATCTTTCACTGTAAAGCAGACACAATACAGAAAAAATATTTCTCTAATCTCAGTTATATAGTAATCTTAGGTGTTACTTGTAACAACCGTAGAGGAAAAGAATCTAGAAGGAAGTGTGATTTGTAACATCATGTCCCTTTTATTTACATAAATAACACAGCTCTTCAGTCAGCAAGAACCAGGAGCAATGACTTACTTTTCCCTTTGGGTTTTGACTTCCCTTCTGTCACCTTCTCTCCTGTGAGAGCAGCAAGCTCTGCTTCTAGATCCTCATCACCACCACCATCCTCAATATCCAGCAACATTGCTTCAGGATTGAAATCTACGAAGAGCCCCAGCTGGAACCAAGGGAAAATATTCTAGTAAGAACAGAGACATCACTCACACCATCACATCACCTGGGTTATTTAAACATCTCAGTGCATTCTGAATTCAAAGATAATGTGGGTTCTGGCTGGGAGTTTTTAACCACAATCCCCTGTAATTTTGACTAGCTATATAACACAAACAAGATATACACATAACTGAAACCAGATACACCTCTTTTGGGCACCAGAGAATAAACCCCCTCTCAGGCCTGCACTTAAACAACCTGAATCCTTTATGAATAGGAATAGCTGGTATTTGAAATAACAAGGTAAAATAATTCTGTTAAGACTTGCTAAGCAGAAAATTTAATCAGTAAGGTTCCTATTATATCCGAAGCTATCAAATATATTTGATTATTATTCCTCATATTACCCAGGTATTCTAAACTTGGACACAGGGAAGATTTCATCTTGAACTTTCATACATATCCACACATTTCACCTCAAAAGGTCCATCACTTTGTAAACGATATACACAAAGGAATCATTTCACCCACTGACGTGCAGCCACCTCTTGTGTAGAACCAGCAACAGTTTAACGCTGTACTGCACCAATACACAGCTGTTTAGAACAGGAAGCAAATACTACCATGGGCAATGGAAACTACAGGGTGAATTGAGTAGGAAGAATATTAATTGTATAAATTAGCATTTGACCAACACACTAGGGTAAACTCCCCTACTGTTGCAAAAAGTGACAAAGGACTTTAACAAACAAGGGTGAGGACTTCTGTTTTGTCTGATCTAAAAGATAGAACCTCCATAAGTACAGTAATCCAGGACACTGCAACACTGGTTCAGTACTGACTCCAAAGTGTCACCCACTGAAATACCAAAATAACTTCCTTGAATGTTTCCCATCATAGTATTGTCCCACAGAACTTATTAGAATTGACGAATCACAGCCCAAAATGATAAGGATGAAAAAAAGTTTACTGTTGCTTAGCTTTTACCCGAAACTACATAAAGAAATTCTACTGTAAACAAAAATAATGCTGCACAATCCAAAATGCAGCCTTCTTGAAGAATGTATCATGATATGTGATGCATAAACAATGAAACATATCATTTGTTTCTATGACATTTATAAATACAGAAAAATGTATTACTTTGACAAGGTGAAAGAGGTAATATCTTTTATTGAACCAAGAAGACAATCATACGCCTGGTATATATGTTAGGTTGACATAAGCATTCTTGTGTTGACATAGTAGCATGTGTCTACACTTAAATTTGTCTCCCACTAATGTAACTGCCCTGTTATCTGACACAGTAACCCTAACAATCTCAGTGGCGTTAAACCAAGGTCAACGCAAGTTAAGCTGACAATCAAAAACCGGCATAATTACATCACTTGTGCATATTCACACGATGTTCCTTCTGTCAGTAGAGCGCGTCCACAGTTAGTGCTCTGGCATCAACAGTGCATTGTGGGTAGCTATCCCACTGTGCTACTCGCCACCTTCCACAGCCAGGAATTGTGGGAAGGCGGAGTGGATTGCAGTGCATCATGGCTGCAGGCTCACTGTCCCATGATGCAGTTTTTTCCATCCCAGCATTCCATGGGCTTCCGACTACATTCTGCAGCATTTTTCAACAGCCCCTGTTTACTGTGCACATGCCATCTCTGTTTGAAAGGATGGGTCCTGCACTGCTTTCTACAGTTGTGGTCACTGTTATGAACACATTGCAGCTGGTCACGCAGAATATCATGAGCACCCAATTTGAACAGGAATCAAAGTTGTCTGACCTGCTGCGTACCATGGAAAGAAACACCACCAGATTACTTTTGGCATTCACGGTGCAACGGAACACAGTGGACCATCACTTTTGGGTGCAGGAAACAAGCACTAAGTGGTGGGATCACATCATTATGCAGGTCTGGGATGATGAGCAGTGACTGCAGAACTTTCGGAGGCAGAAGCCACCTTCCTGGAACTGTGTGCGGAGCTCGGCCCAGCACTGCGGCGCAAGGACATCAAAATGAGAGCTGCCCTCTCGGTGGAGAAGAATGTGGCAATCACTGTGTGGAAGCTGGCAACTCCAGATTCCTACCGGTCAGTTGCGAATCAGTACGGAGTCAGGAAGTCCACCGTTGGGGCTGCGTTAATGTAAGTGTACAAGGCCATTAATTGCCTTCTGCTACAAAGGACTGTGACTCTTGGCAATCTGCGTGAAATATTGGATGGCTTTCCAGCAATGGGATTCCCTAACTGCGGAGGGGCAATAGATGGAACGCATATTCCAATTTTGGCAATGTACCACCTTGCGACGGAGTACATCAATAGAAAGGGGTACTTCTCTACGGTACTGAAGGTGCTTATGGATCACTGTGGGCGTTTCACTGACATCAACGCAGGGTGGTCTGGGAAGATGCATGATGCATGTATTTTCAGGAACACTGGCCTGTACAGAAAGCTACAAGCAGAGACTTTCTTTCCAGACCAGAAGATTCTAGTGGAGGATATTCAGATGCCCATAGTGATCCTGGGAGACCCAGCATACCCCTTATTCCCATAGCTCATGAAGCCTTGCACGGGAACCCTGGACAGCAGCAAGGTGTATCCATGGGGCTCTTGGCAGTGGAGGTGGGGTCGCCACCAACAATGGCGTCCAGCTCCTTATAGAAGTTGCAGGTCTTTGTCATGACACCAGAGCAACGGTTGGCCTCCCTTGCCTTCTGGTATGCCTGCCTCAGCTCCTTTATCTTTGCATGGCACTGTGTATGTCCCGCTCGTAGCCCTTATCCAACAAGCCAGGAGAAATCAGATTGTAGGTACTGAAGTTCCTACAGCTGGAGCAGAGCTGGAACTGCCTCCTCTCCCTATAGTGTCAGCAGATCCAACAACTCAGGTGTGCTCCAAGTGGGAGAGCGTTTGCTGCATGGAGCCGCTATGGTCAGCTGGGAGGATGCCATGTGAGCTCTCTACGTAGAGCAAACAGGCAGTGGAATCTCAAAAATTCCTGGGCCTTCAAAGGGAAAGAAGAGGATGCCTGTGTACTTGGGTGCAGGACAGTGGAGTTCAAACTGCTGACCAGAGCATTCAGAATGGGCATTATTGTGGGACGCCTCCTGGAGGCCATTTACAGCAACGTAACAAAGTGCAGTGTCTACACTGACATTTTGTCGATATAACTTTTCCGCAAAAACCTCAACGTCTCTCATTAAGGTGGTTTTATTTTGTTGGCAAAGCAGGACAGTTTTGTCGGCAGAAGGAGCATTGCAGTGTGTACACCTCCACTGTTCTGTCGATGAAACCTGACTTTTGTCAACAAAACTGTGTAGTGCAGACAAATCCCTAGAGCAGAGGTTCTCAAATTGTGGTCCGCAGACCACTGGCTCCATTCAGGTGGTCCGTGGATAGTTCCCTTTAAGGCCTAGTCTACACTGGGGGGGGGAAATCGATCTAAGTTACGCAACTTCAGCTACGTGAATAACATAGCTGAAGTCGACGTACTTAGACCTACTCACCGCAGTGTCTTCACTGCAGTGAGTCAACTGCTACCGCTCCCCCGTCGACTCTGCCTGCACCTGTCGCGGTGGTGGAGTAC